TAGTTCTAATAAAATTAGATTTTGTACTTGTGTTAAAAGCTAGTTAATTTAGTCACCTATCAGCTATCCTCCACGAGTTATTGGAAAGAGTAACAGTGCCGAATGTGGTGTATCCCCCAGAAATACCTAAATCCATTTAAAACATACCATTGCAGCTAAAGATTGACCGGCTTGCGAAGAGAGAACATCATTAGCACAGAAAATCTTGTTTATTACAAAAATATTAGAAGGGGTTTTGTGGATACTATAGTAATTTTAATAGTTGGGATCATGAGTCAAATGAAGCCAGACCACCATGGGAAAACTGGAAGCACTGGAAGGCCGTTTCGTCCTATTGTGGGACTCCTCAGCAAAGCGCGCATTCACGATCCCGCCTCACGAGATTCAAACCCAGGACCTATCAGTTTCGCGCTCGAGCCCTTAACCACTAGACCACTGAGTACCATACTAGAATGAAATGGCCATCCAGTGCTTCCACGTTTCCCATGGTGGTCTGGCTTCAAGTGACTCATGATTTCAACTATTAATATTACAAAAATCACATTTATCTTTTCATTAAGTGACTTTTGGAATTATCTTAACACATCACCAAGTGATTTTTTCCTATAGATACTGAATGGGACGAGGAAATATTGTATTATAAGTTAATCGAAACTATAAACTACTGAAATATTTGTACATGGAGCAATGATTGAGTACTCTGACTTACACTACTGTTTGACATAGAAGTCGTTTAGAAAAGATGAATTAAAAAACAAAGTTAATCTATGAAAGCATTAACTTCTGGTTTTAGTCATGTCCTTATATATACAAACTTCCTGCTTAAAGCTTGTGGATTACTTGATGCCAACGGTTAGCGATATTGACTGTCAAGGCTTAAAGTCGATCAGAGTGGAGCAGATGTATTCACTCTTTGTCTGTCTCTAGATTTTGAGTTCAATGACTCACTGTATATACATTTTCATTCGGTGTTATTCAACCATATCCTTAATGTCTTATCTTTCCCACTATCATTGGTAATAAGATTATTTAAAGTTGTTCGCAATTTATCTTGTGCTAATGTAATACAATAACTAAATCCAACGAACATTTATTCCAGACTCTACACTGGTTTGAACTGACTGAATTTAACTCATGTATAGTTTAATATATGCTGGATCGAACTCTAAACATTCGTATCTTTCCGCTTATTCGTAATCCAGATGTTCACATTTAAAACTGCTGTTGGTTTTTGATTCTTCCCTACACCTTATGTCTCATTCCTGTTATCACATAATTATGTTAGCTAAATTACAGAAAACGTGTTCATTTTATGCTATAGTTCTCATGATTATGATTTTAACTTATGCGTAACGTACTATATTTTGGACTAAGCAGCTTTACAACAAAATAAGTCATTATAAGTATGAGCATTTGTTGAGATTGTAGTACTCTAACAGTTGAATTCACGAGTTAACCTAAGTTAAATCACCATAGAAAACGTTGAAGCACTTGACAGCTGTTTCGTCCTAGTATTGGACTACGTGTGCGGGATCGTGGATGCACACTGCTGAGGAGTCCCATACCTGAACGAAACGAACATCCACTTCTTTCAGGTTTTCAATAGTGGTCTATCATAGATTGACTCGTGAATCCAACTATTACAATAAGATTGTATAGTTACATATCATAGGTAAGAGGTACAAACTTACTCAGCGATGACAAGTATAGTAAGAATAATAAAGGTGTGTGTCAATGTCTTGTAATCGGAAGTAGGTCAAAGAATCGGAAAAGTAAACATAAATTTTACTAAAACCGCTAAGATTACGTAATAAGTATTCAAATAATTGGATAATAAAGAACAAACTTGAAATAAGGTCTACAAAAATAGACTAACAAAGGTTATGGAAAATAATAATAATTAGTAGAATTGGTTTTGAAGCCATTTAAGTATATGTACCATGACCCTTGATTGCATTGTTCGATTACCCCTCCCTATGTATATGTGTCCACACAATGCCATGTGACGTAATCATTTGTACATTGTCTAGATCTATTTGGAATTATTGGCTTAGACTTTTCAATTATAACCAATTTAGCAGCATAATAGGTTCTCTCGATGGCTGCTTTCAATTTCTGTCTCGAAACTATACTATTGGATTCACCTCCCTATGGTAGATAGATACAAAGTTTTTCCTTGCAACCTAATAAATGAGAAATTTTGGCGTTAACTGACTTTTGCACATATTATTAAATTTTAGTGGATAACCTCACTTACTTACTCTTGTTACTCCCAATGGAGGAGAATAGACCACCGACCAGCATTCTTCAACCCACTCTGTCCTGGGCCTTCGTTTCTAGCTCTATACAATTGTTGTTCATTCTTCTTATGTCTGTCTCCATTTCTTGACGTAATGTGTTCTTTGGTCTTCCTCTTTTCCTTTGTCCTTGAGGATTCCAATTCGGTGCTTTCCTCAGTGTGCGTCCTATCCAATTCCAACACTTCCTCCTGATTTCTTCCTCTGCTGAGATGTGGTTTGTTCTTTCCCACAGTAGGTTGTTGCTGATAGCTTTAGTGGATAACAATCTGATATTAATTTGTCAGTCAGCAACTTTTCATCTTTTTCAACCGTATCAGTAGTGCAAATTCTCTGAATCCTATTTAAGAGACATTTAATCATACCTCACTTGTATTGCAATGGACAGAAACTATGGAAATCCAAGTATAACCTCGGCCATGTACCTAAATGGCTTCAAAACCAATTAGTGTCCAATGCTCTAATCAACATGAAAGGTAAAAAAAAACGTATTCATCAATAGTGAAGCATATAAGTAGAATAGTTTGCCAAATCTAATCTAAACAAGATAAAGATAAGGGTTAAAAAAGTTTGTCATAGTTCACAAAGTCTTTCATTGTTAAATCGAATCTCTATAACTTCTACTAAATGTAAAAGATGGAACCGAACCCTCTATATTGATAAATCATTATGATTGATTTGTTTCTGTCTATTATATAAATGCTATTGATCAAATGTGATAGAGCGTGGCATGGTGCAAATTATTGATTTTTTTCTTTTAATTATTCCAAATTCACTCGGTTTTGATGTGATCATTACATTATACCCATAACAACTATCAAAGTACAAATAAACATTAAATAAGGTTTAATTCATCAATGAAATAATATCAATGTTTAATACTTATTAGAAAAAATAAATGAAATTTAGTAAACAATAATATTGAATTGGCAAGACTATAATTTATAATTGATTAATCACTGGATGGGGATCAATGTCATGTGTGTCAGGTCCTTCTTAGTGCGCATCGAATCATATTGACCAAGTTGCAATGTGGCCACCAGTCAGGGTGACCTGACATTGAGTGTACTATACTGAGATAAGATGGTGGTTGGAGGTAGTCAACAGGAAACCCTGGATCTAGCTTTCATGTCACTTGGCACTCGTCAGTATGGTGTACCTTTAATGTTGAGGGAACTGATGCTCCTTGACGGATTGTATCCCGTGTCACCCAGCTTCACAGTCAGAGACGTTACCACCGGGCTATCTGAGCCGCGAACGACCTCCTGTAGGACTGAGATGTAATCACAATTGACTGATCACTAGGTGGTGATCAATGTCATGTGTGTCAAGGCCTTATTAGTGTAGATTGAATCATATTGACCAAGTCACCATGTAGCTATCAGTGAGGGTGACCTGACATTGCATGTATTATCTTGAGATAAGATGGTGGTTGGACTATAATTTATGAACGAATCAATCACATATAAGATAACAGATCTTGAATTTTGGCTCGAAATTTACTCATCCATTTGAATAAGGTTTCCTGTCATTATAACTAATCTCAGTTTTGATGAAAACCTTAAATCTAGTTCCTAATCTCAATCTTCAACTGTAAATTATAATTATAATTCCTTTCACAGGTTTATAACCTTCATTTGGTCTTGGTTATTAGGTGGTCAATCTCAAGCTTAGTCTAGAGTTGCTCAAAGGTCATCCATAATTTATAGTCTCAGCATTGAATTTTCACTACAGTATTTATGGTACAATTATAATTGTAGATAAATTATTGTAAAGGGGGATTGAACAAATAAAGTCCATTTATTCATATTTCTGTATTAAGGTAATTACTTTATTCACTGTTATCCAGGATATTTGTCTCGTTTAAGAAATTGACAGAATAATATAAACAAACAATAAACACATTAACTGAACTGATAATTGTAGTTGAAATGAATTCTTCGAATTGCCATTTAGAAGTGTTTTCGATAGTCAGTGATATCCAATTGAATTACATATGCTTTCTATACACTTGTTTAACTAGCTATATGAGTGAGAAGATGGAAAAATAGTTACGGAGCTGTAAATGACTAACTGAGTAAATAGCTATATAAATTACACAAATGTATTAGACTTCTTCTTACATAACCTATTTCATTCATAAGATCTCACCTACTGTTTGATATTCAGTTGATGTATACACATAGGCATGTGATATGTCTATATAACCTTAGCCTATCAGGAAGATGCAATTTGTGAATTTTTAATCATATCATACTAAATGATCGGCTAGGAAGTGTTTAGGTTCGGGTTCCATATTATTGTTATGTACTGAAAAAATTGTGAATTGTTTTTGATAAATAATAAAATATCAATAGAGGGTTGTGAAGATGATTAAGTTATTGATTGAGATCTTGAATCAATTGATGATAGACCATCACTAAAAACCATGAAGCACTGGACGGCCGTTTCGTCTTATTGTGGGACTTCTCAGCAAAGCGCGCATCCACGATCCCACTCGCACGATTCCAACTCAGGGCCTTCAGTTTCGTCAATCGGTTCAAGACCTCAAGCAATGAATGATATGTTGGCATATATGTATATCTATTTATACTACTTAAATTATTACTAGTAATCTATATCATTCCTTTATAGTTTCTTAACAGTTTCCATCATTCTCATCAAATGAATTGAATTGAATTAAGATGTAAACACTTATCAACTATGCATATTTTATTCATTTACTTTATTATATCATCTATCAATGTTATTGATAATACTGTAATTGATAATTCCAATATGAAATGTTTAAATCAATGGATTAAACCAACTGAAGGTGTAGCGTTCTCATTATCACCATGTTTCACATGTAAATATTCTAGTTTTCAAGGTTCTATGAATATTAAATGGGATTGTGAACAGTCATATAATTTGAAAATTAAGGTAAGCTGATTATTAATATTATTATTACTATTCTTACTATCAGAAGGGGTTTTTGTAGAGATTGTAGTAAATTCAATAGTTGAGATCATGAGTCAATTGAAGCTACACCACCACGGAAAACCTGGAAGCACTGGATGGCCGTTTCATCGTATTGTGGGATTACTTCTCAGCAATGCTCATTCATGATCGCGCCTTGTATGATTCGAACCCAGAACCTATCAGTCTTGTGTGCGAATGCTTAACTACTAGACCACTGAGCCGACATCCAGTGCTTTCAGGTTCCCCATGGTGGTCTAACTTCAATTGAGTCATGATCCCAACTATTGAAATTATTACTATTATTTTTACTATTACTACTACTACCATTATTTTTACTACTACTACTATTATTATTATTACTACTGCTACTATTATTAGATGTTGATTAATATAAGTTATTTCCAGTTTTCAGTTACACTGTCCATATGGGGAATTGAATCACGAAATTGCTGATCAAAACTTTAATGTTTGAATCATAAAGCTACCTCTAATTACCTATTTACTTATTTTGAAGACAACATGAAATATTTCACTGGTTTTACGATGATTTTTATCAAGAGCCAAGCAAAATACTACTTTTCATCAAGGCTGTTTTGGGATTAGTGAATGTTAAGGGTGAAAAGAGTGATTTTCACTTTCCGGTTACCCATATTATAGATGGATACTTCTTCATGAGATAACTAACAAAAAACTAAGTAAGAGGTAGCCTTGACAACTTCGGAGGAAATTATTTACTGTCCAACAGGGAACTGCCTGAGACCGGTCAGACACAGCCGTTTTACGGGTTTCTAGTTTATTAGCTTCGTACTTTTAAGACTCTGCTACCGGACACAACAATACTTATGCAACCATTTCACAACTTCCTTCTTTCATTGTGGCAAACATAGTATTAGAATGATGATTAGGTGGTTAAGATAGTTGATTTTTATTCATAAATCACGATTCGAACCCTAATCTATCTAGTTCGACTTAAGCAATCTTGCTTACTTACTTACTTACACCTGTTAGTCCTCGTGTAGGAATATAGGCCACCCACCAGCACTCTTCATCCAACCCTGTCCTATTCAATCCCTTACAGCTCTTTCCAGTTTGTTATTCATATGTTCCTTGGCCTTCCTCTTTTCCGCTCCTCTTTCAGGTTCCAAGTTAGGGCTTGTCTTGTTATGCAGTTTGGTGATTTCCTTATTGTATGTCTTATCCATTTCCATCGTTTTTCTTAGCGAGTTGGTTTTCTACGCGATGGGTTGCTAACCCGATGTCTAACTCTCCTCCTTTTCCCGGGCTTGGAACCGCCAGTAATTCTAGAAGAGCTACATGTAGAGTTGGATTTAAGCAATCTGCTAGTATATTATTCATCCCTTGCACTTAGAGTTCGCCTCTGAGCCATCTAAATAAATCTTTACTCACAGACTGATCAATTGACATTATAAAAAACTTGTACTCATCATGTTTAGACTGTTAGAATACTCTCAGATGTTCACTGTGTTCATTGTGTGTTTTATTATTTTTATTATTTAAACATAAACATTGGTACAAGAAGGCACCAAATACATATGCGCCACATAATCATTCGACTTGTCTGAGGGCTGTGATACTGCCCGGGTGCACAGACCGAAGCAGGTGGTTTTCTTAGGAGGCCACTCTCCGAGCCTTCGACCAGAAGGTCTGATCCACAAGGCAGTGGAGCATCGTATGGAGATGCAGTCCTATCGTAGCCGGTGATCAACAATTGGTTCACATGCCATTTGTTCCTGCATGATACTGGAGCTCATGTGCACCATGGGTCTGGAATCCGGTTAAAGCGCTGGACATCCGCTTTTCGTCCTCTCAATTTCGTAAACAATACCTGCACCACGAGAAGGCAGTGAGTAGAACTTCCGCGGCAGAGGCTGTATACGCGTGGCCACATGAGAGCATTTCGAGAAGGAGGGCGGGCCCACCCCACTCTCGGCCATATCAGGGCATTTGAGGGCATACATACATATTATGATTCATTATATATTTCTAATTATTACATAATCTATTTTAATATTATTATTATCGTTTATTAGGGTTCAATAGATTCAATTGAATTTGATGAATTATCTAATTATGAATTAAGAATATATAGAACAAGAGAAAATCTATCACAATCTAATACAATTTTAAAAGCATTCTATATAACTAGTCAAAGACAAGTTAGTATAACATTAACATTACAATTAATCGCACATCATTCTATGAATGTACAATCGAAATTACAAATAAATTTTGTGCCAATTTTAAATGAGAATAAAAAATCATTTAAATATTTTCAACTATATTGGTCTACATTAAAACAAACTGATTTTACTCTATTCATTTACAATATGTAAGTGATAATTGCAATCTTATTTATGTATTAGTGATTCTATTCTGGTTTGTGTGTTTGTTTTGTTTTACTTGGAATTGAGGTCACTAATCTTATGCATATCAAACCCTTCTCTCATTCTCCTCGTTTATCCTCAAATGGGACCGATAGTAGTCACAGAGGGACTTTAGGCGGAGTTATTGGTTATCATGTTTCATCATAATGCATAGAGAGAGAGAGAGGAGATAAAAAATGAGTGGAGATCAATCATTAAGAGATAGATATTCACTGATGGTTTAATGAACGAAACATGGATGGGGAACAATCGAATGTACTTAACATGAAATTACAGAAGTTGTTAATAAAAACTAACAATCATAAAGTAGTAAATGCTTAATTTGCAAAATGTTTATCGATTGTCTAAAAATGACTCAGACTTCATTGTTCTTGTATTTTGATACAAATTGCATCCTGTTTCCATTCTTTACTGTTCGATCCTCTTGTCTTTCTACTGCCAGACTTTCTGTTCACAACTGACGTCATATACTACTTATGTAAATATAAGCAGCTTTAATGCTAGATAACCTAAGTTCAAATCTCATACAAAGTATCAATCCTCTGAAGCTTTTCGGTTATTTATAATATTTATTTAAACACATAAATGTTGATACAAAAGGGCACCGAATATATATGCACCACACAAGTCACTTGATTTGTGTATGGGCTGTGATACTACTCAGGTGCCCAGACCGAAGCTACTGGTATTCTTAGGAGACCACGCCCGGAGCCTTCGACGTTAAGGTTAGTTCCACAAGGCAGTGGAGAAATATCAGGAGGTGCAGTCCCATGGTAGCCGGTCACCAAAAATAAGTTTATACATCATTTTTTCCCTGAGGATCCTGGAGATCATGTGCACCATTGGCTTGAAATCAGGGTTTTCGAAATCCTCTAGGTGAATCCTCCATATCCACTGACCTCGGTTAAAACACTGGATACTCAGTTTTCATCCTCTCAATTTCGTAAAGGACATCTTATCCACGAGAAGGCAGTTAGTACGACTTCCATGTAAGAGCATTTTTAGAAGAAGATTGGACTCTCCTCACTCTTGGCCGTTACAGGGTAGTTCAATAGTTAAATACTCTCCTTCAGACTTGAATATTCTGGGATTTGATTGCCTTTAGAATCATAAAAGATCAATTTTATAGTGTTCAATACTTGGAAAAATCATCTACCAATACACTATTCTCTGATTTTCACTAGTACCATCAATTGAAGTCAATCAATGGCCAACATTACTATCAAAATGTATATATTTGTGTAACTTAGTAACTGAGAGTTCTTTCCCTTTGATTGATTAGTTGATTTCGTTTTTTGGTTCTATTTCAGAACGCATACACTTCAATATCAAACTCATAGTACATCAATATGTTTAGAAAATTTAACAGAAGGTAGTCAATATAAATTTTGTATTGTTGAAACATTATACACATGTAAAAGTTCATCATGGAATTGTATTATTAAAATAATTCCAACGATACAAAGATCTATGAATCATTATCAAAAATCAATAAATCAATTACAAATTAAAAATCTCGGTTATAATTGGTTACAATTAACATGGTTACCAATATCACAAACATTATATTGGCAAATTAATGAAATTCCTATTGGATATATAATTGTTGCTATGGGGAAATTTAAAACAATTCATTGTACTGATCGAATTTATAGTATTCAAGCACCATGGGTAAATTTATGTTTAGTTTTCAAACTTGGATTTACATATTATACACTCATTGATGTGCTTTGAATTTGGTGTTAACAATCACCTTCTTACTTATTTACGTACCTACGCCTGATGGAGCAGAGGCCGCTGACCAGCATTCTTCAGTATTCATCCTATGCCCAAGCCTCAGAGATTCGAACTCAGCTACTTTTATTCAAATATCAACAACAGGATTGTTTTAACTATCACAAATGAAATTGAAATTCATAACTGTTTCATAAATGAGTGACTGTTTGGACCCAGTAGTTTAGTGAATAACATTTCAGTATATGAAGCGGACGGTAATGTCTTAAAGTCGTGGACTGAACATAAACTCTGGAATGTAGAGTACATTCAGCAGATGAGTTCCAGTTACGACATAATGCGTATCCTGAATCCCTTTGCTAACCAAACACAATCCATCTACTCTAGATGAACTAATATAAAGGGTTTCAATTATCCAGTTGTTGATAATCATTACTAAATTTTGATCAGTTTTAACAGTGTATATGCATTCTGTGCAGATTGCCTGTATATAGCCATTCTGTTTTCTTGAATAGATGGATTGTGACCAATTCAATACATGTCTGTCATCCTGGATGTAGATACCTACATCGCAATTTCAGTGTTCAGTTATCGAAATTTAAACCGTATACATTTCAATTCAAACGCCAAATTCTAGTCCAGATACCCATTATCTTGTTCAAAAAAGTGATGGTAACATCATTGTTATTTGGGCCATCTTCCATCGTACCGAGGTAGATAACTGTCTCTACCCGATACGAATAACTCCACTGGTCACGGCTTCTCACTAGAACTCCGAGAATTCCCTAACGAAGCCAGTCAATAGTGAGCAAATGGTCTAGTGGGCTAGGTGTTCGATTGTGAGACTGAAGGCCCTGAGTTCGAATCCCGCCGGCGGGATCGTGGATACGCACTTCGAGGAGTATCACAGTAGAACGAAATGGCCGTCCAGTGCCTCCAGGTTTACAATGGTGGTCTATCATCAATCAGTAACTTAATAATCTCCACAACCCTATACTTATAAACAACAAGGACAAAAATATCCCCCTCTTCATTTGCTTTTTAACAAGATAATTGAATGTTTTATTGGAATAACCAGTGAAAAAGTTGTATGAGCATAGTGCCCGCGGTGTCGAGTCACCTAGACTGGTGGCCACATTGCAACATGATCGATAGCATTCGATCTGCACTAATAAGGACTAGACAAGCATGACATTGATCACCACCCAGTGATCAATCAATTGTGATTACATCTCAGTCCTACAGGAGGTTAGTCACGGCTCGGATAGCTCAGTGGTAACGTCTCTGACTGTGAAGCTGGGTGACACGAGATCGTAATCCACCAGGGAGCACCAGTTCCCTGAAGATTACAGGTACATCTTGCTGACGAGTGCCAAGTAGCACGAAACCCGGGTCAAGGGTTTCTGTTGACTACCTCCAACCACCATCTAAATCTCAATACATAGTGCCCGCAGTGTCGAGTCACCTAGACTGGTGGCCACATTGCAACATGATCGATAGCATTCGATCTGCACTAATAAGGACTAGACAAGCATGACATTGATCACCACCCAGTGATCAATCAATTGTGATTACTCTCACCTCCCATTGATTTTCAATTCCCTTCCACTCCCAGTTGTTTGTCTCACTATCTTTGCGTATATGACATTGATATCGCTCTATTTTGTTAGATACTTTGATAAACGTTACTTATTGATCAACAGTCATTACTCAAGTACAATTTAATGTTGAGTAATATAGTTCGGTACAATTTGTGACACTTACTCTATACTTCATGAAGTCACGATTTGAAGAGGTGATCTTTCACGTCAGGTGATTAATTAATTATACTATAATTGAATGTGTGACCAGTTTTTCTCATTTTGTTTTTGTAAACTTCTTAAAACAAAGAAGAACTTGTTTATTAAATGGCTACATTGAACCGGATGTGACTTCAATAGATTGAGATTCACTGTATCGAATGTAATCGCAATCTTATATAATCTGTTTTGTTTGTAAAAATATGATTATCAAATATGTCATTAAATCATTTCTGTATTAGTATTTGAATCTTCCCATTGATGTTAAGGATTAGAATTAACCAGTCTCTGATTGTAGTTTTTCTTGACTTAAAAGCAGCATTTGACTCTCTGGACTTAGAGGTTTTGTGGTAGTGTCTGTCATTGAAAGTTATATTTCAGAAGTACATAAACCTTGTGAAGGCTGTTGACTAGAACACTACCAGTTGAGTCAGAGCTTATGGCCAACTCTCGTCTGATTTTACAGCTTCAAGTGGTGTCCAGCAAGGCTGTCCACCATCTCCATTTTTGTTCAACATAATCATAGACTTACTGTTGGAAATAACGTTCTTATCGACTGAATTTTCGGACATTGATCTCTTTCCAGGAGGTCCACCTATCGACTTAGAATACGCAAATGATATATTACTGTTTGGTGAAAACGCTGACAAAGTGCTGAGTGTTTTGGTAGCACTGAGCAACAATGCCAGGACGTTTGGAATACGTTTCTTCCACTCTTATTGCAAGCTGTTGTTTCAGGACTGCCTACGTCAACACCTGAACTAAGGTTAGGGAGTGAAGTAGTCGAACGCGTCGATAATTTCACTTATCTTGGAGGTCTGATCGGCTCAAATGGGTTGGTGTCTGACAAATTTTCTGTACAGATTCAAAAGCTCGTTTGGCGTTTGCCAACTTACGTCACTTATGGCCAAAGCAAGAAATCTTCATCGACTAAGATGTGTTGGCCACGTGTTACGTATGCCTGAACACCGATTACCACAACTCGTAATGATGACTAGTGTTGGAGACGGTTGGAATAAAGTTAAGGGCGATCAAACCAAAACGTGGCATTAGTGCTTGAAGTCAATAACTTCTAGTCTGAGCCATGTTGATAGATGTAGACTATTTGTTTGGGGTCCGCATGACTATCGTAACCAATGGCTGGAGACTCTGGGTGATATATAGCTCAGAATCGATCACAATGGCGTCAGTTTATACACTTTTTTTATTCCTTTAAACTGTGAGATTAAAATTACTTTATACCTTTCTTTCTATGAATTAACTCTTTCTTACTGTACTATATTCCTATACAAAATCTTTATATATATTACTACCAGTGAAGTAAAAGCTCCTATGTATTTGGTGTTTATCTTGTTGTATTAATGAGTATGGCTACTTGAACTGATGCATGTTATTAGCTGACTGACTCTTATTGAATATGTGTATCCTGTGCGGATTACCTCAATGTTGCTTAAAGTCACAATTAATATAATCAGAGATAGATGTATGACTGACGAGTCCCACAATAGGACGAAATGATCGTCCAATTCTTCCAGGTTTTCCATGGTGATCTAGCTTTAATTGACTCATGATCTCAACCATTTTGATACAAAATATGATAATCTATCTTTCCTCCCTTTTTTTCTATATTAAATAAAACAAGGCTTACAATTCAAAATCAATTATAATGTCATATGTAGAATATGTGTATTCACATAATATTACCTCGAAATGTCATTCAATATTACTTATAAGGAAATCAATGTTTTAAGTAATTTATGGCCAGAATGGAATCCATTCATTGAATCACAACAACAAACTAATCATGATGAATGGGGATCTTTAATGAATTTAATATAGAATTAAATCAACTTACACCATTACAAGAATATGACATAATTATTGAACCAATATTTCATAAATATAAAGGAATTGCTGAATCCATTACGACAGATAAATGTAAGATTGTGTAAAGTTGTTTTTTCTTTTATTGCTGTTGTTGTTCCTTGTCATTGTTGTTATTAATTTAAATATTATATATTCAACAAAGATTGGATTGGTTGAAGTTAGACATGAACACTGTTGGGTGCCGAATCAATGGTGTAGAGGTTAAGCGTTTTCGCACGAGACTTAAGGCCTTGTGTTCAAATCTCTCGAGGTGGAATCGTGGATGAGTACTGCTGAGGAGTAGTTCCACAATAGGACGAAGCACCCATCTAATGCTTCCAGGTTTATAATGCTGGTCAGTTCATGATGTTAATTATCAACTAAGATTGTTGAATTTGAAGGAATGAATCCAAATTATTTTGGTTTTACTGAATAATGAATTACAGTGCATTTCGGCTTACCCACGACTCATCAGTTAGAAGAACTTGTATTTCATGGTTGATGTTTACTCTGGAAATCAACTTCAGTACTGTTCGTTTCAAATGCCGAATGGGTTACTCAGTAGACTACTGGGCCGGATAGTCCATTCATTTGTGTAACAGGTATGAATTTTAGTTTGTTATAGTTTGGACTATCCGGTTGTTAATATTTGGACTTAATCGGTCTTAGTACCCATAGGTGTAGCTTGTGCTAACTGCCTGGATATAGCCATTTTTTGCCAAGTTTTGTAGAAGAGACGAATTAAACTCAAATGTATTACACGGACTGGTGACTCTATGGATTCAATAGTTTAATGAATAACCCCTTTGGGGCTTGAGACGAAATGTGATATGTTCGATTCATGAAGGTGGACATCAACTCAGGGATTCTGTTACATCCAGCTGATAAGTTTTCAACAGGGCGAAATGCGCAATCTAGATTCCACTGCTAGCCATAATTAATCTTTTCTACTAAATCTGTTACAAAGTGATTATATCGAGAAAATCCTCAGAACACATACATATTCCAAGGTTCGATCAAGAATACTTATATCGGTGCAACAGCAAACCATTAGAAGTTAAATTTTTTGACTTCGTAGATTAAAAGCCCGTTTTGATTTGTGCTTTGCTACTTCATTTTTTAAAATTGATCTCTCCGTTAGTAGGTGTCACCGATGTGATGATTTTCTTGGTTGGCTAAAATTTACAGCCTCAGCAGCGAGTTTTTTTCTCCACTTAGTACCTTGCCCTCATCCTCAGAATTACTCATTTGATGGTTCCACAGTATGCAAGAACGGTTCTCTAAATATCCCTTGATCAGATACTTGTAGCCTTCATAAACCTTTTTCCTTAACTCTTTCAAGAACAAAAATTTATAACGGATGGAAATAGTTGATGTTCATACAATACCACGACCTAATTGAGATTGGAAATTCGAATCAATTTCGATTGTTCGACCTAATGTTCGTGATTTCAATCCCTAGAACAGTCGTTACTGCACACTGTGAATCAGCCTAGTCCTGTCTAGCTTTCTAAGTTATTGTGATAGTTCGGTTGACTCATTTTGTCGACGTGTGTTATATGAATGTCCAAATACCGCCTACCTGGACTCGAATAATGCAGTAGTCGAGTAGGACAAATCATATGATTTTTAAACAAAGACATGATATCAATCCATAATAAGTCATTCGTCATGGACTGTTAACTTCAACTAAAAAAAATAAACTATAAACCATTAACAGAATGAAATTAACCATTTTGGATTTTGGCAATGACGAGTTATCAATCAGTCACAAACTTAACTTGTCCCATCGAGTAAATAAAATGTGCTTTTCATTTAAGTCTATTCAACGTGTTAGACTGACAACCAATTATAATATACTTAGACTCAGACACATAAGCTTCATATATATGTCAGTCAGTCATAATCAACGTAGTATCCGTAACATATATGAATCAGCTGATATACCACACCGAATGAACATGTTCGATGAAGTAATCAAGACAAATACGCGATGAGCAACAATATCAGTGTTGGTAGGGGATGTCAGGCGGAAGGAATAAGTGAAGTAAAAAGCCCAAATTTATCTTAAAAAAATCGAAGTCTGAGGAAAGATAAAGAATATATTTATATGCACCATTGCAACCGATTCTCGATCAAGCCAATCGATGTCTCAAACAATTAACTACGAGAATCAGATAGATATTTACACCAGATAGTCTGAACTTACCAACGAAGCCCATTCCGATAACTAATAATTCGAGTTTGAATCATGAATACAGCCTCCACTATCTGAAGACTGCGGGAACAACTTTTTTTACAAATCTCAACTAGCACAAAACCTAAGTCACACTGGATTTCCATGTAATACCTTCAACTATCAAACATTACAGTATGATACATGTTAACAGAATATTATGTATTACATTACACGCCGTGTGAGTCTAATTTTGACACACAGTCCTCCTATGCACAAACCCAATGGGCTGCTCGGGTGAAAAGATGTAGTGAGGAAGATATTCGTTATGTCTTTATTATGTCTCATTCCTTAGAAATGCAAACCACCTTTTGATCAACTACGTGGTGTATAAGGACGAGCGAATCGGAAGCAAGATTTTGACTTTCAGGTCATAGCGCGAAATTCGAATACGATGTATATAAATCTGATAGTGTTCTGCAAATTAATCCAAGCTCTAATTTCGATATCCGTTTGATTAGATTATAGCTGATGTGGTTTTGTGGTGAAAAAACCAACTCTAAACGATTAATGCTAACCCTAAGAACTTAGCTCTAACTACTAGGAACATTTTTCGAACTCTTAACAGCCTATTTGAATCTCTTGAGAGATTTCTAGAATATAAACACACTTTATCCATCAGGTTGTTGTCTTTTTGGATTTTATAGATCGATAAACTTGTAGAAGACACTGATGAATCAATCAATTGCTCAAAATTGATACCCACTTTTGAATATTATTGCTTTCTTTTTTATACCATAAACGTTTGTTGTCCGGTATGATGATATTGTCTGACTCCAGTTTGGATGAATGGATGTATAGAAATATTTCAGTTAGCTCCATTTATTACTTAGGTTAACGGCGTTTGTGTGACGACGGTAATAAGAAGCCAATTTCGCGTTACGCTGCAGGAATATCTTTTAAACATTCGTCTAATCAAACAGACATTCAGAATAAGAAGCAGGAAAGAGAAACGACTCAAAGCGAAGAACTCGAGGGAAACAACTTGTTTTGATCAAGTATAACTCGATATTTATGGTCGGACAAAAATAAGTTACAGATATGTCATGAGTAATATAAATAATGCATACACATACACTCGCATAGAATTAGTCAAGGTTAATAATCGAACAATTGACTTGAAAATTATGAATACATCGGTCTGCCCAGAAGGTAGAACAACCGATTTAAATTTATTTACTTTATTTATTTATTTAAACATATAAATATTGTTGCAATAAGGCACCAAATAGATATGCGCCACATAAGTCATTCGATTTTTGCGAAAGCTGGGGTATTGTCCGGATTCCTAATCCAAAGCAGATGGTTTTCTTAGAAGGCCGCAACCTGATCATTCAAACTAAACGTTTAATCCACAAGGTAGTGGAACAACGTAAGGAGATGCAATCTCATGGTTGCCGGTGACTAACGATTGATTCATACACCTTTTTTTCCCTCACGATCCTGGATCCCATGTGCACCACTGATTAGGAATCAGGATTTTCCAACTCTCCTAGGTGGACCAACCCGGTTAATTTGCCGGATATTCGCTTTTCGTCCTCTCAATTTCGTAAACCAAAGTAACGCCACAAGAAGACAGTGTGTCGAACTTCCCTGGCAGTGTTTTTATACAAGTTTTATGTAGGTATGTCATGGTACTAGGAACTACAAACTATCACTGTATAAATGATATTTGTTTTAAGGATTAATTATACTCTTCTTGTTCTATATTTTCTTTTTCTTTCTGTTAGTGAATCCTTCCATGGATTGTAATTTAACATTTGAACAAATAAATCATAATGAAAGTTTCATTTATTGGTCATTACCATCGTTAATTAGATCCAATCTATTGAATATAATAAATAATTCTATGTATTTACTTGAAATTTCACATATTGGTAGACCAGAAAAGAATTTAGAAAAGACATGCTTTATACATAGTTGTTCAATGGTAAGATACTACTTATGTTGATCACTTGATATACATGTTCAAGATCAAAACAGTTTTTTTTTAATTATTGTTGTAAGTTATTATCAATAAGCAACAACATTGTTAGATGTGATCGAATTCTTCCCCTGCCCTCCCCACTCCTAATTTCAGGATCTATAACATGTACTATAGTTATGCACCATTGATTGAGAATCTGATTGTTCTTATTTTTTTAAGTTCGGTCATTAATGTTATATAATATAATATAATATAATCTGGTGGGCTAGGGTAATTCTACATTGGTTTTCAGCACATTCAGATACCATCCAAGCTTTTATGTGACAACCTAAACGGTACAGCTCATCTCACTTGTAGATATGTGATCAGGAATTTGCCCTTTTTTACCTTATGAATGATTCACAAATTCGAAGTGCATAATTTAGATGTTATCTATTTTGTTCATTGAACGAACGAATGTGTGGAACTGCATTTTGGACCAATAGTCCTTTAATGTTACTCTCGGCTGTTACTTCATATTTCACGTATCATTGGTTAGCCGCAGGTCACTTATATTAGTGGACTATTTAGATGAGCTAGTAAAGAGCCAGATTAGATCAACCTAACTGTTCTCCTCTCATATAGTTCAATCTCACACGACTCAAGCAACTTAACCAAAAAACATTTATTCTTTCCGACACATCTAAACAGACGATAAATAAACGATTTAACTGAGTATCATCAAGACATTTAGTGGTCATGTAATAAATTAGTCAATTGCAACATTATCACAACTATCTGGACAAGACATTCTAATGATCCATCATCAAACTAGTAATTAATTCTCACATAATTGTTTGTTTCTTGGTGATTCTATCAGTACGCATAGTTCTGGTTTAAGCTCCTGGATGGTAAGAGCTTCGTCTATTTTTAAAAGTTGGATGTGAAGAAATCTCGGCAGATTTGAACGAATCATATAAACAACCTCAAATTCATTTTTTGGATCTGTGGTATGGTTACAGTCGATTAGGTGTTCAAGTATACAACTCCTAACTGCTTTCCTTACCCTCTTATAGAACCAAGCTGGAATATATTCCCGTATCTTAGTTGAAAGCGAGCGCTGGCTACGGCCAATGTACCTTGCTCCACAAGAGCAGGTGAACTGGTAGATGCACATGGAGGTGACCAGACGCGGAAGCTTGTCTTTAATAGACACAAAAATTAAGTTCCTACTCGTGAAGATTATTCGCAATTTAGCTGCATTAAATGTTCTTCTGATAGTTGTTGTTAGACGATTTTTGATTACTTCTGATGTTCGATCACCTTTAAATTCCAGACTTATGTAAAGGTTTTTCTTCGTAACGAAGCAACTAGGTTTCTTGTCACAACTAATTCTACTCATATTCTTTTCTATGAACCGTTCTGGGTAACCATTTTCCGTCAGGGTTTTCTTGAGGAATTCAAGTTCTTCGTTAATGCGTTCCTTACTGCATATCTGACGTATTCGATAACATAAAGAGTGGATGAGGTTTGTCTTTCTACTTAACGGAACCCAGCTGTAGAAGTTGGTTAGCTGTCCATTCCATGTTTGTTTTCTAAAGATGTATCTTTTTAAAGAACCATTACTCCTTCTCATCAGATAAATTTAAATCGGAACATAGAATATTACCTGTAAACGTCATTTTGTAAACGAAATAAAACGTAAGAAAACTGCCAGAGAAAATCAATGAACAAAATCGATTAAGATCTTCGAACGTCACAATCAAAATTGATAGTATTCCGACAGCAGACAATGGGTTTTAAGCATTGTTCAAGGCCTAACGCTTCAGGCTGGGCTATTTCATTTACTACCCTACATATGTGTGATATACTGTATAAGCTATATTGCTATGTAGAGCTGAAGGTCTCATATGAGATTGAAGGTTCACCATTCATACTAAGGATGGTTCAACATGATTACTTTGGCAAGCCGTTCGAAAGTTATGTTCAAAAGTGTATTGACGAAATTGGCTATCTCGGGCATTTCTATGGGATTTTGACTAGCGGACTTTCTATAGGATGTTTCCGGGTCACATTTTCTTTCATAACTTTTGAACGGAATAATATTTTTCAATGTGGCGTGCTTTGTGTTACTTATCTAATTGAGTGTTATTGAATGATGTATAATATGTACACGTACATTGAGATCTGTACTTGACGATTTACACCTGCTCTTACTCGCCATGTTGTATATGGAGTTTTGTGGTGGTTCCCGGCGGTGTTACATATACTATTTTACTTACATCTAGGACCTCTTACTTTTCGTTTATATTCTTTTTTATTTCTATTAACTATTTAAATTAAATTTTTATTTTTCATTCAGTCGGTAATTTTGATTGTTTACAGTGGTCTTTTTCATAATATAGTTGGTTTTTGACAGTTCCGATTTTTATATTGTTGGATCAATCGTTGTTAATTTAAAGGATATGTGTCATGTCTTAGAGACTTGTTAATATATCACGTGACTAAACGTCAGTAGAACACCGACTTATATTACCTTGGTTCTGTGCTAAATCAATGACGCGTTAACCAGTACGAGTTGCCTTGAGTCAACTCTAAGTACTTATTGGTTCTTCTCGCCTAGCCCTGTACGTTTGAGTCCGGAACATTGGTATCAGCCTTCGCTATATGAATCGTATGTTTCAGACATCAATCGTTTACATAATTTAGTTACTTATTGGTTATCCTGGCCGTTACCATTCATTTATTCTTCGTCAGGATGTAACAATATGAATTTAGTGTTCACTAGTGTTGATGTAATGAAATTTTAAATTGTTTTTCAAAATTAAAAAATATACAACCTACATCATGGACTAATTTTAGCTAATGATTCTTTAACTACAACGAAATACCGAGACATTTATCCACAATGTCATATGAACTATCTTTATCATCATATGGGTTTTGATGTAATTAAGACTTGTTAGGTGGATGTATCTACAAGTCTGTGTTCATGTCGACAGTAAGACTTTAATCTACTACCTTTCGCTTCGGAGCCAACGAAACAATCCATTCATGATGTACATATGCTAATTAGAGCTGATCAAAATCAAAATTCCAAACTCTTCTGAATGATCATATAAAAATTAAACTTTTAGAACAAGCTAGCGTTATTCTAGACATTATAGCTAGGTGAATAACATGTTGATGTTTAAAGCTAAGGCTAAAAGGTTTGAGTTTTATTGTGAACATTAACATTACCATGAAAATACATTGATTTAACAACCATGTAATCCTCAAAGAATACGCATATACTAACTAGAACTGATCAAATCTAATTTTGAATGATTTAAATCCTTTATGCTGATCATATGAATATTATGCTATTCTTAGAGTGGTCGAAGTTAGACATTAACACCGTCGGATGTCGGCCAGCTCAGTGGTCTGGTGATTAGGTGCTTGTGTGCGAGACCGACAGATCCAGAGTTCGAATCTCACGAGGTGGGAACATGGATACGCACTGTTGAGGAGTCCCACAGTAAGACGAAACAACCGTTCAGTGCCCCCAGGTTTGGTCTAGCCTCAATTGACTCATGAATTCAACTATTAAATTATTATTCTATTTGTTGTTTTCTAATTCTCTTTGGTAATACATATTTCAACAGGGTAATTCATCAGAAAAAGTTATGAATTTTCTACCACAATTGGAAAATGAACCACAACGTTTAAATTGTTTCACAATTAAACTACCTATTTATAATGAAACAACAAAATTTACCTTCAATTGTCCATTAATACCATGTAAATTATATGAAATCTCTATTCGACTTTTATATCAGAATCAATTTATTAATGAATTCAATTGTAAACGACGATTTATACGAAATGGTTTAGGTAAGTAATGTTTGCTTACCATATTGATGTTGATCTTCTATTAGGAGATTCACTTGTTGGTTTAAAATATCCAAATAATATAGTTCTGTTCAATGAAGAATGGAAATGTATACTCCAGATGGCAAATCGACTGATCACGTAATAAATCATCATCAAATGCGGTCGTTGGGACACATGATAAACAGGCCTATTCACCCCCTAACCTGGTGAATGATGTCTGGTGTAGGAGCAGGTTGGAAGAAAACTAGATCTAGCCAAAACAAGACATGACATCAGTGCATGAATACACTAACTGTTGGTCTGAGCGCTGTTAACAGGTGCAGACTATATGGTTGGGTTCCACTTGAGTATCATAACCAATGGTCAGAGATATCGCGTAAAATGGCTCATGATCACTCTCAATAGGACAGGTACATTCACGTTTCGTTTCTTTACAATTACCAAATTTCTAAATTCTCTAGAAAATACTTCATCGCATCTTGAATAGTTAGTCTCTTCTATTACCACTAACACTATGATTACCCTGACTACTCTGAAATTTACTTGAACAATTTCATCTCACTATGCTTAATGGATTCATACTTGCACAGTGTGATCGACGAACAAGTACGATCTGATGCAAACATAAAGGTAAGGATTGGCAAATCAAGGTCAGCCTTACTACATTTGAAGAACATATAAAACTCAAAACAGCTGTCTGTCAACCAATATCAAAGTCACAATCTCCAACACGAACGTCAAGACAGTTCTACTGTATAGAACTGAAACCTCGAGAACTACCGCAATCATTATCAAAGAAGTACAAGTATTTATAAATAATTGTCTACGTAAAATACCCAATATCCGTTGACCGGATGGCATCATCAAGAGCCTACTATGAGAGAGATTAAAATAGCTTCCAGTTGAAGAGGAAATTAGGAAACTATAATGTAGGTGGATAGGACGCACATTAAAGAAATCATCAAACTGCATCACAAGGCGAGCCTTAACTCAGAATCTTGAAGGAAATAGGAAAAGAGGAAGATCAAGGAACAAATTGCACCGGGAATTATAAGCAGAATGAATTGAAACTGGAAACAACTGGAAAGGATGGATCAGAACAGAGATCGATGGAGAGTAAAAGAGAAAAAACCAACTTCCAGTTGAAACGAAAATTAGGAAAAAGACGATGGAGTTGGATAGGACACATTGCGAAAAAATCATCAAACTGCATCATTAGGCAATTACTAACTTGGAATGCTGAAGGAAAACTGAAGAGAGTTAGGACAAAGAACACACTGCGTCGAAAATTGGATGAATAGCAACTGGGAACAATTGGAAAGGATTGCCAACAACAATGTTGGATAGACAATGGTGATGGACGGTCAATGCCGCTTCACGAGGAACAACAGGGATAAGTAACCAAACAAATGAAGAAGTAAGTAAGTACGCTTAACCACTGGAAAACCGGTGTACAAACGTATGAGGTTCCACATTGTAAATAACTGACATTTTCATGCAATCGGTTCCCTTTATGAATTTAAATAGAGCAAGAACAAACATTAATGCAGAATAGTATAATTCATATTATTTCGGGGTTTCTCGTCAGCTGCTTACAAACCAAAATTGTGATAGAATTTTTACATGGAGATAGTGTGAAACAATTGACATAAATGAGTGTAAATAACTGGATTACAATAATAACTATATATATGCTAGAAACAGGTCAGAGGTCAAAAGAGGGGGGTTAATCCAGGGTGGGTGGTGTAATAATTTGGTGAAGTTCATAAATTGTGTGATTAATGGAATTAAATAATGATAAGGTAGATTACGTAATAATAATTAAATAGGGTTTGTATGTTTTGTATGTTTTCCATAACGTAGTCATACTGCTCACTGAAACAAACGAAAATCGACAAGTCCTCTCCCCTCAGTTGCTCCAACTGCATTTACCAATTCACATGTACGTGCCGTAGTACATACATTGGAAGAACTGAGAGAAGAGTACAGGTTCGCATTTCTGAGCATATTCCGAAGAACTTGACGCTGCGAGGGACTAAAGCTTTTAACAGTGCAATAGCTTGGCATCTTCTTGACATCGGGCATACCGTCGATATTATACGCACGTTTAAAATTATCAATAGACAAAGAACTACTACCACTCTCCGATTTGCTGAAGCCATTGCAATCAAGAAACTGAAACCGGACTTATGCATCCAAAAAGAGACTTTAATAAACTTATCACTATCCTGGTAATCTTTTTGTTTCTGTTTGTTTTGTGTTTTGGTTATTTTATTCATTTACTTATTCTAAGATATTTTAAACTCCCCCCCTATTACCTAATTCTTAAAATAAATTTTATTCACACATTTCCACCACTTGATCCTCTTAAATTATCTTAACTTTCCAAACCCTATTTAATTATTATTACGTAATCTACCTTATCATTATTTAATTCCATTAATCACACAATTTATGAACTTCACTAAATTATTACACCACCCACCCTGGATTAACCCCCTCTTTTGACCTCTGACCTGTTTCTAGCATATATATAGTTATTATTGTAATCCAGTTATTTACACTCATTTATGTCAATTGTTTCACACTGCCTCCATGTAAAAAAATTCTATCACAATTTCGGTTTGTAAGCAGCTGACGAGAAACCTCGAAATAATATGAATTTATACTATTCTGCATACTATTCTGCATCAATGTTTGTTCTTGCTCTATTTAAACTGACATTTTGTTGAAATTACTTTAACAACAATATAATCAATATGTTTATGTATAACATATTTCTTTTCCCATCTCTTTTTCTCTCTTTCCATCTATCTTACAGTATCCAAATCCCCGTCAAATGTTTATGCAAAAGCATTAGCTAATAATATGATTCTATTTCAAATGAATAAACCGAATCCATCAACATTTAATCATTGCAATATATATGGTTATATTATATCGTTTAATAATAATGATGATGATGATGATGAATATCAAACCATTCAATCATATCATTATAGAAATTTCACAATTATTCATCTAAATGATTTACAAAATAACATGAATTCACATTTACATGTATATCATAATATGTCAAGTGATCAATTCTTTCTTAATAATCCATTCCCTTCAGCTAATTCTATTTCAGTTCGTATTCAATCTATTCCAATGGATGATAAAAATTGGATTGATTTAAACATTCCATTAATAAATTCAAGTAAATGTTAGATTATAAATTGTTATGTCATGTATAACTATGTCATGATTGATCTAAGCTTAGTGAATAATATCAGATGGGTTTTGTGGATATTATAGTAATTTCAATGGTTAAGATTATGAGTCAGTTGATGCTAGACCATCATGGAAAACCTGGAAGTACTGAACGGTAGTTTCGTCTCATTGTGGGACTCCTCAACAGGGCGCATCCACGACCTCGCCCCCCCGCAAGACTTGAGCCCAGGACCTACTGGTTTCGCGCGCGAGCATTTAACCACTAGAACACTGAGCCGGCATTCAACAGTGTTAATGTCTAACTTCAACTAATCCACGAAATTGAGCGACGCATCCACTGTGGTCTTCAGTGAGTTAATATCTCACAACAGACCTGGTTGAACTCCACTGGTCACTACTTCTCACTAGAACTTCAGGATATACCTATTGAAGCCAGTCACTAGTGAGCATATGTTGATTAATATGATAAGGGTCTTTTGTGGATATTATAGTAATTTAAATGGTTACGATTATGCGTCAGATGAATAGTTTGATGACATGATTAAGTTTACCTGTGATGATTACTTACTTACTTACTTACGCCTGTTACTCCCAATGGAGGAGAATAGGCCGCCGACCAGCATTCTCCAACCCACTCTGTCCTGGGCCTTCTTATCCAGTTGTATCCAATTTTTGCTGTGGTGATGATGATTTAATCAACATGGTAACAAAAGCATGATCATCAACTATATACTGTTAGGGAGACCCAAAGTATTCCTGGAAAAAAAAACTGAGAGAGGCTCCGAAAACATTGGGAAACATTTTTATCCAATCAACGTTGAATAGATGTTTCTCAAAACCATTTAAAAAGTGAAGAGTCTGACTAGGTAATTACCTATCCTGCTACTATGTTTAGTAGGGTTCCAGAATATTCCATAAGCCTAAGATTATCTGAAATGCCATAAGTACCTTTCAATAAATCGTTCTTTCCATATTTCACTCCTTTTCTCTCGTGTTCAAGTTGTTGTGTAGATTAAATTTTGGGGTTATTAACAAATCGATTCAAGTGTCCAGTCAGATAGTTTATCATACACCAAATTAGTTGACCCGAATCAGTATCAATCAATCATACAGTAAGACTAGTAAAACTATTCAGTGAAGAGTTACGTATCCCATTTCTGATTGTATGATTACCTATCCTATTACAATACGTTTAGTAGAGTTCCAGAATATTCCATAGACTTTAGACCATGAATACAAATTGATCAGTTTGATGATCGCTTCAATTTAAAATGATCATAATTTATACATTTCTCTTTGATTTCTTTCATTTTTTCAGATTGTTATTTAGATTGTATTTGGCCAAATCAACCTCCATATTATCGATTTACACAAATACTAAATCACTATAATTATATAGGTCAACATAAAAGTTATGTAATTCCTCAAACCATAAAAAATAGTTTACAAATTTTTCAATGTTCAACAATGATAGATCAAGTTAATAGTCATTCTAGATTATGTCAATTTAATTCAAATATACAATTATCCGAGTACACATTTTGTATGGATACTTATTCATCTATTAAAACATGTTTTGTTCCTACATGTGATGAAACTGGTAAGTTTATTATATACTAGTTATATGATAATCTAGTTAATGGAGAAGATTTGTAGCTCAGGTGGATGATTTTAATGGAGTTTTGTTCTCTGAGCTGGATGATTTGGTCGTGGAGCTTTCATCATTCTTCTGATGATGATGTCATTTAGAAGAACGATGAAAGCTCCACGATCAAACCATACAGCTCAGAGAAAAAAACTTCATCAAGATAATCTAGTTAGTCATTATTGATTCACTAAAACTCTTATGATGATTGTTCAATCATTTAATCATTTGATAATAGAATGTAGTATATTAAGATGTGATTTAGTTGAAGATGATCGATCAGAATTTTCATTTTCATCTCAATTCAGTTCTAATTGATAATCATCCACCATTTGATAGCTTTAATCTAAGCTGAAATGTTACACCTTATGGGATTTGGACAAGATCTCTATTAATGAACAACTAGTCATGACATGACTGCTGACTAATAATCAGCACTAAGCATCATTCAAAATGACTATGTTTTTCTACTTGGTAACTAGTTCGCGTAAACAATTTGAGTACTAAATTTTTCGAAGACTGTCTAGCTATACGAAAGCCTATTGTATAGTATATCCGGCAACTTCAAGTTCAATATTAGTCAGTTTGTGATAAGTCATGATAATAAGTGAGTATATCTGAATATTCCAATATACTACTAGTGTAGTGAACAAGAACACAAGTGGCGACAACCGGACGTATTACAGAATATCCTAGTAAAATCTGAGAACCATACTGTAAATACTTAATTTGCAAAATATCAATCAATCGTCTCAGACTTCAGTGTTCCGTCATTTCCACAGTATTCATTATATGTTCTCGTTCTGTTTTCTTCTATCTTCTTAACCTTCTGCTGTTTGATATTTCACTTTCTATTGATGATATATACTACTTATATCTGTCGAAATCAGTAGCGCACACCACACTATAATACGTTAGTATGACCGGTGCTAGAAATTATAGTACCATCAGAATGAATACTCGATCAGTATATCGTACAAAAACTAGAATCACATCATACCTAAAACACGATGCTTAACTGAAGCAGTCTACACTCAGGTCGAAATTTATGACAGAAAGGAATTGCACTAAATAGTTAATGGACTGAATGTCTGTCCATCTATGCTCAGTGACTAACCATGTTTTACATTTACTGTCCAAATTCACTATTATTGATGAGGAATACTTTATTACTACCCACTTTTTGACGCTATAAATCATAGTTTTGATTGGAATATCAACGACTTCACTTTATGAATCGTTTTGTTCGATCTGTGTTGAAGTATCAGTGGTCTGCGGTGATTGATGTAATATATGTCTCGTTCTTAGTCATGGTCGAATTCCATTGAGCAAGTTGACATATGACCACAAGTCTAATTAGTTTAGCATCATGTGTTTTAATGTAAGCTGATTGAATTTAATCGTCAGAAAACCCTCGACAACCTAGATTTCGTGCTGGTTAGAAATTGTCAGCAGGGTTTAGTTACAACCCTGAGGTAACTAATGCTTCTTGATTTTGAAAACCATGTCACTCAGTTGCTATCGAGTTATTATAGTCGCGACTGATTTCCCATAGGATTGAGTTATTCATATTACGTTTCACTGAGACAATGAACTGATCAATGTTAGACTACCTAGAAGCACAGAACGGCTGTTTTATTGTAGTATTAGCTTCCTCAGTAGTACCCATTAACACCATTGAATACGGCCTTAGTGGTCTGCAGTTAGGTTGTTCTCGCGCGAGACCGAAAGTCATGAGTTCGACTCTCGTGCGTGGAGTCGTGCACTCCTGAGGTGCTCCATATGTCAAACGACACGACTGTCCAGTGGATTTAGGTTTCCAATAGTGGTCAGACATTGATCGGTTCATGCTTTCAGTGAAACTCCCTACAAGCCTATTACTGATATTCATATAGATTCCATCTATCAGGGCTCATATGATCGTTTATTATAGGTTTTTTCTTCATTTGTGCTCATAATTTTCCTTGTCTTTTCTCTATTTTATGTTGTATCTATGTGTATGCTGATATTAAGCTCTTATTCCATGTGTAACTTTGCCAAAATCTATCATTGCTAATTCATCCACCATACAAATTGAATGGTTAACAACTCAATTGTCATTACAAGAAAATAATTCATTTCAATTAGATTTTCATAATAATGATCAAATGAAACCTGATTCTTATTTAATTATTTTAAATCAGTTGAATGAATTTTATGGAATTAAACATGGAGTATGTGCTCAATATTCATTTGTGGTAAGATTCACTTGGTGTTATTTACTTGTATCCTCCCACTGTTATTTACGACTGCAATTGACCAGCCTCTTGTTAGCATATGTGTATCTTGTGCCGACTGCTTCGATATTGTCTGAAGTCACTATTAGGACTCAGTAGCTAAATGGATAATGCGATGGCGTTTGAAGTGTATGGTATTGGGTTCGAGTCCCGGAGCGACACATCAAGTTCAGGATGCAAGTACATCCAACTGATGAGTCCCAAAATAGAATAAAATGCGTGTCCTGGATTCCACTGCTAGACACCATCCATCTCCGCTCATCAAGCAATATTGAAGCAATCCATAAACAGTTATTTCATGATAAGCAAAAGCGGATAGACTTAGTAGATAAGTGGATAACGCGGTGGGGTTTGAAGCGAATGGTACTGGGTTCGAGTTCTTGAATGAACATCAAGTCTGAGATGCATATACATCTAACTGACCTGTCCCAAATAGGATGAAACGCGTGTCCTGGATTCCACTGCTATCCATCTTTGCTTTTAAAACTGTTGAAATAGTTCTTTTGGACTCGAACACAGTTCATACATTCTGTATACATTTGTTTCTCTGACTTTTTAGATGGAAATCAGTTATGTAAGTTCTGAAGAATCTCAGATTCTTGTTTTTTGAAAATCTTTCAACTTCTAGGATAGAGTTTAAGTAGTTTGGATGATTTTTTTCTGGTTGATGTTTTTATCAAGCGTAGTTCCTTTTTATTAGGATGGGGTTGCTAATCTCATGTCGAAATTTCCTCTTTTATCTCTGGCTTGAATTCAACGGTAATCGTTGAAAGACTCCAGGAGAATTCTTGATATATCTTTTACTGTCCCTAAATTATCGGTAAATTATCAGGCTTCTACTACTCGATTTGTTCTATATTACGCATAGCCTAGTTGTACGTAAACTGTAACTTCTCTTTTGCGATAGACAGTTGTTATGTAATCGATATATATATATATATATATATATATATATATATATATAATCCTGTGAGTCAGGAAGCTATCTTTGTCTTCTGATTGGCTACTGGAGATAGAAGGAACTGCACGGACTAATAAAAGTTAGAGCGATGATTATCACTCTGATAAACGTATAGTGAACTCATAGTTAATGAACTCTACAACTAAGTTGACATATATTAAGCTCGAATTTACGATAGATTTTGTTTTAATTAGCATGTGCTCAAACTAATGTGTTTAGTATTGAATGAATGACTTTAATTTCTTACTTCTGTGAGACTATAATTTATAAACGACCTTTGAGTGACATCAAAGTGACCCTGATAGAATTCATGAATCTACTGTTGTCAAAATAGGATTAAGATTTAGTGTGAGAATTTAGAATTAAAAGTTTTGGTTTAGGAATTAGAGTTGTTGTTGTTGTTAAGTTGGTATTACTAACTAGCATCAATTATAAAGCCAGAATGCTATTTCGTCATATAGATAAGTAAATTTCGCTCGCTATTTTAAATCTGATTGGTTTGTCCATAACTAATAGTCTCACACTTACTAACACTGAATAGAAGTCAAATGATCAATAATCCATGTGTTTAACTGTAATCAACTGTCTGCAATCATTTCGACAGTTACCATATATCACGGAGTTGATGTTCACTTTGGGACTCAAACCCAATACCGTTCTCTCTAGACGCCAACACGATATTCACTTAGCTACTGAATTTACACAGCTACTTGGTTGTAAAATGGGGTGAAGTTTTATTCATTTTTCTATTGGTTGTTTAAATCTTTGCATTGATGTTCAGGGTTGCAATTGTGATATGATGGAAAGAAAAGTCAAAATTCGATTGATTTACTTATTATGAGTTTTGTTCGACATTAACTTCCGTTTTGATTCAATGTGCTAATTACTCAGTGTAGTATTTGTTTCTGTTTACCAGAGTGATATTTAATTATATATAACATACGATATTCTTGTATCCAATTGACATGAACTATGCTCTATATGTGAGTTGTGGTAACTGTAAGTATTTTTCATATGTGAATTGATCCTAATTATTAATCAAATTGGATGTACAAGCAATATATAATGAGTGTATTTTCGACTAGAGTTGTTGTTTGTCGTCGTGGTTGTGTCTTGGGTTTAATAATTCTTCACTTTAACCAGACCTTGTGTTCGTACTTTCGCCTCGTGGGAATTGCAGAGATCCCTCGTTTCGAGTATAAGTGATAAGCGTTTCCAAAACAACAATCAGCGACGATCAGATATAACAAGTAGCATTCAATCAACAAAACATATCAAGTTTTTGGTTGAGATCATGAACCGATTGAAGTTGGACCACCATCGTCCTATTGTGGGACTCCTCCTTGGCAGTGCGCTTCACGATCCCACCCGCAAGATTTCATTCTCACGCGCGAACGCTTAACCTACTAGACCACTGAGCCGGCATCCAATGGTGTTAGTGTCTAACATCAATCAATCCACAAAATTGCACGACCATCTTCCATTGTACTGAAATAGATACCTGTCTCTACCCGACACCGATTAGCTCCACTGGTAATGGCTTCTCACTAGAACTTTGAGAATTCCCTCACGAAGCTAGTCACCAGTGAGCATATGATATTTACTGGTATAAGGGTTGTGGAGATTACTAAGTCTAACATCAATCGGTTCATGATTTCAATCAAAAACTTAATAATCTCCACAACCCCTATATCGCTTATTGATATATGTGTATCTTATACGGATTACCTCGATATTGCCTTAAATCACCATGTTCGAGTCCCAAGATGAACATCAACTTTAGGGATTCAGGTACATCCGGCTGACAAGTGCTAAACTAAGACGAAACATATCTCCTGGATTCCATTTCTAGTAAACATCCATCTCTGCTTATAATACTTGTAATTTGAGTATTATTATTATTATCTTGTAGGTTATATCCAAAGATACTCATGAAAATTGGAAAAATTATTTTCATGATTTAATTATTCAATCATTAATTATATCATGTCTTGGACAAACAACCTATTCATATCCTGAATTAAAACAATCCAACATGATTATATTTGATAAACTTATACCAAGTACATTATATGAGATTAATATTATACCATTTAATAAATACGGTAAACCAGGATCAAATTGGAGACAAGAAATCTATACTACAATTGCAAGTAAGAATTTCTTTTATTATAATAATCAGTATTGTTACTTTCTATCATTGTCAGTATATTTTAGATAAGAAAGAAGGAAGGATTTTATATTGGTTTCCCTATATGTCATGAAATACTTCAGCGGTGTACATTAATGCCCCCAAATGCCCTGGTAAGGCCGAGAGTGTGATGGGCCCGCCGCCCTTCTCGAAATGCTCTCATATGGCCACGTGTATATAGCCTCTGGCAGGGAAGTCCTACCCACTGCCTTCTAGTGGTGGGGGTGTTATTTACGAAGTTGAGAGGACGAAAAGCGAATGTCCATCGCTTTAACCGGATTTTAAATCAATGGTGCACATGGCCTCCACTATCCTGCGGGAACAAATGGCGTATGAATTAGTTGTTGGTCACCGGCTTCCATGGGACTGCATCTCCTTACGATCCTCCACTGCCTTGTGGATCGAATGAGATTTGTGTGGCGCATATGTATTTGGTGCCTCCTTGTACCAATATCTATGTGTTAAAATAAATAAATAAAAACACTAACAGTAGTATAAAAGTAGATTCTTTTATTCACTACTATACATTATTTTGATCGATTTTTTTACTCACATTTCGTTTTGCAATAAAAATTGTTGCTTTGGTTTTTGGAAGGGGCATCAGCTTCACGACTTCTGAATGAATTCGGCTTTCTGCATGAGGCATCATAACTCTTCTAAATGAAGACCTTCTAACTCCTAGGGCAGATTTTAAATGGTTTGAATTATTTTTTCTGGTTAGCTTCTTTTAACGAATTAATTTTCTACGGGATGGGGTCGCTAACTCCATGTCCAATCCTCCTCCTTTACACAAGCTTCGGACCGGCAGTAACTCTAGGAGAGCTACATGCGGAGTTGTCTACGCTAAATATTCAACATTTATTTGCCGGAAACCATCAGCAACAGCCTATTGTGGGAGGGAACAAACCAGTTTCCAGGTGAAGAGGAAATTAGGAAAAGACGATCGAAATGGATAGGACATACATTACGGAAATCACCAAACTGCATAATGAGACCAGCCCTGACTTGGAATCCTGAGTGGAAGCGGAAAAGAGGAAGATCAAAGAACACATCACGTCGAGAAATAGAAGCAGATATAAAAAGGACGAATAACAACCGGAAAGAGCTGGATAGGAATGGAGGGTTGGGTGGAGAGTGCTGGTGGGTGGCTTATATCCCTGCACGAGGAATAACAGACGTAAGTAAGTAGGTAATGTAATGTGGTCAGTTAGGCCAACGCATATTTATTTCAGGATCTTTATTGATGATATCTGCCTGTCTACGCAACAAATGTCCTATCAGTAATCAAATCCCTATCATTAAGGAGATATGTTTAGCTTTTAACATTTAGATCACCAATAATTTACGTTTCTGTGTCCATTTTGGAAGTTTTCACAATACTGTGTATTCATAGTACTCGCTTAATACAACAGCACATGCTTTATTACATCAAAGCATTCTCAGTACATATTTTACAGTGTTACAACAAAACTTTCATCTTCATAAGCATTTAACTTTTGAACATACGAAAGGTATATGTAAAACGCCTTTAAACAATGCTTACTTGACATTTATATTCATTAGTAACTGTTAATTATTAGTCTTACTATTTTGATCATCATATATATTTAATGAATGAATCCCACTGAAGTCGTTTCTGATTCCCTTAATTGGGAAAAGCAGATGACTGTACTGAACGAATGCGCACATGAAGATCCTGATTACACTCAGTTTTTTCTTGATCTGTTGTTGCTACCGCCACTAGATAGGCTAAGTGAATAAACCTTTCGACTTTCACTCAATAAGTTTCAGGTTTGAACCCTAATCCACCTACTTTGCTTTGGTCAACCGGATGGTATCATTAGCTCTTACACTTAGAGTATGTATTATATGTAAGTACCTGGTGAGTGAGTTGATATTTTGAACGAAAACTCATACGTACTAGCTTGTAACAAAAATGTGCTCACTAGTGACTAGCTTCGTGAGGGAATTCTCGGAGTTCTAGTGAGAAGTCGTGACCAGTGGAGCTAATCCGTGTCGGGTAGAGACAGGTATCTGCCTCAGTACAATGGAAGTTGGTCGCGCAATTTCGTGATTGGTTGATGTTAGACACTAACACCATTGGATGCCGGCTCAGTGGTCTAATGGTTAAGTGCTCAGGCACGAAGCCAGTAGGTCCTGTGTTCGAATCCCGCGGGGTGCGGGGTCGTGGATGCGCACTGCTGAGGAGTCCCATACTAGGACGAAACGGCCGTCCAGTGCTTCCAGGTTTCCAACGGTGGTCTAACATCAATTGATTCATGATCTCAACCAAAAAATCAATAATACTGCAATTAAAACAAACGTATGAAATAAAATTAGGATTTTTAAGAATAATGGGGCAGAAATTCAAATAACTCACCGTATCCATAGAGAACCAATAGGAATTACCAAGTGGCAGAGAATATCATCGTCATAACTACCGATGACTACCTTCTTGAGTTTCAAGTGATTAGTATAACCAATTTTTGGAGATTTCGGATGAGATGATTGAAAATCACCATAACAGCGTAAATACACAAACTGTTTGTTTTCCCTTATGTTCTGAGTTTCTAAACTCTTTTTTTATCATTTCAATAATTTATGTTTCATCGATTTGGATCTCTAATGTTTATTCTTTTTAATTGATAATATTCTTATCTTCACAACTACAACTGCGGAATTGGTCCTTCGCTTACGTAGTACGGCAACGTGTACCAATGGACATATATACCAGGTTCTACGTTGTGTTTGACTGAATGAAATATTTCACTCTTTTGATGTATGGTGTCTGAAATCTGATTCTGACACTTTGGTCTGGGTTACTTATATCCACATAAGTAGTATATAACGGTGGTCAGGCGTAGAATATATTTCAGTAGAAGATCAAGAAGGAAAGAACGGAAACGGAACGTAATTGGTATGAAAATATATGAACAATCAAATCTGAGACAGTGGATTGATATTTGCAAGAGGAACAGTCAAGTTTGATATGATGGATTGATATTTTGCAAATTAATCATTTACTGTATGGTTCACAGATTTTAGTGAGATGCTCTGTAATTTCGTGTCAGTAGCATCCGATTGTCCTCACTTGTGTTCTTGTTCACTACAATACCATTAAACATTGTGCAGAATATTTAGAATTTCAACTGTAACTATAAGCAAAAATGAATGATGGCTAGGAGCGCTTCGTCCTATTTGAGACCTGTCAACTGAATGTATCTGCATTCCAAAGTTGAAGACGAGTTCAAGGTAGTACTGGATTCGAATCTCACAAGAGACCAGATTGTGGATGCGCGCTGTTGAGGAATAGTCCTACAATCGAACGAAATAGTCATCCACTACTTCCAAGTTTTCCATGATGATCTAGCTTTAATTGATTCATGATTTCAACTATTGAAATGAATATTAGTTCTATTTAAATGATCCGTTCAATTTTAAAATGTTTTAGTGTATTTAATGAAAAATTTGAATGTTTATTTTAAAACAAAATGAAGAAAAAAATTGTTTATTTGTAAATATTTACTGAATGTTTATGTAATACATAACCATTTTGACTATTCTATCCGATTGAAAGTGTGTCCGATCCTTGAAAAAAATATACATTTCTAAATTGTACTAAATCCTTATGATTATTATTGTAATGTGAGCTACTTATATCCACATAAGTAGTATATATAATGATAGTCAGGAATAGGATGTATTTCAGTAGAAGATCGGAAAGGAAAGAGAACAGGAACGGAAAACAATTAGTATGAAGTCAGTTAGTCAGTAACAACGCAGAACTTCGTACGTATGTACATCAATGCGAGTTGCCACATCACATTAGCACAGTGATGCAGTTGTCGACTTAAATCCCGTAGTGGTAGAGGTAGTAAGAGTATAAGCAGTAATCGGAAACATTAGGGTTTGAAGATGTTATTCAAGGAATATAATCCAATGAATCAATGGATTCATATTTTGCAAATTAGGTATTTGCTGTATGGTTCTCAGATTTTGGTAAGGTGTTCTTAGAAGTCATGCTTCTTGGATGTTTTATTCTTTAGACTCAATTGGTTTTTAATTTACCCCATCTCCAACATCATACGTGATTCCTTATTTTCAGGGCTGGAAGTAATTCATATGACAACATTTATTGACTGTAGCTAGAATGATTTAGACACACTGATTAATTCATGAATTCTGAGATTATCGCTTCTAGGCTTATAGATATGTTGTTGTAATTCATTTGATCCATCCGTTATCTTTGTAAACAATGTAATTGGGAACTATTTTAAATAAATAAACACTTTAATAAAGAACTGATTGTAATAACTATCATACTTGGTAAATCAGTCGATTGGACAGTAGCTCTATTTCTACAAACGGCTGAAATCATACAACCAAAGATCACATAGTGGTGAAGATATATGAATGAATATCACTTAACAAGCGAATATGTATATCATTAAGATAATGAAATGATGTTGATTAGATGATCATTGAAGATCTGAAAACAATGAATCACTGTTTCATCTTTGCATGGGACTTCTGAGCAGTGCCTTTACACAACCTTGCAAACTAGAATTGAACTAAGGTGCTTCGCTTTCGCGTGAAGGAAAACCTCTAAACTATTAAACCTCCACCCACTAGCGTACAATTCTAACTTCAACCAATCTACATCTCGGATACATTAGTAGTGCTTAAGTTATATCAAATTTGTAGTTGAAGACGATATGACATTAGATTGTAGATTAAACAATGGCTTATGATGGAAAGATTCAGACAGTCACGTACATAAAATGTTAGTAACTAATGTCATATAAACTACTTTTCATTATTTGTTATTTCTTCTTCTTTTTCTAACATCTCATCTTTTGAAAAGTTGTGGTATAACTATTTACCAGAGTATATACCTAATAGAATTGGTTTACGTTGTGATCCTCGTAAGCCTCACCGATTTCTTTATTGGAATATTGAAAAAAAAAAATGAAAAAAGGGAGATATTCGTTAGTAATGATGACTGAGATACTGTCCTATTCTCTCTGATATGGTAATTCAGTCAGAATTAGCCTAATGAGATGGTCGATTGATGGCACTCTGAAGTGACCCGTAGGACAAGTGCAAATCATTGGCTAAGAAATGGATTAATTTTGTAAAACGGTAGAGTTGTACATATATACATGAGTATTTGTGCATATTATTCGGTAGCCTTATATAATTTCTCATTCACTCTTCTATTCTTGCTCATGTATTTGGGTTTCGGGGTGGTTAGTGCGTAGCTCGTCGTGTCTCACTATGAGATTTCGGATACCACTGATCTTAACACTCTCCTTTTGGCAAATTATAAAATTATCGTTTTAAAATCCATTTTAGAAGTATTTGACTTTTTATTCCTTTGTCATAAGTGACCTTTCTAAAGAAGTTTTATTACAGTCTGTTAGCTTATGATAGTACTATTATTCCTAAATGAAAAGTATTGAATAAGATTTGAATTATCAGTATAGGATTATGGAAATTGTTGGGTTCCGATTGAATTCATGAATCGATCAATGTAGAATTGGAAGGCCGTTTCATTCAAATAAAGAACTCCTCATTCGTGTAAATCCACGATCAAGTATGCGGTTAAGCATTCGTGAGCGAGATTGAAGGTCATGATTTTGAATCCGACATGCGGGATCGTGGAGTTCTATACTATGACGAAACAACTATCCAGTACTTCCAATTTTTCAATAATGATCTAACAATGATCAATTCATGATCTCAATTAGAGATTTGAATGATTTTATTAAAACAAAGTCTATCATTTCTTGATCTACTTTTGCTTTATTTTCTTATGACATAACAATGTATAGTTCCATGTAAACCAGATAGTATGGAATTCTATAAAATTGAATCACACGCTCTTTCAATTAAATGGTATTTATCAAGAAATATTTATTGTGGTTATCCATCACGTATTATTGTTTATTATAAACATATGAATAGTGATGATAGTGATAATATGAATGAAGAATGGTATAATATTGATACAGAATATACATTAGAACATATAAGAATATCTTCATTAAGACCATGTCAATTATATTGTATTAAAATGAAATTTATTAATCAAGCTGGTATAGGACCAATATCAAATAGAATTTGTAATAGAACTAAACGAGCAGGTTAGTTACTATCTTACTTATTTTATTGAATACATATTTGTGTTGTTATGTTTACATTTCAATTATGTTGTTAATTCATGAGAAACCTGGAAGCACTGGATGTCGGCTCAGTGTTCTAGAGGTTAAGCGCTCGTGTGTGAGATTGATACGTCTTGGATTCGAATTTCGCTTGGCGGGAATGTGGATGTGTACTACTGAGGAGTAATTTCAAAATAGGACGAAACAACCGTCCAGTGCTTACAGATTTTCCATGATGGTCTAGTTTCAATTGACTCATGATCTCAGCCATTGAAATCATTCCTGTATTGTTTGTTTGAATCTTCCTATTATTGTTTATGTCTAAAATTGGCATGTGTGTATTGTGTGCGAATCGCCTCGATATTGCCTTAACTCATACACATCATAGGTAGAGATGGATGTTAACTAGGAGCGAAATCCAGGGTACGCGTTTCATCCTATTTTTGTGCTCAACATCCGTATGTACCTGAATTCTAGAGTCGATGTGTCACTCGGTGACTCGAGCTCAGTAACTTTCTCTTCAAACAAACAATACAAAGAATGAATTGATATTTCACTCCATTGCAAAAGCAAATGGTTATCTGTAGTCAGTAACTAAGAGACAACGCGATGGCATTTTAGGCGAATAGTTATGGGTTCGAGACCAAGAGTGTACATCAACTTCGACATTCAGGTATATCCAACTGATGATTCTAAAATAAAAGAAAACTCGCGACCTGGATTCCACTTCTAGATACCATCCATCTTTACTGATAATGTCATCATTATTAATGTACACTTAATATAAAGATTTATGATGAACAATTATTTTCAAAAATTTCCATTTGTACTGTCGCCGTCTATGCTGCTTTTGCTGATAGATATAAGTAGCATGCAGCACTGATCATGAGTGGAATGCCTGCCAGAAGAAGATTGAATTGAAGAATATAAGTAGGGGAACAGAGAGCAATCGTAATAACAACATAATTGAAAGAATCAGGAAGTATGTAAATGACAACTGAAGGAAAGTGTGCAAATAATCTATTTAATATATGAGTTTCATATTTTACTAATGCACTTTGTAATTTTGCATTAAACCATTAATTGGTTTTCACCACCTAATTTTCATTCACCACAATACCAGAAGATCCTAGGCTCCTTAACTGGTATTTTGTCAATGTCCTATTCTAAAACAAGACAGTTGCACAATACTTACTGATTATCAATGATAATTTAAATGAGATTCTTTTAACTAAGATAAACAATTTCATTTTCTGAGCTGGATCGTCATGGAGTTTTCAGCGTTTTTCTGAACGGCATCATCGCCAGCACAAACTTCAAGTAGAAGTGAATTGTTCGAATTTCTCCAGTATATGGTTGTTAGATCTATCCAAGCGCTCAAGTTACCCGATTGAGATACGCGCAAGACCGAAGTTTCCAAAACAATCATTTTGTCTACATTAGCGGTTCTTTATTGAATAATACACAAAATTCAGTTACAAACCTCAACTTGTGAGGTGTCTCGGGCGTTTAAACTCGTCCTTTAAGTATGAAATAAAAAGGCTTTCTGTAATAGTAACATAAAGAATAATTACAACATACGATATTACAAAGGACAACTGATAGCTTTCTAAATTTGCTAACAGTTTATGGACAATCGAAACCCGAACCAAGAGCAAAACAATATGGAAACTGTTGCGTTTAAACAAATGCATGAAACTGTGGATAACAGCCACAGCGATTAAGATACAGTGATTATAATGAGTCGATGATAAGTACAATAAACGCTATAAGTACATGTGAGCATTTCAGAATATTACACTACAACCTAGGTTACAACATAAGTTCAAAAATTGTTGAAAATACAACTGCTTACTCAATGTAAATAAGTAGTATAAAACAATATACAAAAGAGTGGAAAGGAAGCGACTAGGAACAATGTTAGACAAACTTAACAATGGTTCACAACTTGTCCTGTAGACCTTGATGTTGATTAGTTCTTGTTGACCTCAAACTTATCATTGTCTACTTCTCCATACAAATCATTCACCTCAACTATAAATCTTCTTCATTATCTCAATTTCATTTTTAATATATTTTTTCAGCTTTTACAAATATACCAATATTGACAAGTCAAATAATAGAACCTAATCAACAAAAAACATCAAATAATCCATTTATCATAATGTTACGTTTACAAATTCATTTGAATTATACCATTTATTGTCCTGTTCAATATGAATTTCTAATCAATATTTATAATGATGAAGAAAATCCTATGATTATCATTTCATCTAATCCTGGTGGGTTTCAATATGTTCTAAATGTTGTCTCTTTCTTTGAATTCTCTAACATAGATGGTTTAATACTGAATATCTTACTAAGTAATATCAATAATATCTGTTATATTGAGAAGGTCTCTGCGAAATTACTTCATTGTAGGATTTGAGTAGTTTGAGACGTTGAATGACATAATTCAGAATCATTCAAAATTGTATAGATCCACTCACATTTTGTATTCTCTTAGATCCTAAGGTCATCAATTTATTTTACCTCACTAAGTTATGTTGTATAGAGGCATATCTCTTATGTCTAATCTTTTGTATGATCGCTTATACTGTTGTTACTTTGACTACTTACACATTTGACTTGACAATTTCATCTTGTTTTCCCAATGTGGTACGGTAGCTTGAACCGATATACAGGTTGTTTTAGACTGACTGAGTTCGTTTTGATAGCCTAATTTGTGAACAAGTGTATTTGTAGGTTTCTTTGTGTAAGTTTGTGTTATGACTTTATGTCCGGTTTTTCATCACGTGATTTATCCACCAATCAAAATACGACTTATAGAATCTTAGCACTGTGCCAAACCAATGACGTTCGACATGTATGAGCAACCTAGCGTCCTTATTGGTCCTATGTTCGCTTAGCCCGTCCACTTGAGTCCAGAACACAAATACCAGCTTCCATTATGCGGACTGAATCGAGTCGAACCATTTGTTTCAGAGATACTAGGTTTATATATCAATCAAACAGACCTCAACGCACCATAAAATAGGAAATAACATTTGCACACAATAAAGCCAAAAAGGGTCTGTGAACGTGGGAGGCAGTAGTTGATAAACTGGACATAACTTAAGAACCGTAAATCGTACAATAATAAATTAAAGGTCAAAATAAAGCTTATAATAAGAGGAGTATAAATATACAGAATCTAACTATTGAATAGTTATACCATAAGAATGTAGACATAATATTAGTCAATTAATAGGTCTCAGAAGTTACTCGTGATTTAATCTTCTCTCGGATATAACAGTTTGTTTTTTGGGTTTCCACTGGATGTCTAGTTTGATCGGTCTACCTTTTTTGTTTGATTGGTAGTTTACATCTGTTTCAATATATCTGTCAATTGCCAACTGATTTGAATGCAATATGTTTAGAAATTCTCCAGGATTCTTTAAATGTGCTTCATTCAATATTTTGACGCTTCCTATTCGTTTCAGTTTATCGGTCAATTAGTCTTCTTCCATCAAGTTCTTGGAACTCATTTATATTGATAAACGTTTGACAATAATATCATTTCTCGACCTGAAGATAAGTTTTCTAGGAAGTATTTGTCACTTAATTGGTGTATCAAAGAAGTGTAAAGACTTTATGAAAACTCTTTACTTTAGCATTACTGATCACATCTAATTTCTAGTTCACTACAAATTGGTAATTGTTTCGTTTTCACAAATAAATTGGTTGAGACTATAAATGGAAAATGGCTAGAAGTGGGATGTAAGACGTGCGTTTCGTTATATTTTGAACCTATCAGCTGTGGATATACCGTATCTCAGAGGTGATATCCGTCTACATTAGATATAAACTTACTTCATAATGAATATATTGAGGTCGTTGTTGGGATATTCCGGAAAATATCCCAAAAATTATTCTGTTAAGTCTAACGCTATCCTTGAACTTGAAATGGTGTTATTTTCTTATTGGTCAATATTTATTTCACGTGTCGTTTTCTTACTGGTGAATATTGTACAATGTTATTTTCTATTTTATGGTACGATATGGTCTGGTTGAATGGTATATAAACCGAGTATGTTTGAAATATAATAATATAAATATAAATATAATATAAATATCTCTGAGGCTGAGGCTTGCGTTCTGGACTCAACTGGCTAGGCTAGACAGGGAAGTGGGACTAATCAGAACTCTAGATTGTTCTTACGTGTTTACGCGTCTTTGGTCCGATCGATAACTCACTGTCCTTTAATCTACTGTCACAGTTATAACAGTCGTCCACACAAAATATACATGTGCCAACTAACATTAATCGAATTTCAGTCAAAATATCAAGAACAGGCCAATCGAATTCATTACACATCGAAATAATTGAGAATAGTTGATCGTATTTCATATGTCATATTTCTCCATATAGTTTTATGTCGACTTATCAGTTATAATTATTTTGTTTTGCCATTTAAAACCAGTTGACTAACTGTTATAATTAGTGTTCTGTTCCTGATAATGTATAACGTGATAATACCGCCAATTAGAGAACTTTAATTTATCGATCGGACCAATAATGCATAAAACCCGTGCGAACAGTCTAGAGTACTTATCGGTTCTGCTTCCTGCTTAGCCCAGCCAGTTAAATCCAGAACACTAATCTTAGCCTCTGCAATATGAATCATTTATTTCAAGCATACTAGGTTTATATACCAACAGATAGATCACGTCGCACCATGAAATCGAAAACAACATTTGTACAAGATTTAGCCCAGGGTGGCTATGAATATGAGAGACTGTAATAAATAGACTGGGTATAACTCAAGAATGGTAAATCGTACAATAATAGTTCATAGGTCAAAATAAATCTCATAATAAGAGGGTGTAGTGACCTACTTCTATGAAGAGAACACGATTGATATAATGGAAACCATTATTATCATAACCAATTGTACCAGTGATTGTTTTACTATACCTGTTTGTTTAAGTGTACTAAAAGACACACTCTTCCGTTGCTTTGTGACCTTGTACGAAATCGCGTATGCCCAGTACTCCCGCTTGTAAACTTTGGCACGACCTCGGTATTATTTCGATACCACGAGATCGCCACACAAATATATCTTACTACAACCTTCAACTACCTTCTGATATCCGGCCTACGGAGGGATCTAACCTAATAACTGACATGTAGTCTTTCTGTAGTGGTGATCACAGTCAACCGCGACTCGATGCCTACTACGAGGGATATGAATATGGCGATTTAGTAATAGTTCAGAAATAGATTCTGACAGTTACCATTCATTATTTTCATCGGGATATAACACAAACCAATGCTTCTTGCATCAAAACGTTTTGTTTCAAGTGATTTCTTTATTGCTTTCCATTAATTGTTAAACGGCATGATCTTTAATTTGCGCTCTATCGACACTGATACTGGCAATACAAGCTTTCAACGCGCAAGCCTACAATCGAGTACTGGATGAGAAGTTTAATCATGAAGGAGGTTGATTATCGAGCTTAAATGATGTACTTCCATAATGACTTGTTTATTTACGTACTCTTCAGAAAAAAAAACACTATTTCATATGATTTTGTCATTAGGGTGAGTTTTAATTGGTCCACTATATCAGCAACCAATATAACGCTTGTCTTGTCGTTAATTAAGACCATGGATCAAAAGATGGAGATTTTCGCATCCTTTTGTGGTGAAATCATTATTATTATTCCATAACAGGCGGAATATTGCTAACATAAGATAATCTGTAGAGCTCAGTGTTTCAGTAAAACAGTTTTGTCATACACGCAAACGTTTATGAAATGATGAGAAAGGCGGTTGTGATAATGTTGCATTCACAGATCTGTATTGCGAGGCTTGCTTTACCGTTCTGTCGAATAATGTCAACGATTATTTCATCTAAGCTCAGAGGAGGCAACAATATCATCATTAATCTATTTACAATTGATTATTCACTGAGTTGTGATCAATATCATATCAGTTCTCTCTTAGTGCAGATCGAATTATATGGATTACGTCACCTAGACTAGTGACCACATCGCAACTTGATCGGTCAGCACACAGTGATCATCCACTTGTAAATACATCTTGCGGCCTGGATATCCCAGCCCTAACGTCTCTGACTGTGAAGCTGTGACACGGGACCGAGTCCGCCATAGAGTATCACTTTCCTCAAGATTAATATACACCTTATTGATGACTGCCAAAAAGTGTGAAACATAGGTTCCGAGTTTCCTAATGACTACCTCCAATCACCAGCTCACACTATTATTCTATATTTTTATAGACAACATTACCATTTATATATTAATAAACATACTGATCGCAACCATACAAGTACGATTTTTAATTCAAACAGTTGGATGTCGTTCATGTTATGTTCAAGACTGTTACCTTCATTTATAGTGATATGGTCCTCAATTGATATCTGAAGGATGTGCAGGACACATAGCACTTCACCTGCCTGCACTACCACTAACCCAAGAATATTATAAACTATTCTTACCATATACACCTTCTATACCGATGAACATCTATGATGATAGAATTATAATTAAAAGACTACAAACTATTTCCAAACCTGTTAGGGATGTTAGATCCTTAGAAATCTCTGTAATTTTTCTCTTCAGATTATATTTCTCACTTGAAAGGACCCTAAATGTCATTAGTTTGTTGCCTCTTTTAATAAGCTATTTTGTGACGTTCCCTATTCACCATTCTATTCTGTATATATACGCTTGAGTGGCATTCTTGGTTCGTTCGTGCTTTCGGCTGATTGTAGAATATACTTTTCCCTCGACTGAATCCGGTCTACTCCCTCTAGTTGGAGTGGCTGGGATACATTGAAATAGTTTAGCTTGTCCTGTTGTTTTGCAGACTTTTGTTCTGTTAGCCGATTTTAGGTGATTTCACAATCCTTCAAACATAGCAAAGCCACAAACATCACAAAGTTCAATACATTTGTATCCTCTGCGTAAAATATAAAAAATAAACTCACACTCAAATTCATACAAATATCACTTGCTTAATTGTTATAATCAACCTAATTGTTGGGCCATACTTATGTAGATTATCATTTGTCTTAAATTAATCTAAATAACACCGTTGAATGCCGGCTGAGTTGTCTAGAGGTTAAGCGCTCGTACGCGAGACTGATAGGTCCTGGCTTTGAATCTCGAGAAACGGGATCGTAGATGCGCATTGCTGAAAAGTCACACAATAGGACGAAACGGCTATCCAGTGCTTCCAGGTTTTCCATAGTGGTCTAGCTTCAATCGACTCATGATCTGAATTATTGAAATTACTAAATAAATGTATTTATAATATTCTGTCAAAGAATTAAATAATTTTGTTATCTATAGAAGTTATTCTTCGTAATAATATACAACGTGGAATGTTATATCAATTACGTGGACGAGTACGTTCAAATGAATCAGTTTCTACGTCAATAATACATAATGAAATGGACATGTTCAAATTTAGTCAATGGGCTCCAATTACTCTATTTTATGCAAATATGTGTAAGTTTTTAATTGGATTAATAATTTATAATCTCTCATTATGGATTGATTAAAATCAATAACTGTAAATTAAGAAAGACTAAACTTGATGGAAAAGGTCGGGAAGTGGTAGAAACGTCTACATACATGGGCAGTATCAAACAAGGAGGATCCGATGCAGAAGTGAAGGTGAAGATTGGTAAAACAAGGATAGTATAACTGCAGTTGAAAAAAGTTTGGATCTTAAAACATTCGTCAATACGAACATTAGGACATTTCTACTGTACGGTGTTAAAACTTCGAGAACTACCACAACCATCACCAAAGAAGTAAAATTATTCCTAAACAATTGTCTACTTAGGATACTCAATATTCGTTAACCGGATATCATCATTAACAGCCCATTATAGGAGAAAACAAACCAGATTTTAGATGAGGAGGAAATTAGGAAAAGACATTAGAGATGGATAGGATATACATTGTAGAAATCACTAAACTGCATCACAAAGCAGGTGCGAACTTAGAATCCTGAAGGGAAACGAAAAAGCGGAAGAAAATAGAACATACTGCACTGAGAATTGGAAGCAGACATAAAAAGGATGAATAGCATCTGGAAACAGTTGGATTGGATTACCCAGGTCAGAGTTCAGTGGTGAATGCTGGTGGGTGGCTTATACTCCTCCACGAGGATTAGCAAGCATAAGTAAGTAAGTAAGGAAAGACTAGATAATTGCTTTGTTGTTGCATCGACTTTTAGAATAGTGCTGAAGCTCAATCCTAACATGGATTGAACTTGGAATCTTTTGATGTCGTAGGATCTAAATAATGTTTTCGCACTGCTGGTTCAATGTACGATATAGGTATCAATCAATTTCCAATAAATGATGATGATGTAATAGAAAGATTTTCGTAATGTGTTGTGTTGCTTCAATGTTAACAACAATAATGTATAGATCGTACAGAATGTGTGTATATGAAAGAAAAACAATGTAGACCTGATAAGCTATTGTTAGATTATATTATAAATGGATTAAGATGAAATGATGTATGAAAACAATGATGAACAAATAATCAAAGGGGTTTAAGAAATCTTTTGAGAGAAAGGCAAATTTTCGAAGGATGAACCGATGAGATAAAAATATATCTAGAAAAACAAGTGAAGAACACAGTAAACGACAATGACAAGATGGTACTATTTTAGTACACAGAATTCAAGTTTCCTTTCATGAAGAGCTAGAACCACTTCTACTTTTGACAGTTTGAAGATGAAGAAATTTTAGTTGATTTGAAGGGATTCTATCATCAATCCTTAAATCATGAATATGGGATTCTGAGGATTTTTATTAAGATCACGAGTGAATCTATGTTAGGCAATTATTGAAAAAAAAACAGGGAGCATTAAATAGCCTATTTTTTAGTAGGGAACTCAAGGCTTTCAGTCTTGAACAACATTGGCTAATCTTCAGACTATTAGGCCCAGGACCCGATGGTGTAGTGAGAAGCTGTGTCGAATGTAAGTTACCTACTTTAGACAAAGGAGAATAGTATCTTAATATAATTGATTGATTGAAGTTAGACTTGTACACCACTGAACTTCTATTCGACCTTCCAGAGATGGAATGTTAGCTCACAAAACTTAAAGTCCTTGGTTTGATTCTTGGTCAGGAGATCGTGGATGTACACTACTGAGGAATCCCATACTAGAACGAAACGTTCACCAAGTGCTTTTACGATTTTATTAATTGTTTAACTTAAATATAATATGAGTTCAGTGGACAGTTTTTAAAATTGAATATCAAGCCACTTATTTTCTTGACCTTGTAAAATCAAGTCGGAATATATTCTCATATCCATGTTGAAAGTGAGATCTGACTATAGACTATGAACATTGCTCGACCTAATGACAAGTGAACAAGTAATTGCATATAGAGGAAATCAGATAAGGAAAGGTTCAGTGAACTGTATTTCACCATTTCACAATTCCTTTCTATTTTCACTTCTATTCTGTTCAACTCGAGCTTTTGTAGCCTTCTACTACCAGGTTTTTCATATACGACTGGTGTTACATCTTCAGTCAGTCAGTAACAACGTAGGACTTCCTACGTACGTACATCAGTTCGAGTTGCCATACCACATTAGCACAGAGAAACAGTTGTCGATTCAAATCCTGTAGCGATAGAGGCAGTAAGAGTATAAGCAGTAATCGGAAAGATTGAGGTTTGAAGATGTTATTCAAGGACTACAATACAGTGAAGTAAATTTGGAAAGAGAAAAAAAGACATGGAGGATTCAGGAGATTAGAATTTGGATGCACCTGCGCCATTGCAAACGATTTTGAGCCACGTCATTCAGGGTCTCCAACCATCGGTTGTTATCATCTCGCGGTCCTCATCCAGGTAGTGTAAACCTACCAACATGACTCAGTTCACTTGTCAGTGACTTTAACTTACTTATATCTGTCTACATAAGTGGCATACATCATATATCAATTGTTATCCATGATATTTGATTGTAATTGATTAAGCCTTTAAAACTATACTTTTTATTATTTTGTTTTGTTTTAGCACATTTTGAATTTAACAATTTCACATTGAATGTACAACGTCCAATAGAAATTTACAAATCCAATGGGAACAATAATGATTATTATCATTATCAGTGTTTATTCAATAATGAATATAACAATGACCTTGGTAACAATTCACTAGCACCACCACTAACAACAGTAACAAAACCACCACCCACAACAACAACCACAACAACCATGTTAAAAATCTATGATTTCAATCAATATAATAATAATACCCATTATATTGATCGACAATATTCTATCAATCATAGTTTATTAAATAAGAATAGTTATTGTTTACATATGAAATGGAATATTTCAGGGAATTTATATGGATTATTAGGTTTTGCAATACAATTTTTTATCCCATTCAATTCACCTAATATGAATGATCAATTACATAATAATATGAATTTATTACAACAATGTGTACAATTTCTTTGGTTACCATGTAATGGATGTTTAGGAAATTATTCATTGGTATGTATTCTTATCATTATCTTCTACTATTGATCACTTTCATTTAATACGTTATAATGAATGATATAAGAGAGTGAATTGAAAGGAGACTATAGTAGACTAGATCAAATTAAGATCTATCTACCATTGGATGCCGGCTCAGTGGTCTAATGGTTAAGTGCTCAGGCGCGGAGCCAGTAGGTCCTGGGTTCGAATCCCGCGGGGTGCGGGATCGTGGATGCGCACTGCTGAGGAGTCCCATACTAGGACGAAACGGCCGTCCAGTGCTTCCAGGTTTCCAACGGTGGTCTAACATCAATTGATTCATGATCTCAACCAAAAACTTAACAATCTCCACAACCCCCATACTGAAAATCATATATTGTTGGTTTGGTAGATAGATCCAAATAATCTACTTTGGATCTGACTGATCATCAAAATAATTGATTTACAGACATTAGGTAACATAGCTCAAAGGTAGTTGTAATGAGGTTGTGAACATATGGTTACTATTTATTGACCTCGTAAATCTGAAGCTTTAAAATTATCCTAAACTTTTCACTCTGCTTATATTCATTCCATAGTATATAATGATATTCTGAACAGTATCAGTATTATAGAAGAAGAATGAATTTATAAAATCTCAGTGAAAGAATTCGAAGTAAATTCAACGTTTCGCCTGGTTTTCTGATCCAAAGTTTTCAGCATTAGTTTTAAAGAATATATATATATATATATATATATATATATATATATAAAGAAAGAGAGTTATAAAGAGATTTTGTGATACATGTTCTAAGTGGACTCAGGTGAGTTCATTGTGAACGATTTTTAGACACGTGGCGGTTTTAGCCATTGATGACGACAAACACGCTAACTTCAACCATTTACTTGGTTACTTACACTTGTTACCTTTCGTGGATGAGGATGGGTTGCCCACCAGCATTCGCCATTGAACTCTGTCCTAGCCAGTCCTTTCCAGTTGTTATCCATTCGTTTGTTGTCTGCCTCCAATTCTCAATCCAGTGTGTTCCTTAGCCTTACACTTTTCTGTTTCCGTTCAAAAATTCCAAGTTAGGGGTTGCAGCGTGATGAAGTTTGGTGATTTTCGTATTGTATTTTCTATCCACCTGAAGTATCGTTTTCTAATTTCCTCTTCAACTCAAAGTTGGTTTCTTTCCTCCCACAGTAGGGTGTTGATGATGGTATCCAGTCGACAGACATTCGAGATCGTGCGTATATAGTTGCTTAGAAATACCTGTGCTTTTATGACGACGACTGAATTAGTTCTCGAAGTTTCAGCCCCGTACAGCAGAACTGTTTTGAAGTTCGTATTCAAGATTCTCACTTTGATATTAGTTAACAGTTGTTTTGAGTTCCATATGTTCTTCAATTGTAGAAATGTTGTCCTTGCTTTTCCAATCCTCGGTTTTACATCTGTATTGGATCCTGCTCGTTCATCGATGATGCTACTTAGATACGCGAATGTCTCCACAGTTTCTCCACCAACTTTGAATGCGTTGGTGTTTTCCATGTTTAATTTGAGGATCTTGCGTTTTCCTTTGTGTATGTTAAGGCCTACTGATGTAGAGGTTTTTTGCTACACTGCTTGTGTTCAGCTCTGAAAACCTAGAACCATTAAGCGGCCGCTCTGTTTGGGACAGGACTTCTCATTAATGCTCAGCCACAATCCCTCAATCGGAAATCAAACCCTAGGCCGTAAGCTCTCTAGACAAAACAACTTTTTAATGCTTTCAAGTTCTTAATAGTTCTCTAACTCGAATCGATTTATGAACTCAAGAAAATTCAATAATCTCTTCAACACCCATATTGTAAATCTAATAAAAAAATTAATTCATTTTCGTATTGGTTGTTTGAATGTTGTCCATCGATGTTTATGACTGCAATTATCGACGTATGTACATCCTGTACAGATTATCTTAAGTCACAAGCATTACGAACAGTGGCTAGCAGTGGAAGACAAGACACGCTTTTCATCCTACTTCGGGACTTATCGGTTTGATGTACTTGCATCTTAGAGTTGATATGTCACTCCAGGACTCAATACCCAATACCGTTTGCTTTAAACATCATCATGTTATCCACATATCTAATAAGTCCATCCACTTTGGCTTATAATAAAATAACTGTTTATGGATTGCCTGAATATTGCTTCATGAGCGAAGATGGATAGTGGCTAGTAGTGGAATACAGGACATGCGTTTCATCCTATTTCAGGACTCATCGGTTGGATGTACTTGCATCCTGAACTTGATGTATCACTCCGGGACTCAAACCCAATACCGTTTGCTTTAAACATCATCATGTTATCCACTTATGTATTGAGTCCATCCATCCTTCTTTGTTTTTCTTTTCTCTTCAATGATTTTTCTTCTGTTTATTCATCATTCTAGCGAAATGTTCATCCGAATGTTTTGGAAAAATTAAGAAAACTAATTGATATCTGTAAATTAGACAGGAACCCATATCAACCTACATGAATACTTATTCTATACAATACAATCTATTTTATGATCTAACTAATCAAAATAGTTTATTATCAGCTATAGATAATTTACAAATGAAATTAAATACATTACAACTAAATGAATTCAATCAAATTACATACAATGAAACAATATACAAATTTGATTATTATTATTACATAATCAATCCTATTATATCAATAATGAATTCTAAATATTCACATAGATCTATTAGTGTAAAACGAGATTTATATTCATTGAATCAAAGTGTTTCGTCACCATCATCATTGTCCTCATCATCAACAACAACAACAACAACAGCAATATCGTCGTCTTCTTCAAAGACTGTTGATTCACAGCATAGTGGATATGTTATTGTATATTCGGTCACGGCAAATGATGTTATTTATTCAATTAAGCATAAATGGAGAATAAATAGTAAGTAGTTGAATAGTTATTCATTTAAATAATAACCTTTTAGTTCAAGGTATTTTATGGAAAAGTTATTGCCAATCTGTATGTTGAATTCCTTAGAGATCGAGATACCATGAGACGCAGATCTTGCAGTTTTAATGGACAACTATTCGTCACGAGACCTGAATATTCTGAGTTTAAACTCTGTCAGGGATGTTAGCTTTCGTGCTTCCTGAGTCCCATACTGCTTACTTACTAACTTACTTTACTTACGCCTGTTACTCATCGTCGAGAAGTATAGGCCGCCCACTTGTTCTTCCTCCTAGATCTTTCTGCATAGTACGTGCAGCATGATTGCAGTTGCTTCTATAGCTGACATCAGAGCTTCAGCTAGTATATCGTCTGATCCTGATGCTTTCCCACTCTTAATTTGTCTTATGGCCATCCTGATTTCTTCGACTGCTGGTGGTGTTACATCTCATAGGAAGGACTGTGTATGCTGCTCATGATATCTTCATATACGATGCTGTTCATTCAGACTTTGGCGTTTAGTTCTCCCAATCAGGATGGTGAGATCCTTTCTTGTACACTTCTCTATGATTGATTTCAGCCTCTCATAGAACTGATCGTTATTTTCGTTGTTGCTATCATTGGTGGGTGCATAAGATTGGATAACATTCATCGTCTTTCCCTCCTCCTTTGTTTTGAAGGATGCTTTGATGATCCTGGATCCATACTACAGTCCTACTTAATTTTGAATGGTACGCCCACAAATATCAATTAGTGGATTATACAGCGAAATCTGATGATACTAATACGAATCTCCCTTGAAAATGTTATACGTGGTCTGATTTATCATATGCTTTCTTTTGAATAAATGGACTAAATTTAACAGTAGGAATCCAAGACGCGTGATTCCTCACTTTTTAAAAGTCGTCAGCCTATATGTATCTGGAGCAAAGTGTTCAGAGTTTCTACTGTTTCATGAATGTGTACCACAAGGAACTGTTCTTGCACCTCTTCTTTTCTCTTTTTTTCTGCATGATCTGCATCTTCCACAGTAAACCCTTTTGTGAAATATGTGAATGATCTCACTGTATGTATGCCTATCTCTTCCTCTTTACATCCCATAGAAATAGTCTCATACTTAATCCGTCTAAATGTCAAGCTGTTAACTTTAGCATGAGTCATGAACGGCATCTAAACATCATTTTCAGATCCCATAATGCTTGTGCCATTGGAGACTCTTTGATAAACTCAGTGTTGAAGGTCAATTATCCTGGTGTTACATATTCCTCTGATCTCTCTTGGTCTTATCACGTTTTATTGTTATCGAAGAAGGTTTTCCGTCTGACCTACTACATAAAGAGATTGCATGCTCTTGGGATTACTCGTCATTTACTCTTACAATTTATCAATTATTGCATATTACCTATTATTCTTTACTGTTCTCCATCATTCTTTCCCAGGCTTTTGAGAAAAGATTTTGCTGTATTACGGAGAGTGCTGAAGGCAGTTAGCACGATATTTCATGAATCTATCGAGATCATAATTAATCTGGTTGTGCATAGACATCTAAAATCATGCAAACTCCTAGCAGGTGTTATTTTATCAGATACTAACCATCCCCTTCACTCTCCTTTCTCCTTGTATATCTTCTGGTAGAACATGATGTAATTACATTAAAATCCATGCACGCAAGCAAAAGTATAAAAGTTCTGTAATATCTTACCTAGCAAATATACTCTGTGACGAACAGGTTGTTAGAGTTAACCTAGTCAATAACCTGTATTCTTAACTATGTCTCTAATTTGAAAAGTTGTACAGATTCAGATCTTTTTTCACCCTTTCCTCCTTCAATTTGCAAAAGAAACTTGTTGAAATATCCTGTAATGAGAATTCTATATTGTACCAAAATATAATATTGAATAAAGATGATAATAATAATAATAGAAACTTGTGAAGGTTAGAAGGTGGTTCAGAGGTTCTAAAATCGTAATGCATGCAGCAGAGGAAATCATCCATATGGCTACAGAATAGTCGGCCTCTGAAGCCATGATAATGTAGCTAAAACCAGTGTTACTGCTGCTTTTATTATCCAGTTCTCAATAATTGTCATAATTTGCCTTAAGTAGGAATTATATATCGAGTTTTCATCACGAACTGATATCAGTTATAATGCCAAAACTCTATTTAGCCAAATGGATGAAAGACTTTCACGCTAAAATCCGAGATCTATTATCTTATACCTGGTTGAGTCGTCCACAAATTATAGTTTCGTCGTTTTATTTGTTGTAGCCTTTCAATTATCACGTTTTGTATAAAATCCGCTGTGAACTGATCGTACGTTAGCATTAAGTACTGAATTTAGCGCTGTGACCTTGAAATCCCTCAAACGCTTCTGATTGGCTCGTCCGTAAATCACAGTCTCGCCTTGAAGGTGATCAAATTCATATAACTTGAATCATGTAAACTGAATATCTTACAGTATTGGTTCAATCAATAGATGAAACATGTACAGTGACGGACTATTAGATAATGATCGAATTCTAACGGCCAAGTTGAAACGTAACCACATAACGTAATCACATAGTGTCCATCATGTTACGACTTAAAGCGGTTGAAGATAGCCGACATTGATCACTATACAGTAATGAATTTATGCAAATATCTCAGTCGTACGGTGGGCTAGTTATGGCTCTAACACTTTACATAGGATATCTCGAACTTTCGAACTGAATGACGTTAATTTGAATCTCAAAAAGAAAGCCAGATCTTTCTGACAAGTATCAACTTGCTTGAAAGTGGGATCAAGCAGGATATCCAGATGACTAACTTCAACACCACGTCACTAAATATTAAAGTAACTTCGTAAACAATTTACTAAAGCTAATTTTCACACACATATACATACATTGTTTGTTTTTGTATTGTATTCGTAGATGAATTAACGTCGTCAAATCTTTTGGGAACAATTTATATCGTGTTTATTGTCAGTTGTCTTATATTATTACTCTTGTTTACTTCAATAACAATATTCATTGTGTTTATTATTAAGAGAAATCGTCTAAATCAGACAAAATTCATTGGACTACATACTGTTGAATATTGGTATGTGCTTAGTTGATTGAATTATTTCCTATTAAAATTACGTTAAATCTAGATAAGGATAATTACCTATAGATGTTTTGTGTTGGTCTATAGTATAATGCATTTCCATATAGTTAAAGGTTTTATTGAAAACCTGGAAGTACTGGACGGCGATCTCGTCCTAGTTTGCGACTTCTCAGCAGTGTGCATCCACGATCCTACACTCAGAAATCGAACCCAGGACTCTCAATCTCGCGCGCGAACACATAACCTCAAGACTAATGAGCGGTATCCAGTGGTGTTAGTGTCTAACATAAACTAGTCGGGATCACGCAACCATCTTCAAATGTATTTGTTTGGTCACTGCTTCACACCTAACACGTTTTAGATCCACTGGTACTAGGTTTTATCCACACGTTTAAGGTCCTAGATATTCACTACTAAGGAGTTTCATACTGGGACGAGACGGCCGCCCAGTACTTTTAGGTTTTCACTAGTGGTCGGACTTGGATCAGTTCACGACTTCATCAAAATTCAGTGATCCCCATAACCCCATAATGACAGTTGAACTTTTTTCTAATACCGACTCGAACAGGCAGTATTTTGACACACAATTAGCCGGTTACATGGAAAAAAATACGTATGGGGAAACGTTTGATATTCAAATGTGTATTAAAGAGAGAGTAAATTATTTGTTTTACAAACTTTGGAGTAACCATACCGGAAAAATCAGATCCCTTGCCGGTATGGGTATCGAAGAAAGAAAGATCAGTCCTGGGACACCTAGTCAACTATGGCTACGTATAGTCATCAAATCAATGTTCAGGATTATTTACCATAAGTTGACGATGTGAATCATTGTTTATAAAAGTTTTTTTCCGATACACAACTTTAGGGAAGTTTAAAGACCGTTATGTAGATGTATATATTTTCACCATTTTTTCGCTTGTCCACTTAGGTCTTTGATTTTAAACCTCGACGATATTTGCCTTATTGTGAAAGATTTATAAGTCACTGTGTCTATTCTTCATTGATCCCAGATCTATCAACTTGAAGCTTCTTAATAACTAAATATTGATAGGTAATGTGTTATAGACTATCCGCTTTCCGGTTTAGAATCTCAAACGTCTAATAGCTGCTATCTCAATACTGATTAGTTGGTTATTAACGTATACTTCCACCACCAGTTCTACTAACATTTCTCTAGAGTGGAAAGCGATGGACGTACTTGAGACATTTTGAGAACGTTTTTGAGACTGTTGTTAGCTTGAATTTGAATAGTTTTCTCTCAAAGTGAAAGAGAAGATCGAACTCTACTGATGTAAATTGAATATATTGAATAAAAACTTTAATTCGATCTGCTATATGAACACAATCTAAGATTAAACTTCATCACAGAGATTCACATTTTATAGTCAGAATCGTTGTGAACCAAAGTGCATTGGATAACTGTTATGTCAGAGTTTGGAAGTGTTCAGCAACGCGATGCCAGTATGGGGTTGAACGAGAAGCTTTTCAGTACTTTTTTAATAAAATTTCTGTCCAGATTATGCTTTCTGTGATCCCGCACGGTCAATTCTTTACAGTATACTGTTGACACTACTAATACTTTTGTTAGTGGTAGTATTAATGATGAAATTACTATTTGAACCTGTGGTAAGCTTAAATAATGTTTTATATTTTTCCAGTGAAGATGAAGAAGATGGATATGAATTACGTGAAGAGTACAAATCCCCAGTTATTCCTTTAAAAATTCCGCGGTAAGTTAATTTGTATCAACTATTAACTAATAATTTTATTTTCACTACAAATGGAATCTCATTTGTTGCAAACTGTTGAATTTTATCGTTTATTATACGGAATGTTTTTAGAATACTGGGAAAAACTGAACTGATGCCATATTCTAGTATGAGACTCCTTTGAGATCTGAACACTATAGTCGACTGAGGATCAAACTATTCAATTCAACAATCTTCGCAAATACCTGTGCCCGTTATAACCATTTGTTTTGTTTTCTAGTTAGCATTTTTTTAGCGAGTTAGGTTTCTAGGGAATGGGGTTGCTAACCCCCTGCCCAATCCTCCTCCTTCACCCACGATTGCGACCAACAGTAGCTTCAAAGGGGCTCCAGACGAATTTCTGAATACTAATTTCGATTGTTAATTACTGATGTTCTAGTGAGATGTTCAGATCAATAGAGTTCGAAATTGTCGACTATGAGTCGTTTACTTACCATTAGCAATGGGAGATGCCATCATCAAACTGTACATTCATCAAAATCTTAAATCTAAACTACTGGATACCGTTTGCTTGTGTATGATTGGTGCTAATGGTCCACCAGGGTGCTTGGTACCTGTGTGGTTGCGCCACAGGATTGAGTTGTACTATTCAGATTGTAGCGTTAAAACCTATATGGTGTCTGGTTTTCCTGAAAACCAATGTAAAATTAACCTGGCCCTCAAGGGTATATTATATAACTTATTATATATAACTGATATGTAACATTAACAATTCATCAAATGTTTTTCTATTTCAGACAACCAGATCCGATAAACATTAATGACTTCATGAATTGGTCTGAAAAGAATAGGAATAGTTTAAGAGAAGAATTCAAGGTAAATGAAAAGACGTTCTGTTCATGTCAAATCATTATATTTGATTTTTAAATAACAGAGTTAACTTGTAATTAGTTTAAGTTTAATTAAAACCTTTTTCATGACGATTAGATCTAGCCATTAGTCAATATTTCTTAGTCTTATTAAAAACTATGATGCGTTAAACAGTTGTTTCGTCCTGGCACAAGACTCCTTAGTGGTTCGTATCCAAAACTGCACAGTGGACTTCACCAAAAATCTTCAGTGTCGCTTCCAAATTTCAGTCTCTACGTCACTGAACTGAAAGTATGATGCTGTATTTTCCTAAGTCCAATCAACTCTATAGAAATGAGGTAAGTTTGTAATCATAAGAACATTCAATTATCTTCATAAATCCCTATCTTAATAAACTATAGCAGTCAATTCGCTAGTAACTCACTTCAAATTTGTTCATGGTCCGGCAAAATATCTTGACAAGTAGAGTTCAAACATATCGACGATGAGATACTTATCGCCAACAGGATTGGATAATCATCGTGCTACATTATACCTTCCTATGGTCTATTTTCGTTATATCCCAATGAGTGGGAAAGTTGTATATCTAACGTTTTGCAACTAAATGTACACCATTTCTTCGGAGTTAATGAATACTTACTTACTTACTTACTTACTCCTGTTACTCCCAATGGAGCATAGGCCGCCGACGAGCAGTCTCCATCCCACTCTGTCCTGGGCCTTTCTTTTTAGCTCTATCCAATTGTTTTTCATTCTTCTCATGTCTGTCTCCATTTCTCAGCGTAATGTGTTTTTTGTTCTTCCTCTCCTCCTTTGGCCTTGAGGATTCCATGTGAGTTAATGAATAATCGAAGTAAATTCACATAAGTTTATATTATACTCAGAGTTGGTGCCAAAATAAGACTGATCAATTACAGACCCTAAAATCAATCGGAAGATTCAAATAACCAATACAAATATGAATGAAACTTCATCCCATTGCACAAATCAGTGACGTAGTGGACTCAGTAGTTAAGTGACGTTTGGATCGAACACTACTGAGTTCGTGTCCTGAAGTAAACATGAGTTCTATGATACATTTACATCCAGTTGACGAGTCCTAAATAGGACCAAACCCACTTCATGGATTCCAACACTATCTACCATCTATCTATACTTGCAATTCATCCTTTACTCACTTAGAACAATATCAGTAATTATCTCTGATAAATAGTTATTGTCATTAATGTATATATTTGTTTGTTTATTGAATACGGATTTTTTGTTTGTTCAAAAAAATCACCTTTTAGTCATTGAATATTCATTCATATAGACAAGAACAAGCGAAACATCTTACATGTACCATTGGTCAACGTCCAGAAAATCGTCTTCGTAATAAGTATCGTAATCTTTTACCTTGTAAGCTTTTTTCTAATTATCACATTACCTCTTGTGTCATTTATTCTATATACGAGCTACATTCGTAAAATCGTGATATCAAATTATAAAGTTTGACTAAAATACGTTGTAATTAATCATTGTTTACAAATCCCAAGTCGCGAGACTTCTATCATGTCGATAAGATAGTCTATGGAACAGTCAATAGAAAAATGCTTCTTCAAAAAAGTTGGATAAAAACTAAGTTACAATCTATACTTTCACAGTTGAAATCATGATTCGACTTAAGGTAGACCACCACTGAAGACCTGGAAGCACTGGATAGCTATCAAGTCGTAGTATGGGACCAGTGGGGTCCAATCCATGTCGGGTGTGAAGCAGTTATCCACCTCATATAATTGATGGATAGCTGCACATGATCATGGATCAACTGAAGTTAAGGATTAACACCGTTGGATACTGGCTCACTAACCTTGAGGTTAAGTCTTCGAGCGCGTAATTGAACATTCTGAGTTTGTTTTCTGAGTGCGTGACTGGATGTGCATAGCTGAAAGTTCCCATACTAGGACAAGATGGCTGTCCAATGCTTCCAGGTTTTCAGTGGTCGTCTAACTTACATAGACTAGTGAATTCAACAATGAAAATACTACAACTGCCACGAATCCCCACAGTGATACCAATTTATACTATCAATTTAAAAGAAGTGAACAAATCTCTGTCAAATAGGATACTAACAATTTACAAAAATTTTGGCTAAACATTTAAACATTGTTTCGCAACTGAATTCACGATTCGATTTAAGGTAGATCACCATAGTAAACCTTAAAGCACCATTTCGTCCTGGTATGGGACTCTTCAGGAGTACGCATCCACGATTCCACATATGAGACTCGAACCTGAGATTACTGATCCGGCATCCAATGGTGTTAATGTTTAATAATTTCTATAGTGTAGCGCAAATTTATCTGTTGTGTATATACAGAAGCCAATTCTATTTATTGTATTTAATATTATAATCACTTTCTTTCAATTCTTGTAACAATCATTTCCAGCTTTCATTTGCTTTCATTGAATCTTTGTTTGAACATAACAACTACTATATCTCTGTGCTCAGAGTTCTCAATTTGATGGTTGATAAACAGTTGTTCGCGCTGTCGAATCGCTTTCTTTCAATTAATCCACAGTTCATCCAACTTATTATATGAGTATATAAATAAGGTTTTGTAATCCATATGGAGACTACTTCAGTCAACAGGTATTTCCAGCCTAATTAATCAATTATCCAACCTTACCTAATTCTAAACGCTCAACTTCTGTATTATACACTTTTTGGTTTCACAAAAAGTTCTCTATCATGAAGTTATTTGAAAAACATCATAAATTTCAATTGAAAATTGCATCTATTAAGTTTGTATACAATAAGATAAAAGTGTTTCCTTAAAATAGGGCCATACACAGTTACAGAGAACACCTTGACAAGTAATGACTATGTCGAAGACGAATTAAATCGAAACATGGGAATTTTTATGGGAAATACACTATTATATATATATATATATATATATATATATATATATATATGATTACAATGATAAATAAACTGAATATTGTCAGCTGATGTTAAGTCAAAAAATATCGTAGCACTACAAATTTGAATGTCATTAGAAATGACTTCAGCTACTGAATATTAATAAGTAGTATAGAGTGATTTGCAAAATAGTGGTCGAATATGAAGAGGATAAGGATAATGAATGTTAACTTCAATAGTTGAGATCATGAGTCGATTGAAGCTAGATCACTATGGGAAACCTAGAAGATCGATAGGTCCTGAGTTCAAATCTCGCGAGGTGGGTTCGTGGATGCGTACTGCTGAGGAGTCTCAATAGGATGAAAGGGACGTCCAGTGCTTCCTGGTTTTCCATGATGATCTGTATAGATCTCAATTGCGGTATGTTTTATTTCGTTCAAATTTAAGCGGTTCATACGTTACTCTTTATTGTGAATGTGTCAATTAACTGAAGATGATCGTCATACGAATACCTTACATATTCACAATAATAGTCAAACTTCACCATACAACACACACTTTATCAACAAAATATCTTTATTTGAGTTAAGAAAACGTCAATTGACAATGACTTATACAGTGTAGATTTTTTCAAATATATCTTAATGCTCACTTGACTTTGCTTGTTTCTCCTAACAACAGTTGATCAAAATTATGTACAATTGTCAAGTGCCTTGATATTACCTGAATCGGAACAGATTAATTCAGTTGATCAGTCAAAAGAAAATGGAGTTATTATACATAACGATGAAAATACCAATCAGAATGAGGACATTATCAATGTCTCTCAAGGACTGCCTGACATTGGTAGCGAACAATGGATTCCATCCAATTATATGAATGCTAGTTGGATCCCAAGTAAATACCAGGAATTTCAAATACAATAGTTAGCAGTGGACAATTGCCTTTTAAATATATTGCTTCACAAGCGCCAGTTGATCATACACGCAGTTTATTCTGGCAAATGGTTTGGGATCATCATGTTCATTTGATTGTTACACTTACTAGGTGTGTCACAAGTTTTCATGGATATATTTTTCATTAGTACTCGAATTTCGGCAGATTAAATTACAAATTAGTCTTAGTTAGACTCCCATTAAATCTTTGAAATTTCGGACGACCATTTCGTTTTAATATGAGATTCTTTAACAATCCACATCCACAAAATTGAAACCCAGAATCTAACCTAGGACCATCGATTTTGTATGTGAACGTCTAAGTTCTAGATCCATGAGCTGTCATTCGATGGTGTACATATCTAGCTTTGATCAGTTCACAATAAAACACAATCTTGATCTCATTGTTCGTAGTGGATAACTGTCTCATACCCACTAATAGTTCATTTGATATCTGTTTAGCCATATCACAACGTTACAGGCAAATCATCACTTGCATTTACATCGATCCGATTTATTTGGTAACTGTTTAAGCTACGTATAAATTCCACTTTTTTTCTTAGAATTCTCAAATCTTTTGTACTATACATTATACTACTTGATAATAATGAGTAGTCAACTCTACGTTATTTTAGGCAGAAGATTTAGCACACTTTATGATTCACACGAGTTTTATCCGTTTCGATTGCCAACACCCATTGCTAAATTCAAACTCAGACGTTCTATTGTCGTTAATAATCCTTGTGTCATTAGTTTAGGCGATAGCTTTTGTTTCTCGATACACTGACAGTTAACCGTTGCAAATACATTATGAATTGAGGTTTGTAACGTTTTTTAAACATATCTTTATGATAGTATAGCTCTCTTTGTAGGATCTATGTGCTGGATTCTTATTCTCTTCATGTAGTTACATCGTAATGGCTAGTACTATGACAAGCCTACGTGGGATATTTTAGCTTCTGGGCAGACCGATGTATTCATACTTTTCAGACCAATTGTCAATTGTTCAATTAGTAACCGTGACTGTTTTATATAAGCGTACGCGTATATATTGCATATCCTAGTTATAACATGACTATAACTTATTTTCGTCTGACTGTAAATATCGAGTTTCGCTTGATCAAATGGAGCTGGCTCCGACGCCTCCACTCTGCTTTACGTTCCCGCTTCTTATTCCGAACGTTTGTCTAGATAAATGAGTGCTTAAATTACAGTTAGTCAACGCAACCCGTACTTGACTTTTTATTGACACTGTCATACAAACGGGATTAACTTAGGCAATACTTGCTTGAATTAGTTTCACTGGTTGGCGCTTTTTTGGAGAGTTAGTTTTCTACGGGATAGAGCCGCTAACCCTATGCCCAACCCTCCTCCTTTATCCGGGGCCTGGGACAAGTAGTAGACCCAGTGGGGCTCCAGGTGGAATTAAATTGAAGATTTATATCTCATTAAGATTTGTACAATCAAACTGGAGTCAGATACCATGCTAAAAATCTTCGTATTCTTAACTACATCAATCTCATTACTTTAATTAACATTCGGTGAATACCAATATGCATTGAAAAGAATGAACATTATTCAGACGTCGATTCCTGAAATGCCAACATCCAAATAGTGATCACTCAATAATTATCATGAGAATAGATGAAGAAATAAGGAAATGAAATACTTTGTGCTGAGAATTCTGTAATTTACCCAAAGTATACTACTGAATAAAGCCATTAGTAATAATAATAATAATATATTCCCTTTAATCAAACCTATCGTTTAACTAAGTACTATCAAAATCTACACAAAGAGGTAAAACGATACAACGTTTATAGGCAAAGATGAATGGCGGCTAGCAGTGGAATTAAGGACGCTCATCTCATTCGTATTGAAACTCGTCAACTGAATGTACCTGGAATGGACGTGAACTCTGGGATGCAGATCCATCTAGTTGACGAGTTCAAGAGTAGGACGAAACTCGCATCTTGGATCCCACTGCTAGCTACATTCATCCTTGTTTATAATGCTTATGACTAATGGTAATGATGAGGCAATTTGTACGTGATAAACATATACCAATAAGGGACTGATCAATTGCAGTCCTAAATAACAAGGGGAACATTTAAGCAAAACATATAAAAATGGATTAACACAACGATTACTTCAGCTCTACTTTCCTTTTTTACTAAAACTATACAATAGATCAATGGAAAATGGTAAAGAAAAATGTTCTGTCTATTGGCCGACAGATAGTGATAATGATGATGACACCTCCGAATTATATTCCAATAAATATCTTCAAGCTAATTCAAAACGTATAGTTCAATTTGGACGGTTTAAAATTCATCTTTTGTCAAAAACAAATTATTCAATATATATTAGACGTAGTTTTAAACTGTACGATTGTGTAAGTTGACATTTCTGGTTTAATTACATTGAATCTGTTAATTATGTATTTATGAGTATGAGCCGTGATCAGTGGAGCTAATCCTTGTCGGGTAGACACAAATATCTACCTTGGTACAATGTAAGACGGTTGCGTGATTTCGTGCGAGACTGAAGGCCCTGAGTTTGAGTCTCTCGAGGCGGGATCGTGGACACACACTACTGAGAAGTCCTACGATAGGACGAAACGGCTGTCCAGTACTTCCAGGTTTTCAATGGTGGTCTCACATCAATCAGTTCATGATCTCAATCAAAAAATATGTAATTATGATTTTCTAACAATAGCCTTAATTAATTTTATTTTTTTCCACCTCATCTTCAAGGATATATATATATATATATATATATATATATATATAATCTAGGATGGAGAATGCTGGTGGGCGGCCTATGCTCCTACACGATGAGTAACAGGCGTAATTAAGTAAGTAAGTAAGGTTCTAATCCCATTGTGGGCATCATCTCCTTCGGTATTTCAGGTATGCCCTCTATGACAAGTGTCATAGCGCGACATACATTCAACTATGTAAGATTTAAGCATAATGCATACAATGTCTAATTACTTAGACAAGTGACCATATTGTATAACCTAATCAGTCATTCAGTCACCACTAAAAACTAGATAATTACAATATTTGTTATTACTCATCGGTCAGTTGAGTTCATTATCTCAGTTCTACATGATATCTACTGTGGCTCGTTTTACTCAACGGTAAAATATAAAATTCGGAAACTGGGTAACGTGGGTTAGAATTCTTCAACAAACATCAGTTCCTTCAAGATTACAAGTATGACTTATTGACAAGTGACAACTACCTGAAACTGAGCCGAGCGGAGCATCTTTTGGCCAGCTCAGAACATATAATATAATACAATATTACTGTAATCTAAGAAGGGGTTTTTGTGGATATTATAGTAATTTCAATAGATGAGATCATGAGTCAACTGAAGCTAGACCACCATGGGAAACCTGGAAGCACTAAGTGCCAGCTCAATGGTCTAGAGGTTAGGCGCTCGCGCGCGAGAGAAAATAGGTCCTGGGTTCGGATCTCGCGAGGTGGAATGCGCATTCCATAAAGTAGTGACTTCTGGTCTGAGCCATGTTGTTGGATAATGACTACTTGGTTGGTGTTCGTGTGACCATCGTGACTAATGTTTGGAGACTCTGAGTGGCATGTCTCAGAATCGATCACAATGGTGTAGGTGTATACACTCATTGTCTTTCCTTAAACCGTGAGATCAAAATCACTTTGTATCATTCTTTCTCCGAATTAAATCCATTGAAGTAACTACTTCCATGAATTCGGTGTTCATCTTGTTGTGCTAATGTGGTATGGCAACTTGAACCGATGTATATATGTACCTGATCCAATGTTTTAGCTGACTGACATAATAGTCCAGGAAGTCCATATTGAACTAAACATCCTACCACAAAACACTTTTGAAACATTCTACTTTTCTTTGCTTTTTCGCGTTCTCATTCGATGAAATTTATTGATTTAATGTGTCGCTCAATTTTGTGGAGTTAGACATTAACACCGTTGGATACCGGCTTAGTGATAGGCCCTGGGTTCGGACCCTGCGAGGCGGGGTCGTAGGTGGGCACTGCCTAGGAGTTCCATGATGGGACGAAACCTCCATCCAGTGCCTCCAGGTTTTCCATGGTGGTCTAGCTTCAACTGACTCATGATCCCATCTGTTGGTTTAACTTTGTTCAGTTTATCAGCCATATTGCTGTGTATTGTAACATTGTTTTAAAAAAAATAGAAAACATTAAACAATGAACAATATCGAAATATTGTTCAATTGCATATGCTTAATTGGCCCGACTTTTCAACACCATCAAAAGAAGATTTTCTTCGTTTACTTTATGCTTATTGGACTGAAAGACGTCTTTCAATGAATAATTCACCAGTTCTTGTACATTGCAGGTAATTACATCTAACATTTTTAAGCATTTCATTTTTCGTTTATTTGTTGGATGACTACTTAACATAATGAGAATGATTTTCATTCAGTCATTCAGTCATCTAGAACTGGTAAAGTAAGGGCGGTATTCCTACAGTTGAAGAATATAAGCGACTTAAAACAACTATCTCTCGATCAATATCAAAGTCACAATCTTCAATAAGAACATCAAAACAGTTCTACTGTATGGAGCTGAAACTTGGAGAACTACTTCAGATGTCATCAAATACGTAAAAATATTTCTAAACAATTGTCTACGTAAGAAACTCAATGTCCATTGACCGGATGGCATCATCAAGAGCCTACTATGAGAGAGATAAAACTAGCTTCCCTTTGAAGAGGAAATTAGGAAACGATGGTGGAGGTGGATCGGACACACTTTAAAGAAATTATCAAAATGCATCACAAGGCGAGCCTTAACTCCGAATCTTGAAGGAAATACTAAAAGAGGAAGATCAAGGAACACATTGCACCGGGATTATAATCAGAATGAATTGAAACTGGAAACAACTGGAAAGGATGGATCAGAACAGAGACCGATGGAGAGTGCTGGTGATCGGCCTATGCTTCTTCACGAGGAGTAACAGGAATAAGTAAGTAATCATCAAGAAACTTATCTTCTGTGATGTACATGCTGCTGTAGCGCATCATATAGTGAATTACTGAGAAACTCAAGAGCTATCATTTAAAAGGATGGTATATTTTCCTTATTGTCCTTCTGCGTACTTTGAACAAATGTTGGTAGGCAATTACTGTGTTTTTTTATTGTTAGTAGATTTATATATATGATGATAGTTTGTTCAGGCCAACCATCACGTCAAATCCTAAAATAATCTAAATACGTTGACATTTCACATCATGTACTACCGTTGGTAATACCACTGTTAAAACCCACCAGGTACCGGATATCTGTTTCGTCTTAGCATGGGATTCCTTAGCATTGACCATCCAGGACCTCGCGATGTATCGTGTACAAGTCATTCTGACCTTTGAACGAACACTTAACCTTCGTACCAGTGAGCTGATGTCTTCCATTATCATTGATAACTTTTGCTTCACACTCCATATGTTTGGATCTCATTGATCACAATATCTCACTAGGTATTCGGATTGAAACAACTGTCCAGAACTTCTTGATTTTTAATAGTTGTTCAGCAAAAGTCAGTCATTGATATAAAACCTTAAATCTAATGATTTCCACAATAATTTTCAGCTATAAAAATCTCAATAAATCGTTCGTCTTTGAAGATGGTGGTTGAATTGCACAAATATAAAACGCTGGACCTAAGTTTCTTATTATTTGCTACCTTCCAAAGAGTTTGATACTTCCTAATGGGTTCATTTTTGTGTCGCACAACTTCACAGTCAGACCATATGATGTCATTACAATTGATTGATCACTGGTGATGATCAATGTCATATGTGTCAAGTCCTTCTTAGTTCAGATCGAATCATATTGACCAAGTTGCAATGTGGCCACTAGTCTAGTTGCCTCCACATTGCGTGCACTATGTTGAGATTAGATGGTGGTTGGAGGTAGTCAACGGGAAACCCTGGACCCTTGTTTCGTGCTACTTGGCACTCGTCAGCAAGGTGTACCTGTAATCTTGGGGGAACTGGTGCAACTTGGTCGAAAGCATCCGATCTGCTTTAAGGACTTGACATACATAACATTGATCAGCACCCAGTGATCAATCAATTGTGATTACAGGTGGTCGGTCGCAGCCCAGGATAGCATAGTGATAATGTCTCTGACTGTGAATCTGAGTGACACGGGATCGAATCCGTCAGGGAGCAACAGTCCCCTCAAGTTTACAGTTACACCTTGCAGACGAGTGCCAAGTAGCACGAAACCCGGGTCCAGGGTTTCCTGTGGACTACCTCCAACCACCATCTAATCACATGATGTCAACTCACCTAGACTCGTATTCTCATTCCTATTTGAATTCAATCAACATTAAGGATAACTGGATTCGATTTATTGATCGATCAACTATAAAACTGATAGATTTATTTTGTTTTGTTTTACTTCCATTTCAATCAATTTTGTTCTCTTTTGATTTAGTGCTGGTGTTGGAAGAACTGGTACATTTATTTGTTTAGATCAATTATGTCAACAAGTTCGATATTATTTACAACCAAATTTACAAATTTTTCTACATAAAATGAATCAAATCAATGAACCAATTTATGTTAATTTAAATAAAGAAGATAGTGGAGTTGATGAAGGTGAAGTAGGTGATTTCAATGAAGAATCATCATCAGCATCATCATCATTATCATCAATATCAATAAAACTCAATAATAGAAATGAGAATTTGTCAAATAATAAACAAAGTAAGTAACGATCTATACAACAGTTTATTAATTTAATATTTTATATAATATTTAGTTACGTGGAGGAGCATAGGCTACCCATAAGCATTCTTCATCGAGCTCTGTCCTGATCCTAGTTGTTTTCAGTTTTGATTCATTCTTCTGATGTATGCTTCCAATTTCCGATGCAATATGTTCCTTGGTCTTCCTATTCTCCCTTTACCTTCAGGATTCCAAGTTGGCACTTGACTTGCGATTTAGTTTCATGATTTTCGGAATGTATGTTCTATCCACCTCCAACGTTTTTTTCTTATTTTTACCCATAGCTCTTCTAGGATCACTGTCGATCCCAAACCTGAGTAAACGAGAGGGGTTGGGTATGGGGTCAGCAACACTGTCCCATAGAAAACAACCCTACCAAAAACACACTAACAATTTCAAGTTATATCACTTAACAGATGCTAGAACACACATTGAGGAAAGCACCAAACTGTGTCACAAGGCAAGCCCCCACCTGGAATCCTCAAGGCCAAAGGAGAAGAGGAAGATCAAAGAACACATTACGCCGAGATATGAAGACAGACATAAGAAGAATGAATAACAATTGGATAGAACTAGAATGGTAGACGCAGTACAGAGCGGGTTGGAAAATGCTGTTAAGTGACCGATGCTCCATTGAGAGTAACAGGCGTTGAAAATGAAAATGAGTTGAACTTAACAGGTGTAAAATGAATACTCTACATTGATATTTTGAGCGATATGCTGATGATTTTAACTTAATTGTGAATATGAACACAAATATGCAAGTAAATTGAATTGAACGAGGGTCGTGAAGAATTAAACCCATGCCTACTGGATCCCACTTCTAGCCACATGTGTTTAAGGACTATTCATCAAAGCATTGTCATTCTAAACAAAAACATCAACATCGACTTCACTTTGAAATGATAGTTTACGTTGTGTCACATGTATTCAAGCAGTTCATTCTGATATTATTGTTTGTGACTGGTTGATTTTGTTGATTTCATTGTTTCCATCTGTCTATATGTGATGTATGCTATTTATCTTGACAGTTATGAGTTGTATGTAGCACCAATTGGAAGTAGAGAGCCATGTGAATGGAACATTGAGAAAACTGAAATGAACAGAAGAGAGAATAAAACTAAAAGCAATCTATATTACAATAGGAATAAAGAACTTATGAAATTTGTAAGAAATAATTCAAAGAAAATGTGCGAATGATGCTTACATTTAACTAAACTACTGTTTGATTTTGCATTGAACGATAAGTCAGTTATCCTTACCATGTCTTTGTTCACTTCATGTGTTTTCACTGATTACTTTATTCGGTTGACATGTTACCGGACAGTTTAGTAACCTTTTACCTATGAATTAACAGATTGAATCTATGACAATGGATATTTTGATTGTTGATAAATCTGAATCCCAAGCCTGTGAAAAGGATCTGATATACTTCAAAACCACCCAATATAGAGTTTGTTTGTCTCTTCCCAGTCATATTCATGTTATTAGTTATCTATAGGCATTGAGATCATTGATAGCACATCGTGTGTAATAACTAAGAACTTTCTACATGATGTAGACACCAATGATTAAGTCTAGATCAACAATAAAATTTCTTCTATCAAAACTATCTACTTCGAAGTATTCAACAACACCGAAAACATCTTCATTAACATCTCCACCTATATTTTCATGTCATACTGGTCTCCATTATGAGTTAACTGTGTTCATGAAATTATCTTTACTCACTTGTGTGTTTTTTTCTTTCTTTCAAATCTTCATTCAAATCAAGATGAATCCATGGAAGATCATCATTCAACAATACACGAAAATCTTCTTCATAGAAACTCTTTAAATATATCCATCGACAATGAAAAACGTACAAAACGTTTCTTATTTCATCGACGAAATTATAATAATACACAATCTTTAAATATATTCAATACTGTTTTATGGCTACGATCTAAACGTAGTCATATGGTTCAAACGATGGTAAGTCTATTGTATTTTCAGTAGTTGAGTTGATGATTCAACTGAAGCTAGATCATCATGAAGAACCTGGAAGCACTGAACGGCCGTTCCGTCCTAGTATGGGACTACTCAGCAGTGCGCATCCACGATCTCGCCTCACGAGATTTGAACTCAGGATCTATCGGTCTCGCATGCAAGCGCTTATCCACTAGACCACTGAACCGTCATTCAACGGTTTTATTTATTTATTTGATCACAAATATTGGTACAAATAGGGAGGAACCAAATATATATGCACCACACGAAACATTGAGAATAGGAGGAGAAAATGAACGTAAGGCGCATATAAGAAAAAACATCAACGACCACATATTAGTGTGTGGTAGTGTAACAATAATAATAATAAAGGAAACAGAAAGGTACAACCAGAAAAATTCTTTCAGTTAAGGGACTTTCAACCACTTTTTACGAAGAAAGTAAAAGAAGGTTACAGCAGGATCGCCACTGGCTTCTATTCTGAACCATATCTAATAACGTCTCTAGCCACTGTGTAGCACCATCCCTCGGATCCCAACCAGGGAGTCGTGAAGGACCAACACAAGCCGGCCCTTTGCAGCTCTCTTTCATGCCACGACACCATGTCACACACTGACCACCTCTTTGCTTTTCTCAACCAGTCCCAGATTTGGCAAATAATGCACGGTGTGGAATTCCCTGGGACGACATTCATGAAACATAATCAAGCCACCGAAATCGGTGTTTCAGGATGGTGACACCAGTTGCATTATCGTCTCTGTGCCGAACACACGATGCATCACTAACATGGTGTTGCCACTGGATGTCAGCAATTCTTCGGAGACAACGATGATCGAACACAGAGAGTGTCTAACGTCCTCAACTCGGAGAGGCCAGGTTTCACAAGCATAGAGTAAAACAGCTCTTACCGACGTGTTGTCGACCCGACCTTTTACAGCCAGATTGACATCACGAAGGCGCCAAAGATGGCCCAGATTGGCATAAGCCGCACTGGCTTTCACTATACGAGAATTGATCCCATCACTCACGTCACCACCAGCACTTATGCAGCCACCTAGATACATTAACTTCTCGACTACTTCTATCTGCTCACCATCCAGGGTGAGTACAGGATTAGAATCCTTGCACCCTTGTTGAAGTACTTTGCATTTCGAAGGTGCAAAGTACATACCGTACCTACGAACACCAATTGCGAACCGATTACGTGCTGCCTCAGCTTTAGCGCTTCATGCGACATTCACACCAGCGTGACCTGACGAAGATGCCACAGGGTCCCCGTGATAAACGCACGTAAAACAAGCCTTTTGAAGCGACAGATTGAGAGCAATTTGTAGTACTTCATCAGAGTCTTGAATACGGGTATCGGATAAGCAACAAACTTCTATATTATGACTTTCAAAAGACATAGCCAGCCTTAGTCGTTGTCCGATCTGCATAAGTGTGTGGACGTTGAAGGCAGTCAGTTTGAATGGTGCACGTGATTTCAGAAAAACGTCCAGTAATTGTATTCGGTGGTAGCATTCAATTTTCGACCAGTCAGTGATTCCAGATCGTCTAGACAGAACAGAGTTTCCATCATGGAAGAGCTGTTGTATAAGTTGAAAAATAAGGATACACAAGGTCGGAATAAAGGAAAGTGAGTAAGCGACGTGCTGAAATAGTAATGTGAATTGTTTGACCGGTAATCTAAGCGTGAATAGTATTTCCAGTAAATATCTTCATTTCACTTGTGTATGGGCTGTGGTACTTCCCGGGTGCCCAAACCGAAGCAGGTGGTTTTTCAACGGTGTCAATTTCCTACTTCGAGCAATCCACGAAACTCAGCGTCACCGTCTACCATTGTCTTAAGTAAGTTGCTATCTCACAGAAAAAAACAAGTTAATCATGATTTCTTTTCTCTTGTTTCCAAAAGGATCAATATATATTTATCTATGAATGTTTATCATGTTTTATTAAACAACTGAAAGAACAAAGTGAGTTTAATTATGTTTTGTTTTCTATTATTTAGTTTAAATGTTTTAAATGATTTGTTTCTACCAAGGTTCTTGTTTATATAATGCTGTGACTAAAACACTATCCCCAATTACCCTCTTTATCTGGGGTGTGAAACTGACAGTAATCCTTGAAGAGCTTCAGAGTTTATTTGATTTTAGCTTACACTCAATTGTTGATGAATATTCACCTGAAACGGAATTGAATATTATAAACGTTGGGCTATGAACCGAGTACCATCGGATTATGAGTGTAAATGTTTATGTGTATATCGGACGTCTAAATTAGGCTGTAAAGAGCGAACGTGACAAAATAAGTCTCGTTTTAAACTTGAACGTGGATGTATAGACCAAATATTCACATATCCGTAGGTCCTGGAAAATACGCATACTTACTAGCATCTGAGTATATTCGTATTCCTTGATCTTCAAGGTGGGTTCGGCTGTGTTGATCTTGAGGTTCTGTGATATTGCCTGTCATTGAAAGGAGTATTAAGAAAGTACATTAACATTGCATAGGCTCTCTACTCGAACAATAATGGTGGAGTCTAAGCTGATGGCGAACTGTCATTGAAACCGTTTAGTTCAAGGTTTGTCCGCTTTCCCCGTTTTTATTTAACTTTGTCATATACATACTTTAAGAGATAACACTTTCATTGTCTGACTTCTTGAAGCTTGGTTATCTACCGGGATATTAACTTGTTGACTTAAAAAAAGCAGATGAAATATTTTTGTTTGGTCAATACACTGTCAGAATGCAGAATATTTGATAACCTTAATCAACAATGCAAGTATGTTTGGGATATGGTTTTGTCTCCACAATTTTTACTTCAAAATTAGCTTGAGTAAGCACGTTCATTAAAGATAAGGAATAAATTATCTGAATACCCCAGCCACTTTAATTATCTTGGGTTTTTGATTAGTCCTGGTGGTCCAGCATCTAACGAAATATCGGCTTTCGCCAACTAGTGTCACTAATGGCGCGGGAGAGATATCCGCCCGCAGCATTTCGCTCCGTTATACTTAATGAGTGTGAAACACAGACATTAGGAATAGAGGATATTCATAGTTCACCAGTATTCGATCAAAGGTATCTTTGAAACATTGCCAGTGTATCTTGAGACCACAGAGTAAGTAGTGATTAGATAAGGAATGGAATACAATGTACGGTCGGTATTATATCATATCTTACAGTTGATCTTAGCCATTCACTTTCAGTCCACATATGTAGCGTCTTTGTTTCTGTTTTGAATTGTTGAAAGTATTCACAGTAATCAACGACGTACTGTGTTTATTGAAGAGAGCAAAAGTATAAAGATGTGCTTAGAACAATTTTGATTAATTTCCATTCATTTTTCAGTCAAACATAAAACGACTTTTGTATTTGACATTATTGTTATAAATTGCAGATTGAGGTTGCATATTTATTGGTTTTCTACAGATTAACCTGTCTGCAATCAGAAAGAATAACCACTTTAAAACACATTGATACAGCTAAAAATGATTGGTTTAATCTCAGCCTTATACGACTCAATGAGAACTTCAAGATTCCTTACATTGTTCTCTGATAAGGTTAAATGTTTAGATTAGGATTTGTGGATTTATGGGTAGTGATTTTAAAGTTGAACTGTATTAACGTTCTGAAGCAGTGTAGATGAATGAATTACATACAATATTCCAAGTAGCGTTGTTAATTTAGTCCGCTCATAAAATATTATTATTTGTGATTATTTAAATACATAAACGTGTGTACAAGAGGGCATCAAATAGATATGCACCACATAAGCCACTTGATTTGTGTTAGGGCTGGGATACTGCGTGGATGCCCAAACCGAAGCAGGTGGTTCCCTTAAAAGGGCCACACCCGAAGTCTTTGATCTAAAGGTCTAATCCACATGGCAGTGGAGCAACGTCAAGAGATGCGTTTCCATGGTAGCCAGTGATCAATGATTGGTTCATCTACCACTTATCCCCTCAGGATCCTGTAGCCAATATACACCACTGGTTTGGAATCAGGATTTCTCAACTCCCCTAGATAAATCCTCCATATCTATTAACCCAGCTAAAGCACCATACATTTGCTTTTCGTCCTCTCAATTTCGTAAATGACACCACAGCTGCGAGGCAGTGAGTAAGTCTTCAGTGACAGTGGTCGTATGCAAGCGGCCGCGTGAGAGCATTTCGTGAGGAAGAGCTGACTCTCCCCAATCTCGGCCATATCAGAGCATTTGAGGGCGTTGGTGAATTCATCACTTCAGGTTAAGGATCTACACCCAACAGTTCCTAATTCAGCGTAACAAATAAGATTTTCTGAAATCGGTTCAGTTCTACATGACCTAGTCTGTAGTCATTCTCTCAAATATGAATATGTTATACTATACTTTTATCTAAATATATTTATCTTATTCTTCAGATAGAATCTATGAAAATATATAATGAACAAACAATAGTTCCAATTGTTTACCATTACTTTCTTTTAAACATACTAATCATTGTAATTACTTCATATAAATATCAATTCAAGTATTATACGAATAATTAACTAAAATTACGTAACAAGATTACTTTCATTTAAGTCTCTTGAACAAAAGTGAATTGGATAACAATGAAAAAAGGGCCGACAAACAGTTATAAGACATTCAATTCAAACAGTTACACATACAGTTTTTCTTATATCAATCTATTTTCTAATATAGTCACATTTTAAACGTGGAAATACGTTGTTCCTTTTTTTCTAAATCTATTCTATGTTATTAATTACATCTATTTTTTAATTATGACTGAATGAGTGAAATACGTTGTATTACATATGATTACATAATTATGTAATTAAATGATTTTTTCACAGTTTAAGCATTAAGAAATAAAAGATCGTTTCCATTATTATGGCTTACTACTTATAAACTTAAAAAGAAAAGGTTGATTTAAAGTGTATAGAAGAACCAATTGGATTTGAAATAGTACACCCTTGAGTATTGATATCAAATTTATTCATGTATATAACATTAGATGATATGTACTTGGGAAAGTGTAGTATATCCGCCTTTTACTGTTCAATACATGTATATTATTCAACCCGACCCTTGTTTCTACCTTGACGCGGTGGTTGGGCTTGAATATTGTGATGAACCGATAGAGCTATACTGGCTGGAACAATCGTTCCTCGAAGTTCTATCATGCCACAGAGGTCGGCTGAAGAACGGTAAGACTAGGAGCAGCAAACCCAAGGTCCAAATATGAAGTCGTACTTCTGACTGTACATCATTGTTTCGGCAACAAGGTGTTTCCTTTACACAACCATTATAACAGAGATGCTGCTTTCTTACAAGGAGGGGTGAGGTTGGAAAAGGTCAAAACCCAAAAATGCCGAATGTAGATCCCAGCAACAACTGTGGTCACATTTAGGTACTTTTTAAAACGAGTCTGGCTCAGATGTTGCTCGTAAAGATGTACAAACAGCAGTGACATCTATCAGTGATTTAAACCAAAGGGTAACAAAAAAATCCAATGGATTTCTTCTAAGTCTGATGGTATCTCGTAAACTCTGACTGACTGCAACACTTAACATTTTTATTTTTATCTCATGGGTGAATGTTGTGTACAGGAATATACTTTACATTCAGAATCTCGCTTCAAACTATCAGATTAATCTATTTATTCTTTATATATGCCGATTTGAGATTCGTACAGTGCTGTATTCAATGGTAACAAACGTGAATAGTCTTAGATGTAAATACGAAGTCCCTAGGGCGCTGACAGACAATAAAATGTAAAGTGTTCATGGTGAAGAACCTAACTCCAGTCCTAATTATAACTGCTCATATTGGTTTCTAAACATATTTTTACTTTGGAAAGTGAATAAAGTTTCATTGAGTAACTTAAGTGTTGCTAAAATATCATGCATAAATTATAGTCTGGCTACTGAAATGAACCACAAAAGTATAACAAATCTGAAATTTTCAACTACGACAATAAATTTCTAAATAAAATGTTGTAATGAGACTGACTTGAAAATGAGTTACAATAGGAAACAGCATAAATATCACTTCACTTACCTCGCAAAACAAGGTATATCGCACTGTGAAAACTTGATCAGGGAGAGCGAAGACGAATGAAATTAAGTCATATACTGTAAGTAAGATCACAAACTACCTCCTATGTGAATTAAGGATACTGACGATTAAGGCAAGAAATTAGGTATTGGGCTTCAGAATGAAGTAGCCGTCTAGTAAAAATCTTAATTCTGATGTATACAAAAGCAAGGTTTAGAATTTGTATTGACTCAAACCTGGGACTGAAATAAAATATAATTATAATCAACAGCAAATCGCGACGTATACATAAAAAACAGAGAATATACTCTAATATGTACATATAACGAATGGCGAGAAGAGCAGATAATGAATGAAAAATATTACTTGGTGAACGTTTCAAACGATCAAAGCGTACAGAGTTAGATCAGTTGAAAAATTTTCTTTTTTTTTACTTGGCGTCAATAGGAAGAACAAACGTTCAACAAAAATTTAAGGTTACACAAGTCTAAAATATACAAACCAAAATGTTACTCTTCGTTCAACCGCCACGGTCAGTAGAATGGAACAGAGAATGTCGCAAATAGATGTAAATTTGATAAGTTATTACATACTTCAATGACAAGCGACATATATGCACAATCGATGCACACAAAGATGCAAAATGAGTACAGAATCCATTACGTATACAACACAAAAGCCAGGAGAAGTATAGTATTTTATCAAGAGTATCAAAATGTGTTAACAATCGTGTCACTTTACCTATCAATAGGGCATATGAGAGTCAAAAACTACACAACACCGGCTGTAAGTTGATGAAATGGAATTCACATCAAACAAATCTACAACAAAAAGATATTTTATTTCTTGATGACCAACAGCGTACGTTGATGTTCGCAAAATTAGGCATTTATAAAAATGTAGACATTCACTTAATGAAGGGTTTTAAGGAAATAAAAAGACAAACGTATGCGACAAGTAGTTTTTTGCTCTAAACCACTTCCATTACTGCGTGTAGACTAACATGGTGGGACACATCACAAATTTCTGAAGCTTTTAAGGTCATTTTAAACAACGCGGAATGACTAGCAAGGAAGAACACAAATAAAATTTAGCAATACGAATATCTTGTAGTGAGGCAATGATAATATCAGACAGTGCTAATTCACATGCCTTATTTGAAATGAATTCAAACTAAGAGATTGTGTGCACATTGTAATACCGGTGAGCCAGTCATTATTATTATTTAACTAATATTGAGGTCTGTGCAAGGTAAACTGAGAAGTCTTAGAAGTAAGTTCATCAAAATCATCATATAATTCCAAGTTGTTAAGAACTACGATCACCCTTGCTTTATTTTGGCAAATAAGAGACTCTTTTAAAAGTGGACTGCAAAGCGTCTTATCTGCCTTGGATTGAGTTTTCACGCATAGTGACGAGTTCCTTACACTCATAAAATTGAGTGACGATGAGGTCAAGTTCATTACTGATATGGTCTAATAAACTGATGCTCTAGGCAAACACAATAAAAATTACTCTACAGAATCAACTGAAACTTGAAAACTTACTTTAATACGCACCTAGGAGGGGCAATGACTCACTGCAAAGCGTTACACAACTAAGTAACTCAACCATATATACCCTGAACAATACCAATACTACAAAAGTAAAAATGTTGAAACATTGCCAATAAGCCTGACACAACGTAAAAGATAGAACTTTAGAATTCGCCTTGAAACGGATACATAAATACAATCCTAGAAGCTGAACGGTATCTGCAATGTCAGTTGGCTCAATTTTTAATCGGGCAGCTGAAATGATTGTTTGTAAACACCAAATATAGAAAAAAGATCAACCGTTGAACTGCTAATTCAAGCAGTGGTTAGTGCCCATCTCAAATAGTACGGAAATGTTAGAACAAAACAGAAGCTGTGATTGATTGCTTCGTGAAGATCTCTTAGGAGCCTGTAGCGTGGTATCGAGTCGAGATTGACTATGAACGCCACTACAAGGAAACGCGTACCAAACAAATCAGAAGGCGTAGGTTGAACGTAACCAGATTTATTTCGTTGGCGATCTCGTGGTATCGATCGAATACCAAGATCGTGCCAAGAAGTAGTACAAGCGAAAACAAGAGAATGGAGTTCGTGCGAACAAAGCAAAAAACCGCGGAACCATGATGGAAGGTAATGGAATCATAAAATGGCTGTAATTAGCAGTTAAACAAAAGCACAATAAAACAAGCACTGGTACAGCTGGTTATAATAATAGTTGTTCTCATTAAACCAGTCGTGTTCTCGACAAAGGAATAGATGTGCTGTGAAATACCATCGTACACGAGTTTGACGCGCACCACTTGTTCCAAATATCGACTACACATATGTTCAAATCAAATGACTGACTTGTTTTATTTTATTTCATCCTCGATAAAAAGGCGTAGCCAAACAGGATGTATCCAGCGGAACGCACTAAGTAGATCACCACTATCAGGACGATTATCAGCACATGGTACGTCTAAGCGAATGTAAGCAATTGCGCGCGAACGGACTTTTCAAGAATTTGACAGGGTATTTGGCTGTCATATTCCCAGGAAACTCTCATGCCTATAGACACCATAATGTGAGGTTCTCCTTTTCCTGGACTTTCTAAAAGTGTGAATTTCGTTCATAGTGCAACATATTCACAGGACCATTTGGAATTGGACAATATGTCAAAAGTACGGGATGACACTCAAACAGATATTACTCAAAATGGATAGTGAATGAGTTAGTTTTCTTCAAAGCGTCTAGCGTTTCTTTAGAAAACGTTGCGACTTCAGCCCAAAAAAACTATTTGATGTACATGAGCTCGTCACAAGTTTATTGAATTTTTCGCTATTGGACATAACCAGTTTGTTTTTGTTTACGCGGCATTTTGTTCTTCGGAACATGATGTCGAGTGGAGTCAGATATTCTGAAAGGAATGATCCTAATTGTTCCGATACATTTAACCAAAAAATACCAGAATGCGAACCACTGCCAGATTACCATTTTTTCTGTCAACTTGCCCATGGAAGCCCTACCGGGATTATACATGGTTTTACTACAGTCCGTCAGCTCCACACGAAAATATCGGAGTGTTTTGATATAAATCCATCTCAGGTAGAGTTGAATTATTTCACCTGTATATGTTTCCGTTTGTGATTGCTTTTGACGTTTTTAAATGGTTATAAGCTACTTTCCTTCTCGATATGTATGGTTTCATCATACAAATGCCTTAGAATATCCCTTTTCCGATTATTCAAGCATGTTTCTTAATAATACGTCAAATGATGTATCCTGTAACTATCATATGAGGGGCTAGGTCATATTTTCATACGATGTGAAATGATAGCATGGATTCGAATGTAGCCGATGTTAATACCTTTTTGGAAACAACATGCAAACATATTTTAAGGTGGGTAAATGCGCACGAAAAAGCACTTGCGTTTTGGTCGATAAATGCTGTTATTTATCGCACCTTCTCTTTCATCCTCAACTAGTTATGAATAACAACAGTTGTAAAGTATTTGGCTTGATAACGTCTGTGTTCAAATAGACGAAGACGATTGAAATAATGAGGCAAGCTAGCGGTTATAAGATAATAAAGTCATGCAAAGATACAAACTTTTTGTAATCGTATTCTTACTACCTTCATATTTGACTACTTTTGCGTTACTTATACACATTATCACTGAAATGTAAACTTGTTTCTCATGCCAAATCATACATTTTTGCCATAAGTCTGTTGACTTACAAGAGTTTCATTGTTTTTGAGACGTTTGTCACCAAAAATCCAGTTATATCTTATTACGATTGTAATTTTAGCTTCAAGAATAACTTAATGAAATTTATGTTTATTGGTTCAATGAGATAATTTTTTCTCCACGAAAACCCAACATTGTTTTACGTGTTAGCTATTTTAATCGTTATCATCCTAAAGTTGTGACTTGGGTGTGATAGTCTTGTATTTCTGGTGTGAATGAATGTAGCTGTTGTGTCTGGAAAAGCTCTCAGGAAAAAGTACTCTGATCCGCTCTTGCTAATATTATCCTTTGAAAATAAAGCATATTTGCAGGTTACCTGTGAGCGATCATGGACTGTTTCGAAGCATTTCTTTATGTTGGGACCGCCTAATGAGCGATGTTGATGTCAAATAGTTGTTATGGGTAGCGAATCTACATTCTTAACCACCACTATCAATCCATAAAGTTTGTACTCGTTAAATTCAGCCATTTTATTAGATACAGACTGCCACATTACGATCCGAGTGATTATCGCAATGGACGGTTTAAAGCTCGAGGTGAAATGGGCCAAAATCGTTTGCAAATTCATAGATGCATTCACTGTTCTCTCCCTTTGATCGCAAGTTTATTTGCTGCTATGTGGTAAATATTTTGAAATATTATTTAAACCCTATAATACCTTCTGCCTCGCTATGATGATTGGGTTTTTTAAATAGTGACTACGCAACAAAGGTATGTTTACTGAAACACTTATCGCCATAATTCCTTCCCCACCAGGGAGATCACTGGATGGTAGTGAGAAAGTAAATTGTAGATGTAAGGTTCGGGGGCAAAGCAATGTTATCGGATGTTCGTAGATTTGGCAGTAGTAGGGTGTTTTCCACAAATGAACATCATCAACAATACCTCCTCCTCACAATACAAGGTGTGTTTAATCACTATTTATGTTTTTATTGAAAGAGTTTCATCTAAAGGTTTCACTTTATATCACCCGTCTTTTAGTTAAGTAATTTCACGGTCGCTTAGTTTGTGAACGAACAGTTTCTGTGACAATTTAACATTTTTCTAATAGACTGAATCAAGCACTATATATTTCACTCGCTTTCTAATAACATACATTTTCTAAATAAGATTTTCATGACATCATCTCAAATCTCTGTTTGGTACCATGCAACAAGTTCTTCCAGTCCTAAATGTAGTTCAGTATTTAGTTATGAGTAGCATATTTATATTATTGTGGTCCAATTTTGTTGTGTTCTATCAAACCATTCTTTACAGTTTTACAAGATATATTCTTGAACGTCATGATGGCTTCACTTATCATTGTATTAATGTAAACCAACTCATTTAGTCGGTGATTGAGCCAAGAAATTCAATATGATTAGAAGTGATCTGTCCAAGCAAGCATATTGCAGGCATAAGAAGCAACTTTCACCTACCTCAAACCCTTTTTATTCTCTTTTGATACAAGATTGGTTATTGCTTTTGAGCAATGATACACTGATGATATGTTTGTAGAAAAATTAGATATTAGTAGGATTCAATAATAATGTTGAGGTTTAAATTTGGTAATTTTCTGTTTAACTATAATATGTTTGAACATGATTTGCACTTTATTAGTAAACATTTTTCTTCAACAACGACTTCTATCCTCAAAAAAGACCAATTTTTGGCGACCGTGAAGTTTGTTTAGATCTATATTCTCTTGGTTGTTCCTTAGAGGCTGTCGTCAAAAGGGATATTTTAACGATATTTTATGAGATACAAAAATATAATAAATATTAGGCGATTCCCTTCTGTTTCAACGCATACATATTCTATATTTTCTTGATAAAGCTTGGACCAGATTGCCTGGAGAAACGTTAGATTTGCTTCAAATTCTTTCGCTGAGATTTTGCAAATACATTCTTCCTTTTTAACGTTTTTCTTTTGTGACATGATTCAGATTATCAATTAGATTATACATGGTTCATACCATGATGGCAGATTAATTTTATTACCTGTCAATATCATAGACTATGGATGTGTGTGATTGAATTTTCTTCGATGCCTTTTCTTATTTCTAGATATTATTAACGTAATTATATATATTAATTATATAAATTAAATATATGTAGCTCATCTCCACGTTTTGTGTGAGAAGGACAGGTTGGATGGAAATTAGACCTTGAAATGAATACCTAAGCAAAAGACATCCTCCTAGTTATATGAACACATGAATATTGGTACAAGGAGGCACCGAATACTTATGCACCAAACAAGTCACTTGATTTGTGCGTGGACTGTGATATTGTCCAGATGCTCAAACCGATGCAGGTGATTTTTTTAGGGGGCCGCGCCTAGAGCTTTTAACCAAAGGTGTGATCCACAAGGGATTGGAGCAACGTCAGGAGATGTAGTCTCATGGTAGCTGGTCATCAACAATAGGTTTACACACCATTTTTTCCCTTAGGATCCTGGAGCCCATATGCACCACTGGCTGTGATGGTTGTTGTATACGCGTGATCATGTGAGAGAATTTGGAAAGTGAAAGCGGACCCTCACCACCTTCGGCCGTACCAGGACATTTGGAGCATCCACTCGCTAGATGAATGAAAATATATCGCACAAGTATTACACATTGAGAAGTAGATGTACTACAAATTTATTATCGTGCAACCTATCCCATCATAAACCAATTGTCTATTTTGTTGATGTACTTATACACACAACCCTTATTCTATCAACATATTGCTCGTCCATCCAGCTCAAAGAACAAAACTCCATCGATATACAACTCTGCCCTATTTTAATGGGCAATGATTGTTTACTCAGAAGTAGGTCGGTAAAAATCTTTATGCAACCAAACCAAGATATAGGATTAGTTCATGTGACCATTTACTTTTGATTTGATCTACATTGACAGAAGCAAATCATTTTGTTAAAATCCATATAATAACTGCAAACAGTGACTGGAGACATTTTTCAAACATTGATCAGAATCGTTCACAATAGTGTAAATTTATTTACACTTCATCTACTCTTGAGCATAGAGTTCTAATATTCCATTAAAAAAAACAGTTTACATATTACATTTCTGAAACAGAATATTAATGATGGATCATTTTCATGGTCGTTTCCACTTAATTATATCGATCTGTTTATAATTCATTTGCTCGTTATTTTCATCTTTCGTTGTTATTAAGATAGAACCACTTGGTTATAAAATAATGTATATACATATATATAAACAGAGTGACCTGGAACAAAGGTTGCATGTACAAAATGGATACCATGTGATGTCGGTAAGAATGGAACACTTGGAACAAAAGCAAACAATTATAGTTTATTATTGTCACATGAGTGTGTAAACTGCCATCTATACAGTTTCCTGTCTCGTACAATTTGTAAACCTACAAGTTAAGTCAATGTTCAAGAAATGCCTTCAATGAAACTATGATGACCAACTCAGTGGTGATGTACTTCAAAGTATTTCAAAAGTTTCAGTGCTTAATTGAGATTAGATATGTTGAGCGTCGAGAAAAAATTTTTTTACGAGGGGATTAGAAGGTTGTTAACATGTAAACTAAATGAAGTTGAAACTGCACAACCAGATGTCGACTGATTGGTTGTAATATTAAGGCGTTCTTTGTAAAATTAGAAAGTCCATGGTTTGATCCCCGGCTGGGTTGTCAGTAAGCTGCTAGAAATCTCAAAACTGACATGAAGAAAGCATTCACTGCATAGTATCCAATGATAATGGTTGCAATATATCATAAACCTGCTGAACTTAAAAATATAAACTAGTAGATACCAATGGAATAGTTTTAGAGTTAAGCCCTTTCCACGAGACCCAAGGACCCTGTCGTAAACCACCGGTAAATCGGCCAGCCAGTCAGTCAGCTACATCGTAGGATCAGGCACATTTACGCATCGTCTAAGTTGCCACACAAAATTAGCACAACAAGATGAACATTAATTTCATAGAAGGAGTTAATTCAATGAAAGCAATGTGTTAAAAAAATCGTGTATAATACAGAAAGAAAGAATTAGAAAGGTATAAAGCAATTTTAATCTCACGATTTACGGGAAGACAAATAGTGTATACATCCACACCATCCTGGTCGATTCTGAGCAATATCACTCAGTCTCCAATCATTGGTTACGATATTCACACGGACCCCTACCAAGTAGTGTGCATCTAGCAACATGACTCAGATTAGAAGTTAGTAACTTCATTTTGACTGATGCGACTTTTTGGTTGGGCTTCCGCTAACTTTCTTCCAACCATCTTCAACATCAGATAGCATTGTGCGTCGTGGTAATCGGTGTTCAGGCATACATAATACATCACCCAATCATCTTAGTCGACGAAGATTTACAAACGGTGATTGTTCATATCTAAATAATCAATATTATTGATAGATTAGCTGTCCAATACTTCCTTGTTGTTAACTTAATTCCATGTTATAATCATCTATATACATTTTCATTCTGTTTAAAATTCAATATGAATCATTCATTATAATTTCAGTATACATATAAGTAATAAATTAAAATAAAGAAAAAGTTTTTTGGTTTATAATTTTTGTTTTCACTTTAATGAATAAATTATGTAAATTAATAGTGAATTTATGAAATCAGTAATAACAAAAGTTCCATTGATAAGAAAGATTTTTTTTCATCTCTATATAGTTTAAGAAGAAAACAACTCAATGAACCAATGGTTGTCATAGTGATCTAATTAGTTTAAGATTCAATTCTAATCAACTGATGAGTTGTACAATGAAATGGAATAATCATTTTCAATTTCATTATAACCTATTCATATACATGTATTAATTGAATTGAGTTCAATTTCTAATTATAATTCTATGATGTAGATACAATAAGATTCATGATTTCATTTAAAGACTTAATAATTTCCACAACTCCTATATTGGTAATTAACTTGTGCTCACTAGTGACTAGCTTAGTGAGAAAATTCTCGAAGTTCTGTTGAAAAGCCGTGACCAATGGAACCAGTCCGTGTCGGGTAAAGACAGGTATCTACTTCGGTATGATGAGAGATGGTAGTGCATTTCGTGGATTGGTTGATGTTAGACACTAACACCATTGTATGCCGGCTCAGTGGTCCAGTAGGTTAAATGTTCGCGCGCGAGATTGAAGGCCCTGGGTTCGAATCCCGCGAACGGGATCGTGGATGCGCACAGTTGAGGAATCCCACAAAAGGAAGTAACGGCCGTTCAGTGCTTCCAGGTTTCCAACGGTGGTCTAACATCAATTGGTTCATGATCTCAATCAAAAACAAAAAGAAAAGTTATCACCTAATTAGGCAAGATAAATATCAAGTGTAAAATTTGAAAAACTAACAATCAGTTGAATTAACCTAAACGTTGTTTCTCATGTTCAACTCTGTCGATGAGTACTGAGATGAATTGAAAACAGGTAATGTATTGAACAAAGAATACGAATGGGGAATAATCGAATGCATTTGAAAACAAAATTATAGAATATCTTATTAAAATCTGAGAACAATACAGTAACTACTTAATTTGCAAAATATCAATCCATTGTCTCAGACTTCATTGTCCCTTCATTTTAACACTAATTACTTTTCGTTCTCGTTCATTCCTTCTCGATCTTCTACTGAAATAAATTCTATTCCTGACTATCGTTATATACTACTTATGTGGATATAAGTTACTGACATCACAGGTAGAGACGCAATGTTGAGGAGTATCCTACTAGGATGAAACGACCAATCATTACTTTCAGGTTTTCAATGGCGGTTCAGTTTATTATTTAAACTATCAAGATTCCACAGTTTCCATAAACGTCTTTGTGTTAACATGTCTTATTTTTGAATGTAAATAAAATCAATAAAAGAAACCGGTATGCCAATAATAACTAATTCATTCCTTCATTAAACTAAATATAACGTGGATCACGACATACCCTTATAAAAGCTCTCGTTATTCTATACATCTTAATATTTTACCGTGTGTACCTTTCTTTCAGCGAGATTAGACGCAGGGTATTAGGGAATGATGGCAAATCAGTTGATAGTGTTGTGAATAATCATCGACTGAGATGGTTGGGTCGCGTGTTGCTTATGCCTGAATACCGATTACCACGACGCACAATGCTATCTGATGTTGAAGATGGTTGGAAGAAAGTTAGCGGAAGCCCAACCAAAAAGTCGCATCAGTCAAAATGAAGTTACTAACTTCTAATCTGAGTCATGTTGCTAGATGCACACTACTTGGTAGGGGTCCGTGTGAATATCGTAACCAATGATTGGAGACTGAGTGACATTGCTCAGAATCGACCAGGATGGTGTGATGTATACACTATTTGTCTTCCCGTAAATCGTGAGATTAAAATTGCTTTATACCTTTCTAATTCTTTCTTTCTGTATTATACACGATTTTTTTAACACATTGCTTTCATTGAATTAACTCCTTCTATGAAATTGATGTTCATCTTGTTGTGCTAATATTGTGTGACAACTTAGACCGATGCATATATGTGCTTGATCCTAGGTTGTAGTCAACAAACTGACTTCTTTCAGCGATTTTATTCTTAGGTATTTGGTAAATTATCGTCTAACAGGTCTCGTTTTTGTATCAAGCAAACATTATCAATTCAACATGATTTACTTTTATTTGAAATAGAGGAATTCTGAGAAACTCTGTGGTAAAGTGTTAATAAACTTGGATTGTAGCAATATGGTAAAATCCAGGCATCATATTTCTTCCTGTTCAGGACTCAGTAATTAGATTGTGGTGTATGCTATTTATGCTGACAGATATAAATAGTATGTAGCATTAGTTGGAAGTAGAATGCCTTTCAACAGAAGATTGGATTGAAGAGGACAGGAAAGAAAGTAAAGAGCAATTGTGATAACAACAGGATTGAAAGAATAATGAAGCATGTACAGCAAAATTGAAAGATGATCTGTAAATAATGTGTTCAGTGTATAGTTTTCGTATTTTATCAAAGTAACCTGTACAAAACAATGAGTTGGTTTTCTCTACCACCCGCATTCTCGTTCACTACAACATATTTAGTCAGCATAAAAGAATACAATACAAGAGATAATCGAAATTTACTAAAACCTATAACGAAAGGTATTATCATAGTGGTCCTTACATGATTCACCTATCCTAACAGAGAATAATCGAATACATTCCTTAATATCAGCAATGTATAACTTCGGTTGAGTATTGTGAAAATTAATAATCAACGACTCAAACTGATCCTCAACCAGTTACATTTTTTTGTAACTAGTGGCTTTCTTATTAAACAGATCAATTGATTTGTCTACTGATAGATTACTTATTTAATTATATCGCTCTTCCTTTTATCTTTTCATCAACAATAAAAATGATGTAAAGTTGTAAGGAATATGCTTCCAACTAACAGGATACAGATTCAAAAGTTCATTTCACCTTCTTTACTTTCAGTGACCGGGTTATACCATCAACCCCTATACATAAACGGTATGATTTTAAGCATAAACTCAGAGTAACTGAATTACATTTCAATACAGACAATCATGTAACTTTTAATTAACCACACCAATATGACCTATGTATTCATTGTTTCCCCCCATTTCTTTATCTCTCTTTTTTCTATTCTTACTATTTTAGATCATGTATTGCACACGTAATACACATAAATTAGATATGGATAAATTATTAAGTTATGAAATTGGTTTAAATGATTTTTTATTTGCACATATTAAAGGACAACCAAAAGAGATTAAAATACGTAAAACAAGTGAATCATTTGGTTTAACATTAACAGATAATGGTTGTGGTGTAGTCATTATAAAACGTATTAAACCTGGAGGTTTTATGGATAAAGTATCTAAAGCATGTAATGGTTTAATACAACCTGGTGATCAAATTGAAAAAATCGATGATATTTCATTTAATGGTCGACGTCATTATCATGTAGCATCTTATTTACAAAGTATTCCTATAACAAATGTATTTTGTCTACGATTAATTTCACCAGAACGTTGTCCTATGTGTAAGTCTATTATATCATGTATTGTTTTGCCAAATTTTTTTAAAAATTCTATCCCATTTATAAAATAAAATTCAAGTAATCTCTTGATAAAATATGACAATGCATTCCATTGACGAAGTGTTACTCAGAAGATAGATACACAGACATCATTAACTTAGAGCTTCCCACAGATGTACCTTAGTCCAAGTTGTCATACCTCATTCATTTGAAAAGACATGGGGTAAAGGTATGCACGAAAGTATAGTGGAAAAGGGACAAATGTAACTGTAACATTATGGACCATTTTGAGCGAACTATCGGGTTTGATAGTTTAATGGGCCACAACCAAGTAGTGTATATTTACCAGAATCGTCTAGCTCAACAGTTGATAATTTTACGGATTAGTGTCATCTTCGTTTAACAACCCCAACGTTCTTCTAACCTATTAGGCTTGTCATGATAGGTAGTGATTAAGCATACATAGTAGACGTTTAAACGAACTCATAAAATAAAGATTCACATCTTTACCTAGTATCATGTGTTTAATTAAACATTGTCTACCCAGTCGTTCCGCATGATGCAAGCAATGTTTCAAAGACACCTTCATTCAAAAACATACAATCTAACCATATTTTCTAATTTCGTAGACTATATTTCATAGGTAAAACTTAGAACATAACAGATTGAAGGTAGACACTGGTAAATTAGTGTATGAGGATAGTTTGTGAAATTTGCTCATTACACAGCTACTTCTCATTGTGAACTGAAAAAAATGTAAAGCTTTTATCTTCGAAAGCCATTCCATTTTATTATGAGCGTTTTGTGGAAATGGTTGAGTTTTGTTTTTTACATTATAGACTTACCGTAAAAAGCTGGGAAGCAATGAAAAAACTATTCGCTTCAGTATAAGACTCATAAATAGTGTGCGGCTACTAACCCTTGGAGGTCGAACACAGAGCATCGTAGCGTGGAGTTTGTGGATTTGACCTACAGTGACAGGGTCGTTGATGTGCCCTTCTAAATATTTCTATATGAAACTGAAACAGACGTCGATTGCTTCCAAGTTTCCAACGGTCGTCTAATTAATCAATTCATCATATTATTTCAGTTAATCATTTGAAATATTATATCGTGATCTTCTCGAAATAAACTCCAGATAAATACCTAATTATCTGAGTATGATTTGTCAACACAGATAATCATTCGATATACTTAAGGTTAGAATTCGACGAATAAATAATACCACAAATCTAGTAACCTAACTTAACTATAGAATTCATTCATTCCATGGTACTAGACAAACATAACACTGATTATTACTTAGTGATCAGTTTATAGATTATGTAAATAATGGAAATATCTAAATCCTGAATGTAAGTTGCTTGTAAATATGTAATATAATTATGATGTATTGTGACTTACCTATTCAGTACAAATTTCTGTATTTAATTTTAAGCTATATGATCTATTTGAAGTCTTATTGTATTTTTATCGGATGATCACTCGAATCGAAATAGACTTTGTCAAGTTCAAATATGCAAATTTATCATTTGAAGTCTTTTATATAATATCCTATCAAAATATCGTTTAAAATTATGGACTGAATTCGTTAAATGTGACTTTTCAGTCGTTTTAGGAGGAATTATAGAATTGAAGAGAAAGGCTGTCTATGAATACAATGGTCTTGAGTCGTGTTAGAGGTATGAGGGTGGTTATCACTTCCCGGTTGCCCATACCGTGGAAGGGTTCTTCTGAAGGTACCTGAAAACGGAAATGGATTAAAGGTGGTCTTAGTGATCTGATATCGTGACTGTAGTGCTTAAAATCGTCATGCACGACCATTCTGTGGGTAGTTTTAGTGTTAGCTTCGTACTTGTTGAGACCTTACCACCGGAGACGGATATCCGTGGAATAAGGCAAGTTGGGCATTTCTAGGGTGGACTTTTTCTAACCCCACCCCTCCTTGTGGGAAGGCAGCATCGCTGTTATGCTGGTTGTCTGAAGGAAACAACTTACTGCCGTCACACCACTGTACAGTTAGCAGTGCAACTTCGTCCTCAGACCTTGGGTTTGCTGCTTTTAGTCTGAGTGTTCTTCAACCGACCTGTCTGGCATGATAGGACTTTGAGAAACGATTGTTCCAGCCAGTGTTGCTCGATTGGTTCATCACAATATGCAAGGTCGACCACCACGTCAAGGTAGCAACGACGGTTGAGAAATGTACTTTTAATTTCACGAGATTATTCAAAAATTCTCAACACTCTCTTTCTTCAAATTAAATCTCAATTATGATAAGTTTCCAGTGATATTTTTTTCAAAATGAAATTTTTTAAGCCTTATTTGCAAGTGAAAATGTTTTCAATTTTAGAAGTAATTTATACCACAAGGAATATCAACTATGATCAAAACTAAGAAATATTGAATGAATGTTTTGTTTTTAATTCTAAAGAAATCAAAGACACGAAACTTTTAATTTCTATGATTAACTAAACATGTTACCATTGATATCGGTCAAGAAACGTAGGGCAGTATTATGTGAATGTGAATCAATAAAACTGGTAGCGGAAGAGTTTATATCGATTCCTATTAATGACAGAAGGATGATTATCACATCCTGGCCCTCTTAATTGTGGAAGAATGCTTGTTCTTGAGTTACAACAGAGGGAAACTCCATGAGGGATGGTCTTGACGACCTGACAGAAACAGTATAACGCACAAAAGACATTTGTTTAGGACTAGTCACAAATGACATTTTTGGATAGTTTCAGTATACCCTTTTAAACTATCATACGTAGGATTGTGATTTGTTTAACCATCACTTGTTTTGTTTCACTTATATCTAAGTTATGTTCATATTGTAATCTTCTCACTGTATTGCTATATGATCAGATATCTTAAACATGAGTCTTGTGTCATAATGGAAATAAACACAATAGAGCACTTATCCGTTTTCTATCTTCATCTTCTGGTTGGTCACTGTGTTGAAAGTAGCTGAAGCACAAATAAATGTCAAACTCTTGCGACTGCTGTTCATTGGTCTGTTTGTAGATTGATAAACAGGTCACCCGTATTATTGGAAGAATTAATGAACTAGTCGATAATTGGGCTAGTGAGAGGTCAAACAACTGCTTTCTCATCATTACGGATTGATAACACGTAGCCGAAAATAACTCAAGCAATCAATATTTCTTCTAAAAATATTTATAACCAGTGATGACTAAGCGTGTTCAATCCACATTAGTTTTGTTTTCTAGTTAATACAATTTTCCATAACCAACTATCTTTACATAGTAATTTCTTCTAAATAAACTTAGACCTAATGTGATATACAATGTTCAAGGTTCAGAAACATTGTAATTAAACTAATTTCTAAATAAACAAAAATGGATGGTGGTTAGCAGTGCGATCCAGTACACGCGTTTCGTCCTATTTGGGACTCGTCATCTGGATGTACCTGTATCCCAGAGTTAATGATCACTCTAGAACGCGTACCCAGTACCGTTCGCTTCAAGCGCCATTGGGTTATTCACTTAGTTACTGAGTCCCGATAGTCACCTGCTTGTGCCATGGGGTGAAGTTTTAAATTCACTCAATGTTGCTTACTTGTATCTTCATATTGTTATTTAAGACTGCAGTTGATCAGTCTCTCTCTTATTGGCATATGTGCACCCTATGTGGACTGTACTGTGAACGTTAGTGGGTTCGATTCCCAGATTGAAAATCAGTCCTAAGATACAGGTGCATCCAGCTGACGAGTCCCAGATAAGAAGAAACATGAGTCCTGAATTTCACTGATAGCCACTGTCCATCTTTGCTTATAAAGCTTGTGACTTAAGGCAATATCGAGACAGTACTGTTTCATATAAACCTGTTTTGTTTTCCGTTGCTCATCAATGAGTTACTACACTTCTATATATATATATATATATATATATATATATATATATATATATATATATATATATATATATATATATATATATATATATATATATATATATTCACACATTATATTCACATCAACAACAACAACCATCACCACCACAACAGCAACAACATTAACATTTTTAATACAAGTAAAACGAAATGTTAAATGATTAGAGATAGAAAAGTCCAAGAAACAAAACAAAACAAAAACCAGTCATATTAAGAAATCAATTTTCATTGCAAAAAAAGGAACCATTTTTATTGTGACTACTCTCCTATATCCACTTACACTATGCACACAATCATGCACGCATGTACGCATGCACACACACACATATGAACACATATACATTCATGTGATTATGATGAAATTATAAAAATAAACAATTTATTAGTATGATAGATAATATTTGTTATGTAATCAATGTAAAACTATTTGAATGAAATGAATGTATAGATATGTACATATTAAAATTACAACTATTCATGAATTACACATGCCAAGTGAATAGAAACGTACATTAAATTCAGCACTGTTCATCCACGACCACAGTACTGGGGATCGAACTCATGGCCTTCAGTCTCGTATTCACGAACTCTTAACTTCTAGACTACCAAGTTGTTATGCATTAGTATATATGTCTAAATGCAATCAATCTGTGGTATTGCGCGGCCATCTTCACCTTCGAGACACCTGACACAGTTAAACTCAATTAAATATGTCTGTCCAGTGTTTCTAGAGTTTTCAATAGTTGTGTAACTTAGATTTGTTCGTGATCTTTGCAAAAATTCACTAATCTTTACAACTGTCATACTAAATAGATAATATTCAGTATGTACCAATTTATTTTGTCGCTTATTTAATGTTTTCATACTGATATGAAGAGTAGAACTGACTGTAGGTCGACATTTGTTTGCTTTCTGACTGTCATCATCATCTCAGTAGATGAAGGCTTAAAATCTTATTAACAGACATGTTATCCTTACCTAATACCTTGATTTTAATCTAGGCACTACATATTGAATGATCACAACATACTCGATTGATGCTTTGAAGTGGACTGTTATTAAATATTGGTAAACTACAAATGTCATCTATCGTTAGAAGCCACGTTTTACAGCCATGAATTCATACTGAGTAGATATCTACACAGTGTACTCACCTGTTCGTGAGAAGAAAGAATTATTTTAAACCTTTTTTCTTTTGTTTGGTTTCTTCTTCTAGATACATAATGTCTATATCCAATCTTTTTTACTGTTACTACTACTACTACTACTACTACTACTACTATTACTACTACTACTACTACTACTACTACTACTACTACTAATGTTACTATTCAGACTGCTTCGGTATTTATCTTCACAGTTTTATCTCTCTGTATCGATGGAGTATAGTATTTGCTTCACGAATAATTTAATTGATTTTTTTGTATAAAATGCCTTGACACATATATGTTTGACCAGATTGTTCAAAATGTATAGCGCAAAATGCATCACATTAAATCGAGCCTTTTGTATCCGTGCTTAGATTTTGTCACACACCAGATCACAAGGGCTGATAAGACTCCCAAGATATGTTTAACAATCTGTGTGATAATGAAATTTCAGCAAATTAGATAGCTCAGTGGCAACATCTCTGACTGTGAAGCTTGGTGAAACGGGATCGAATCCTCCAGGGAGGACCAATTCCATCAAGATTACAGGTACACCTTGCTGACGAGTGCCAAATAGCACGAAACTTGGGTCCGGGGTTTCCTATGGACTACCTCCAACCACCACCTTATCTCAACAATACTTTATGAATAAAAGAGGCTGCCATATACACAGATATAAAGCAACCGTCAAATATCAAATTAATTTAATAGAAGTACCTGAACATACTTACAATATCTTCTATGTTCAATCCATTAAACATTTGAATACTACTTAATAAAGTATGATTTTTATCAAAGATTTCATCTCAAGAATCAGTAACTATTGTTAAGGACAGCGTTTGAAGTGAATGTTACTGGGTTCGAGTCCCGGAGAGAACATCAACTCGGAAATGCAGGTACATTTAGTTGACGAGTCCCAAATAGGACGAAACATGTGTCCTAATTTTCACTGCTAGCCATTATTCATCTAATTAGAAAATTTTTATAATGTAATATTAAATAATTTTATACTACATAAGAATTAATATTTTACTGACTTGTTATAGATTTACATTTTTGTGCATTCTATACAATTTAGATATGATAAGTTCACGTTCAAAAGGTAAAAATAGTCATATTGGATCAGGCAAACGAACTATTCGTTTTAAACAAGATGGAAATTTAGAAGAAAATGAGGTAAACGATGATAATTATAATTTTAATGTTTAAATAAAATTCAAATTTTATAGATTTATGTCATTAACATTAATAATTCTGTAATTGATAGAGTTTAGTTACGTTGGGATCAAGACAAATATCATTAATATCAGAAGGATTTTTGTGGATATTATAGTAATTTCAATGGTTGAGATCATGACGAAATGGTCATCCAGTGCTTCCAGGTTTTCCATAGTGGTCTAGCCTCAACTGACTCATAAACTCAACCATTGAGATATCATTAATTACAATGGATGTTGATCGTGCTGTAGGGCCAGTGAAATATCACTGAGCCTAGCCAAATCACCCGGCAGTCGGGTCACTGAATATCGAATAGATCATCGATCCTTGTCAAGATTAAGGACGACCGATGCGCATCATTTAATCGTTTGCCATGGACTGGCCAATGCGGTGGTTGTCTCACTAACTCGAATAGGTCTCCAATCATTTGACATAGGTCATCAACCTTGGTGATCTACAGTACAATATCAACAGTTCAACATAGAATGACTGTTTTCATAGAAACATGATGAATAGCTAAAAAGATAACTTACAAAATTGATTAAAACTGTTCTACTGAGTGCTGATATCACTTTATTTTGTTCCCCATATCTATATATACTTCAAATGTAAACATTTTCTTTGTAAAGCATATCAATTCTAAAAATCTTCACTTATTATTGGTAACTTTTCATTTGACTGTTGTTTACTATAATCAGAGGGTCGACAGACAATTTAAAACTATACAGAGAGTATAATGTGTGTTTTTTCCTAGTCGTTCATTCCTCAGTAGCATTCACTTATAAACCACAAACTGAACTGACATTAGTATCATCAAGTACGTTAGCAAGTGGAATGATTTTAATGCCATTTCATTTTTAATGGTTTGGTTTATCTCATTACTGTTATTTTGGCATGACTTTGATATTATGATATACGTTTACACAAAATAGATGTAATTTATATAGCAGTGGAATTTAGAACACTCCTTCTATCACAATACAAATTTGTCAATTAGACATACTCTCATTGCAATTTATTTTATTTTATTTCATTTAAACAAACAAACACTGGTACAAGGAGGCACCAAATACATATGCGCCACACAAATCTCATTCGATTTGTATGAGGGCTGTGATACTGCCCGGGTGCCCAAACCGAAGCAGGTGGTTTACTTAGGTGGCCACACTCCGAGCCTTTGACCTGAAGGTCTGACCCACAAGGCAGCGGAGCATCGTGAGAGATGCATTCCCATGGTAGCCGGTGACCAACGATTGGTTCATACGCCATTTGTTCCCACAGGATACTGGAGCCCATGTGCACCATTGGTTTGGAATTTGGGTAAAGCGCCGGACATTCGCTTTTCGTCCTCTCATTTTCGTAAGCAACAACCCCGCCACGAGAAGGCAGTAAGACTTTCCTGGCAGAGGCTGTATACGCGTGGCCTTGTGAGAGGGCGGGCTCACCCCACTCTCGGTCATAACAGGGCATTCGGGGGCACCCTTACTGTAAAGTTAATATCCACTTCTATATTCGAGCCGGCACATTTACCTTAGTTTAAATGCATCAATGTTTGTAGCTCAAATTTTAGCTGATTAGACTTAAATACCACAAAATAGCAAAATCTTCAATTCCATTATCAATCATATTTCATTTATTTAATGTAAACTTAAAGACTATATATTTTCACACTTTAATTCGATTCATGAAAAGACTCTATTTTTTTGTTTCTTTTATATCACATCAAAGTACATTACAAAAAACAAGCAATCAATGTCTTATACTGTCGATTGAAATTGAATTTTCACTCCATGTAATAATCACATATTGTACTTGATGTAGAACATTTCAACTGATATATATTTCATGTGTATCTATGCATGTGTATGTGTGTGTGTGTTTGATTGGTATTAATTTCAAGTTTTATTCAGGGTGTAATTTGAGTGATTGTACTTTTTGTGCATTTTGTTGCATTTGAATATAACACTAAAGAACAAATTTATAATTAGAATAATCAATGTATCAGTATTAAGTTGATATGTTTCTAAGGTAGATATTTGTTTGTTTTTATCCACTAATTCCGATGAATCCAACATTTATTTCAACCTTTCTTTCTAGAATACTAGAAGAAAAAGCATTAAGTTAGCATTTATAGAATTAATATGATAACCAGAAAACCCCTCTCTGATAATAATAATAATCATTATGTGCTCAGTAGTGACGGTCTCCAAGAGATATTTCTTGAAGTTCTAGTGAGAAGCGGTGACTAGTGGAGTTCAACAAGGTCTGATGTGTGATAGTAACTCACTAAAGACAATGGTGGATGTGTCAATCAACTTCATGGATTAGTTGAAGTTAAACATTCACATCGTTGCATGTCGGCCACCTCAGTGGTGTAAAGACTAGGAGTTTGCGCCGGTTCGAATCTCGCGAGGCAGGATCGTGGATGAACACTGCTGCAGGAGTATCACAATAGGACGAAACGGACATCCAGTGCTTTCAGGTTTTCCATGGTGGTCTAGCTTCAACGGACTCATGATCTTAACAATTAAAATTACAATAATATCCACAAAAAGCCCATATGATTAATTGATTAGTTAAACGCATAAACCCTCTCAAGTTGCAAATGAGAAAATAGAAGACAAGTGAATGGATTGCTATTCTGAAATGATGTCAGTTATGGTACAAAACTATTAGGTATTTATAGAGTTCACTAATCCAGATGTAAGAAATTATTATCATTTGTTCAATAGGGAAGCTGAACTTAGGGATTCTGGAATATTCTTCCAAAAGAGGATTAAATGGAATATCTTCGACTTTTTCTGAGCTTCTTAAAGCTTCCCAGAATTTATCCATAGACTATCCTTACAATTTTGATCTTACATTAATATTTTAACTAATGTAATAAAAAATTTAGCTTTCCTTTAATTTGGAATTAGACCGATACATAATTCAGACAATTAAATTGAATGATTTATAATACACTGTTCTATTGACTAATCGTAATGAAGTATTTACTTATTTTTCTGCTAGAATTTAATGTTGATCTTCTTGATTAGGAATTGAATTCGAATGATATTTTCCAGAGTTCTAGTGAGGAGCATTAACTATTACAGTTCAATAATGTCTAGTGTGAGGCACTTGTTTATTGAAGGTAGTAGAAGATGATTGGATATGAAAACAATTGGATACCGACTAAATAGCCTAAACGTTAGTCATTCTTCGCTTGTCTGAACCTTCTAAGTTAGACCGCCGATTGAGTAATGAATGCCAACTATTGATGAGTCTTACACTGGGATAAAACATTTGCATAGTGTTTTGATATTCCATAGTTACCTGATTTAAGTTAGTCTGTATTATCATTTAAGCAAACCGCTATCATGAAAAGCATATTATTTGTCACCACAACTCAATTATCTTTCTGTCAGTTAGCTACAACAAACATGGAATTAAGAATAGATTCTCAATCTTACTAGAAGAAAATGTTGGGCCTAATATTAAATACTATTTTAATTTAACACCTTATATTGTACACTCTTGAAATCTAATAAATCTTTTCACAGTATTATCTGACACACAATCTATGAAGCTGCATAAAATTAGTTTAAATGGAATACTGTTAAATCAGTAAACATGAAAACTTCCTTTAACTGAAGTGTCTGTTATTTGAGATAAACTTGTGGAGTAAACTTGACTGTCCATTCCATTCATGAAAAAAATCCTCTTTTAAATGACTATAAGTCTTTAAATAAACTATCGGTCTTTTCGAACTTTAGGGCTATAAACGATAAAATCGGTTCATATAGTGTATAACAAAACGGTATTTATTAATATATTTTAACTACATTATCGATTATTTTACCTATGATGTTACATTAGCTAATATTTTCAATATACTTGAATGTATACTGGTGAGAAGTGAAATGTTGAAATGAAATAGCTTTCTACTGTTCCCTAGTTTTCATAGATTGTTTAACTGAAAACTTTTGAGATGAATTTTTTCATTGAAAAATGAGTCAACTGAAGCTACTCTACTATAGGAAACCTGAAAGCACTGGACGTCCGTTTCGTCTTATTGTGGGACTTCTCAGTAATGCGCATCCATGACCTCGCCTTACGAGATTCAAACCCAAGACCTATTGGTTTCGCGCGCAAGCACTTAACCATTAGACCATTGAGCTGAAATCCAACAATGTGCTTCCAGGTTTTCCATAGTGGTCTAGCTTCACCCGACTCATGATCTTAATCAATTTATACTCAGCATATTTTAAGCATTTAAACTGTAGACATAATAACAATTCACTTAATTAGCCTATCATATAGTAAATAAAAATATTTACCATATAAAGTAATTATGGAGTAATGAATTACTATCTGTATGACGTAATATATGTATCACATGTTAATATGATTTTTCTCTTTCTTTTTTCCTTTTTTTAATTTATAAAAGTCATTTAAATCAATTCATCATATTGTTGTTTTTTGTTCTCCAAAAACAATTTGCCAAACTATTTTTTTTTCATTTAAAATATTTCACTGTTGTCATGGTAACAGTAACTATTAATCAATAAGTGATTGTATAAAAATAATGATATAATCATTTATTTTTTGTTAGTTTTATGAATCTTTTTATTGACATTTAGAATTGTAGTTAATCACTTTTTTTTTATAGATATATATGTATGTTGTGCAAATTGTCTTGATATTGATTTACGTCATTATTATTATAAGTAAAGATAAATGGTGTTTAGCAATGGAATTCAGGATGTGCATTTCGTTTTATTTGAGACTCATCCGTTTTGAGTTTTGAGTTCTCGATGTTCTTCCGTTTAAGATATCCTGCTCTTGTTTTGTCGATTCCCGCCTTCACATCTAATAGAATATTCAATCAATCAATACAAAATGAACTAAAAATTCACTCCATTGCACATGCTAGTGACTATCTGGCCTCAGTAGCTTATTGGATATCATGATGGCATTTAAAGCAAGTGGTACTATGTTCTAGTTGGGGTTTTAACATCGACGCTAGAATCCAGGTACATTCAGCTGATGAGTCTCGGACTGGACGAAAGGTGCGTTTTAAACTCCACTGCTAACCCTCATCCATCTCTGATTTTAATTATAAAATCAAGCTGGAAAAACGAACTAGGTTTAAATAATTGATATCTTCATTGTTTCAATTTTTTTATCTTTAACAATTGATTGTACTCTGAGTAGTGAATAATATCACATATGTCTAGTCCTTTATCGTTGGTTGCAATGTGGCTACTGTTCTAAATGACTGGGAACTATGAACCTAAATTTCATGATAAATATAATTAGTCCGTAAAATTTACATATGATTTTTAATAAACTGAATCCGGAACCCGAGTCGTACAACTTTACATTTTGAGACGTAACCATTGAGCTATGTGTATTGTGTTAGACCTATGGGATCAAGAGATTTACATTTAAATGATCATTAAGTAGTGACCTATCTCATGTCTGACTAGTCCTCCTTGGTTTAACCAATTCGCATAAGAAACTAACTCGGTCTCACTAATTGAACTAATTACACTCTATACATTAAGAATGCCTTAAGCGATTGACTAGACAAAGAGTGAATATTATGACAACAGTCAATTGACTGGTTAATTTATCTTCAGATCGTACAGACTACCAACGGAAAATGATCCGAGTTAAAGAATAAGAAACAATATTACTGAAACAATATGGCAAGTCATATATCTCTGTCATCCTAATATATTCCGACTCATATTACATTAGATTCTTAATAATAGGCTACAATAATCATGATTATTCCATCTAAAAAGTTTGTGTATGTTGAATAGGCTTTGTCTAACATAAATTATGAGTTTATGAATTCATATTATGTCTTGTTATTTTACAGCCTACTTTTATGTTAGACAGAGAAGTATACACCTACGCCATTGTGATCGATTCTGAGCTATGTCACACACAGTATCCAACCAAGTAGTCTACATCTACCAACATGACTCAGTCTAGAAGTTAGTGACTTCAAGCACTGATACAACGTTTTGGTTTCGCTAACCGTAACTTTCTTCTAACCATTCCCAACGCCAATTAGCACTGCGCGTCGCGGTCATCAGTGTTCAGGCACAGGTAACACGTGGCCCAATCATTTCAGCCGATGAAGATTCACAACCTCATCAACTGATTGACCATCATTCCCTAATACCCTGCGTCTAACCCCACTATTACTTGCCAGGTCATCCTGGCAATATTTCTAAGGCATCCATGGTCAATACTAGTAGCTTACGAGTATCTTCAACTCTTAATGGCCACGTTTCGTAACCGTAAATTAAAACAGAACGAACTGCCGCACAGTATAGTCTCACCAATCAATTCACTAATTATATTTCTGAACTGTGAGTTCATCTCCGAAATTCCAACCGTATATGTTAAGTATATTAAAAATACCACTGTAATATATAGATGTATCCCTATCTTCTGCCCACAAATATTATGTTTCACAACAGTTAAATCATATAATAATAATAATTGTTCAGTATACTCACCCTCTGATAAACATATGGAACTCTAAACGGTATCAGTGATAGAGTGAATTAATAAAGGTTAAATGTGTAATTTTTCTTATCAGTTCAATATTTAGACTTGAAACAACTTCTAATATAATGTTTAGTGATTAACATTTATTTATTCATATGTTGCTCAATGCTTAACTCGTTATGTTGACTTGATTCCTTGACATATTTTTAATTGGCAACTCTATATCGTTATATCCTTTATTAAATGGTTCCAATAGAAAATTAGGCGAGACTATAATTTATGAATGAATTAATCACGTATAAGATAACAGGTCTTGGAGTTTGGCGCGGAATTCACTCATTCAATCAGATAAATAGAGTTTTTGGCATTATCGCTGATGTCAGTTCGTGATCGAAACCGTAAATCTAATTTCTGTGATTGACGTTAAAGTGACGTTGAGAATGTCCACCTACTTACTAGAACTAAATGAAGTTTATAAACTTGTGTGAATAACAGGGACTATGATTAGGATTAGGCATCTGATTCATGATTACATCACGAACTAATATTAGCTATAATGCCAAGATTCTATTTACACAAATGGGTGAATGAATTTCGCGTGAAAATCTAAGACCTGAAAGATAAAGGAAGGTTATGCAAGTGGATGATGTCATTATTTTAAAAGTTGAATTACTTTATTGAAATTATTATGTCACTCATTATTTGATGAGTTATTTTCTTTATATATGTATAGATTGTAGATGTTGAAATTGAAGGAATTCAAAGAATTAATGAAATACTTGGTGATAGTCTTGGTTTTGAAGATAATGAGCTTGGTAAGTGAAATGTGTAATTCATTTATTATTTTTAAAGAAACTATTGTCTTTAATAATGATTAAAGATAATAGTTTATGACTGCTTCACATCTCAGATCACTTATTACATATCTAATATCATATTTACAGAACCCAAGCACCTCAATAGCATTATCTAGCGCAGAGAATGAGACTATACTAAATACGTAATTCTGAGCTACAAATGTTCATCGTTGTTTCAAAATCTAAATCACACTCGTAATGAACGATTCAATACTTTTATTAGCGTATTCTAAACATAGGATAGTTCCAGCTGTTCTCCTTAGTGGAGGAACATTGGTTGCCCACTAGCATTCTCCATTGAACTCTGTCATGGACAATCCTTTCCAGTTTTTTTCAGTTCTTATTCATGTCTGATTCTACTTCCTGACGTTATGTGTTGTTTGGCCTTTCTCTCTTCCGCTCCCCTTCAGGATTGCAAGTTAGAGCTTGCTTCGTGATGCAGTTTGGTGATTTCCGTAATATATGTCCTATCCATTTCTTAATTTCCTCTTCAGCAAGAAGCTGGTTGTTGCTAATGATATCCGACCAATGGATGTTGTGTATCTTGCGTAGATAACTATTTATAAATACTTGGTCGTAGTAGTTCTCCAAGTTTCAGCTCCGTACACTAAAACTGTCTTAACGTTCGTATTGACAATTTTGACTTTGATATTAGTTGACAGAAAATTGTTTTGATTTCTATAAATAGACATTGTTAGTTGGTTGCTAACTACAAATAAAACTAGTGTTAAACACTTTTTTTTTCATTATTGATTCATGTCAAGTACACAGATCATGAAAAATAAAAACAAAACTTCACATCGACATATTTCTCACATTTTCAATCATCAAACTCCGTATGCTATCGGTTATTAATTTTATTTACATACCTAACTTCACTACTCATATATATCAGTCATTGTCTAATCAAATCATTGATTGTTCACTACACTACCATCTTTTTCTTTACACAATAAAAATTGTAACCTCATTTGTTTGATCACTGGAATTCATAATGAACGACATAAGTGTAGTACATAAATAATTAAAAGAAAAGCACTTGAAAGAAAGACAAAAAAGAGAAAGAAAAAAGAGAGAAAAGAAAAGCAATTAAATCGTTAATCGTTTATTTTCTCCTACTTAACAACAGTATTATTATTGATAAAATGGAGTAGTTTAATGAAATCAATGTGATACATCATCATATTATATAATAAGTAATACCTAATAAAATGTATCCATCATAGGAAATTGACTGAGAGTATTTATATTCATAAGAATAAATAAATACTAAATTCATTCTTTATTCATATTAATAAAACTATTGGTATATGAGATCATGAGTGAATTGAAATTAGATCATCATGGAAAATCTGGAAACATTGGGACTACTCAGCAGTGCGTATCCACGACCTCGCCTCGCGAGATTCGAACCCAGGACCTATTACTTTTGTGCGTAGACGGTTCACCTCTAAACCCCTGAGCTGGCTGGTACCCAACAGTGTTAATGTCTAACATCAACTAATCCACCAAATCGAACGACACATTCACTATTGTCTTCAGTGAGTTACTATTTCATAATAGACCAGTTGAACTTCACTGGTCAATACTTCTCACTAGAACTCCAGGAAATAATTCTTAAATCTAGATACTAATGACCATATGTTGATCCATATCAGAAAGGTTAATAGTAATATAATAATATAGTAAATACGAAAATGTAAAGAAAATTTTTTGAATAAAGTGCATTGTAGGAGAATATCATCTTGTCAATTGAGATAGCAATGATAATAATATTGTTGTGTGAATATAATATGTAGTAAGGGGGATATTACGGTAATTATGATAAACGAATTAGGAATGATGGATGTGAAGATTAAGATAGAGGCAATCAAAAAAAGAAGGGGGCAAGGTATTTATAATATTCAGTTTAGATATTCAGTGATCCAGTAAATGTAGAGGCTGGCTACACCTTTTCTGGATACATAAGTTTGGTTTTCTGGAGTTGATCTAGATGGCTTGGGCTATGTAGAGTAACCGTGATGTAGATCCTTGAGGTAGATATTTTGGAACTTGATATAAAACAGAGAAAGCTTCCTCTTTTTTGATATGATGTTCATTATCTACCAAGTGAGAAAGGATAGTGCTGTTGATCGATTTAGTGACTTCTTTTCCTAACGATGCTGGCACATATTCACGAACACGCAAAATAAAGCCCACTGAGTACGGTCTATGAAATTAACTCCACAGGAGCAGTTGAATTGGTATACACACATAGTATATTGACTGATAGACATCGTGAAGCTATTCGCAAGCAAAAATTGAATGAACACATTCCTATCACCAAACATAATAATGGATCGGGCATCGTTATTCTAAACAAGATAGACTACATAGATAAGATGAATTCCCTACTGAGTGATCAAACTGAATTCTAAAAGCTTGGGTCATATAAAGACCTCAACGAAAAGACCGAACGTCAACGAACTGCAGCATTAGAAATTTTTTAAACAACATCAATACGTCTCTGAGCATACCTATGATGGGCTCAAGCCTTCTAGAACACATACCTCTCGACTATATGGCGCACTTGTGAGAGACACATAAGCTAAGGGTTCGAATCCCATGAGGCGAGATCGTGGGTGTGCACTGATGAAGAGTCCCATAGTAGAACAAAACAACCATCAAGTGCTTCCCAGGTTTTTCTTGATAGTCTAACTTCAATTGACTCATCAATTCAACTATTAAAAATAACTACAAAATATGTATTACATAGAGTCTGAAATTTGAACTTTGAAATATAATATATTCTCAAAAAGGAGTTTTGTAAAGATTTTAGTAATTTCAATAGTTGAATTCATAAGTCAATTAAAACTAGACTACCATGAAAAACCTGAAAACATTAGACAAACATTTTGTCTTAGTATCGGACGCCTTAGCGGTACACACCTACGATCCCACTCCATGAGATTCATGAATTCAAACTTTTCAATATAACAGATTGAAATCATGAGTCAACTGAAGCTAGATCATAATTCAAAACCTAGAAGCATTGGACGGCCGTTTCGTCCTAGTAAGAAATTCCTCAGCAGTGCGTATCCACGATCTCTCACCCCGCGAAATTCAAACTTAAGACCTATCAGTCCCGCGTCAGGTGCTTAACCAGCTAGACCACTGAGCTGGCATCCAATCGTGATAATGTTAAACTTCAACCATTCCACGAAGTTGTGCCACCGTAACCATTGTCTTCAGTGAATTGATATCTCACAACAGACCTGGTTAAACTTCAATATCATATAATTTTCAAAAGATATTTTCATTTTTAATCTCATGTTTATTGTTATTTATTCTTTTGTTTTGTTTTTCTTTTTGTTTTCTTTTTTCTTTCTTTTTTTTCTTTTAATAATTAGCATTCTATCTATATAAATTAGCTAAATCCTCATTAAATCCAAATGATTTAGAACACCATATGAATAGAAATAATAAATTATTTGAATTTATATTACCTAAAACATTAATTCATTTATTATGGAAAACAGCTCATTTCAATGAATCTAATTCAATGAATCATACTAAATATAATGATCATTATCATTGAAAGTTTTATAATTTAATGAAATGAATGAATATCATATTATATATGATAGTGATTCTATCATTGTTGGTTCATGAATAAATATACAATTCCATGTATGTGATAATATAGAATAAGTGAATCAGAATTTTCACTACCGGTGAAAAGAAAACATTACTATCTCTCAATCACTCACTCACTCTCTCCCTCTCTCGCTGTCGTTATCCTTCCACTATTCTTCTACATGCTCTCTATTTCTCTATCGCATGTCTACACGTTCTGGATTACTATCTCCTACTTACTCACTCATTCATTCACTCACTCTCTCGCTCCCGTTATCCTTCCACTATTCTTCTACATGCTCTCTATTTCTCTATCGCATGTCTACCCGTTCCGCATTACTATCTCTCATTCTATCTCTCTCTCTCTCTCCCTCGTTATCCTTCCCCTACTCTTCTGCATGCGCTATTCTTCTCTATCTCTCGTATATACTTCTGAGCGCTCTCTTTCTCACTCTCTCTATATCCCTCTCTTTTTCTTTCTAGGTTACTTGTAATTATAAGTATGGAAAATAGTTTAATTGAAAATGCTTTATTGAACGATGTATAATTTTTAACGCTTTAAATATGAATATATATTGAATGAAATTATTTTAATGCATAATTTATCTGATTATTGTGTGTACATTTTATTTATATATGAATAATAATATTTATTCATTTAAATAAGTTGATGATGTATATCATACAGACCATCAAACAATTTGGGTATGCTTTTAGTGAAGTCAGATTACTGTATAAAATTAATATATCTGACTTCAAGAGGTATTCCCTGAAGTTCTAGTGAGAAGTAGTGACAAGTGGAGTTCAATCGGGTCTGTTGTGAGATAGTAGCTCATTGAAGACAATGGTGGGTGTGTCACTAAATTTGGTGGATTAGTTGAAGTTAGATATTAACACTGTTGGATACTGACCGGCTTAGTGGTGTAAACGTTAAGCGTCTGAGCGCTGGACCGAAGGTCTTGGGTTTGAATCGCATTTGTAGGCTCGTAGATGCGTACTGCTGAGGAGTCCCATACTAGAGCAAAACAACCGTCTACTTCTTCCAGGTTCACAATGGTAGTCTATCTTACATTGACTCGCGAATTCAACTACTTAAATTACTAAAATCTCCACAAAATCCTTTCTGATACTAATAAATTTAGTGATTAATCATAACAGTTAGCTTGCAATGGTTTGATTTATAAATTGTATTTAACACATACTGTTCGTTCTTAAGACAAATATTAAACTACTGTTTCGTCTCAGTACAGAGCTTCTAAACCATCTAAACACTTCGAATAAACAATAATAGTCAGCATTTTAGTAGTAAGTAATAGATTTTTGACACATATGGAAGGAAACAATCATCAGAAGCAACACCAAATGTTTGTTGTATAACAGGCTAATTTTCACTTTAGGTTGCAAATGTAAATCAAAATTTATTTTAATACAAAATGTAATTATAAAATGACATTAGCCTAATAAATTATTGGAAACTAACAATAATGCTTTTTACGAAGGAGAACTATATATGGGAACTACCAGATATATTTTAAACATAAAACTACAGAATATCTTCGCAAAATACTGATTACTTCATTAGCATATTTACATCATTTATCCTTTACATTCTTTTTGACTTTTCCAATTCACAATTTTTTTTCTATTTTCATTTTTATTCTCTTTAATTCGAGCTTTTTGAACTTCCGCTGCTAAGTTTTCCATTTCTGATTGGTGTTGCATACTACTTATGTCTGTCGACAGAAGTAGCATACACAACATTTTTACCTAGATACGTTTGTTACCCCTTTGGAGCATAAGCCGTTGATCAGAAATCTAGAACCAACTCTGTTCTGGGTTCTCCTTTCCAGTTGTTCCCAAGTATCCTTGATTGTAACTCCCTTTCATCTGATTATTGGTTATATATAACTATCATTTATTTTTCTAGTTGTTCAATGGACTGAATCGATTTCTCAATGATTATTGATTACTGATTGAGATGAGCGTCAAGCTTCCGAAAATTTTCTGTCATTTTTACTATGCTTTCTATCCAGAATCTTAGCATTTTCCCAATTAAAATACGTGTTCACAATTCCCCACATGCATTGATACAAACAAAGATATATTGTGGCGTTCCAATGCTAGTTAATTTTCATGCAGGCGAAGATGGAGGAGGCGTCCACTTTGTTCGATGTAGTCTTTTTCTTAATTAGAATAGTTCATTTTGTAGATAATATTCGATTTTTCTTCTCATTATCATTTCATACTTTGATTCGCATAAAAATGATTGATGTGAGTTTACTAGTTAAACTTCTAAGATGTTGTACGTGGGAGTATAATCCAACATTCTTCTTGTTTATGAGTTTTGGAATACCGATGAACTTTCCATCCAATTACGGTATGTATTCAATGCGACAGTGACCTTGGAATTGTATTATTTTAAGTGAATCACAGTGATACGTTTAAAGTAGACTGATTAGGTCCTCTATTATGCCTTGATTTTGTTAACGTATGCAAACACCTATAGCCAACATTTTAATATACCTTGAAAATGCTATAGACACACGTCTTACGAATCAAAAGATCTTTCATTCTATTGATCATTTGTTTATTTATTTTAACACATAAATATTGGTACAAGAGGGCATCAAATAGATATGTGCCACACAAAACAATGAGAATTTTAAGAGAAGGAAAGAAAAGGTAAGTAGCGTAAAGAAAGAACGATAACGAACAGATTATTGTAAAGTAGTGTAATAATAATAATAATGGGGGAAACAGAAACGTACAATCAGAAGAGATCTTTCACTTAAGGAAAAAGCAACCACTTTTTATGAAGAACGTAAAAGAAGGTTACAGTAGGATCGCCACTGCCTTCTATTCTGAGCCATATCTGATAACGTCTCTACTCGAGAACGTTAGATAGAGCCGAATTCTCACCATACGCGAGCTGCTGTATAAGTAAAAAATAAGGATAGACAGAGTAGGAATAAAAGAGGTGAATAAATGACGTAGTAAATAATAATGATCATAATGATAATGTGAATCGTTTGATTGTTAATTGAAGCAAGAAAAGTATTTTCCATAATTATCGACAGTTTGTCATATTTGTGTGTGGGCTGTGATACTGCCAGGGTGCCCAGACCGGAGCAGGTGATTTTTTTAGGGGGCAACACCCCGAGCCTTTGACTTAAAGGTCTAACCCACAAGGCAGTGGAGCATCGTGAGGAGATGCAGTCTCATGGTACCCAGTGACCGAAAATTGGTTCATACGTCATTCATTCCCGCAGGGTACTGGAGCCTCCGTGCATCATTGATTTGGTTTGGGATCCGATTAAAGCGCCGGACATTCGCTTTTCGTCCTCTCATTTTCGTAAACAACACCCACGCCACGAGAAGGCAGTGAGTAGGACTCCCCTGGCAGAGGCTGTACTTTTATTGGCTTTCCTAAAGAGATAAACATCGAACGATTCATGGTCTCAATAAAAAACGCAACAATCTCCACTTATCCATATTAATAATAAACATGTGCTCACTAGTGACTAGCTTCATAAGGAAGTTCTTGAAGTTCTAGTAGGAAGTCTTAACCAGTAGAACTCATCGGTGTCAGATGGATACAAGTATCTGCTTCAGACAATGGATGGATATTTGCACATCCATTCATAGATCGATGGACTTTAGATAATAACATCGTGAAATACCGGCTCATTGGTCTAGAGGTCTTGGATTCCAATCGCACTTGAGAGATCCATAAACCCCATTCTGTTGATGATAATAATAATAACATACTTGTTTACAAAAACTATTTATGAATAGTTTATATGATAGTACCACTACACAATCGTAATAAATTCTAACCAGTAATAATGATTATTTAGTTGATTGACAAAAGGTATTTTTTTCTATGTCATTTTGCAGTAAATATTTTAATGATGATTTATGTTATTGTTTACATAATTCATTATTTTGTTTTTGGCAAATATTTACAAAAAACCAAAGTGCATTAACTCATTGTAATATAAATGATATGAATAGTTCATTGAAATGTTTGAAACACTAATGTAGTTCTTTGTAAACAAAGATGAATAGTGGTTAGCAGTGGAATCCGAGATGCGCGTTTCGTTCTATTTGTCAACACGAAACTGATCAATTGCAGTCTTAAATAACAATAGAAAGATACAAGTAAAACAACATTAATTGAATTTAAAATAGTGTAGTTATTTGTAAGAAAAAAAGATTGATGATAACATTATCAGTTTAAGACTGCTGATAAGATTATGGTATTTTGATAATGATCAACATATGCTCATTAGTGACTGACTTCGAATGGTATTTCCTGAAGTTCTAGTGAGAAGCAGTGACCAGTGGAGTTCAACCGGGTCTGTGGTGTGATAGTAACTCAATGAAGACGATAGTCGATGTGTCAATCAATTCCATGGATTAGTTGAAGTTAGACATTAACAGCATTGGATGTCGACCAACTCAGCGGTGTAAAGGTTAGCGTTTGTGCGGGAGACTGATAAGTCCTGAGTTAGAATCTTGTGGAAGGGTAGGATCGTGATACGCACTTCTGAGGAGTTCCACAATGAGATAAAACAGCCGTCCAGCGCTCCCAGGTTTCCCATGGTGGTCTTATTTCAGTTCACTCATGATCTCAACTAACGAAATTAATATAATATCCACAAAACCCCTTCTGAAGATTATGAATAACTCTGACTGAACATCATAAGAAGTAATTTTCTTTATAAAATAGGAGTCGTGCTAGTTTGTTTATGAGTTACAATACATCTTTCGCTATTTTTTTTCTAAAAACACCTGTCCTATTTGTTCAGAATACTTGTACTGGCTAACCAGTTTCTAGTTGTTCCGTTGTTGTTTCCTGTCAGTACAACATCTTTTCAACCTCAAGTATTATCGTTGAATTGTGTGCTCAGATAGTTTTCCTATGTTCATTTTATGGCCAATGAATTTGTGATGTAAGTC